GTTTGGAAAACGTGTGTCCCCAGCCAAGAGGAGCGCCGCGAAGCCAAAGCACATGCAGGAAAGGGAAAGAAGGAGGGAAACGAAACGGGCAGAGGGGCCAGAAGAGGAGGGATCCGTCGCCGGGTTGGGGTGATTGGAGGGGTGGTTCAGTCTCTCTGCCCATCCAGTGCGACCTGAATGGCGTTGTTTGAATGTACGTACATAGAGTCAGGCCGTCAGCCAAATGGACCCTGTAGGATCGCAGCGGGTGATGGCGTACCTCGACCAGAGGTTGAAGGGAGCGGGCTCGGCGAGGGGAGTGCGCGGAGCGAACCGACGTCGTGGTAGTCGCACGCGGGCGGGCGTGATGAGGCGGCGGTAGCGGTAGCGGAGGGGAGGTGGTGGAGGACGAGCAGCAAGGACGAGACACAGAGGTCTGCAGAGGCTTCGGAGGGGTCGTGATACATTCGTCGTCGATCTGGCGGGCTCACTTCCACATCGACCCTGGTAACGGTGAGCTGGGTGGACAGAGGGTTGTTGGGACCATGAACTGGACTCCTCCAGAGCCACACAAAACGGTACCTCTCCTACTAGGAAGGCTGACGGAAGGCGGTGGGTGGATAAGCGCGACGGCTGCTGGATGGGCCTGGTGTGGGGAGACGAGACCAGGACAAAACAAGGAGAGGATGTAATAGTATGGAGCCTAGAGCTGGGCAGGGAAGCCAGCAGCAGCAGGGGTCGGCGGTCGTTGGGAGGTAGACTGGAGGTCTTGTATTAGTAGAGGATGTGAGAGGCACAATTACGGTGCCGCCGTGGTGAATCCCGCGCGCAGGTGAGGGAGGGAACTGATGTTCGCCAGCCGTCGTCGTCGCCGTAGAGGGGGAGATGTCGACAGGAATTCCATCCATCTGGGGCTTGTCTTCCAATCCCAAGGTGGTACCAATGACAACAGCCTTGAGAGAGGGCGAGACGCCGCTAGCCCGGACGAGCTAGAAGGAGGAGGGTTGCGGCATGGAGGCAACCAACAGGAGGAGTACATGGCTGGATGGAGTTTTTCAAAATCCATCCATCCTCATGCCTGCTGCCGGTACCCAGAGTTGAGGTAGCTCCAGGCGGTAAGTGGTAGCAGTGGAGGTTCTCAACCGCTAGGCAGGCGGCTAGGCTGCCTTAGCTGCCTTCACGGCCACAGCATCCAGATGGCCGCAAACGAACATGCCTTGTGCAAAGCTGCGTACATAGCTGCTGCAACGCTCTACACAGCGCATGCCTGTCTACCTGCTACTACATGCATGTACTGACCTGCCATTCCAACTTGGTACTTCCTGGCGCAAAGTGACCTCTAGGTCCAGAAGCATCCCGCGAACTAACAGCGACGGGACCGAGTATAAAAAATACACCGGCCCCTCAGTGATGGCAGCCCACTGAAGTCCACTAGGCTGTTTGCCAGTGGGTGCAACCCCTTCCGGGACACTGATGGTCCAGCGTCTCCAGTCCCCATTAGCGCTCGCGGGTGGGACCTGTAACTGTAACTGCAGGAGGGTTCCCGTCCAGGGTAGCGAGGGGAGCTTGACCCGATCAGGCAAGGCGTCGGCTGCGTTCATCCCATCGCCCATGAGAATGAACTTTTTCTCTTATCGGCCAAGCCAAGATGGTTTTCTCCCTCGCCTAAGGGCCAAGGCTGCCTGAAAGCGCGGCCTCAAGAGACCCCCAAGGACCCCTTGATGGCCTCCTGCGGTAGCTACTGCGGTATGTCATCGGGACCCCTGAGCCCAGGCAGCATTGTATCTGCAGGTCGCTCGCACTAACGGCTGTAACAAGCTTTCACAGGGGTCGGCGCCAGCTGGTCCAATACGCGCACAGTACATTAGAGCAGCGGCCAGCTGCAGCAACAAGCAAGCTCCCACCGGCCATCCGCGCATTGCGGGCGGGTGAAGACATCGGGCCAAGCAAGCCAGTACATCAGTTATGGGACTTATGTATTAAACCGCTGCTGATACTACTTATGTGTGCGTACATATATGTCGGCAACCATGCCGTCTGCCTGCCAATGGCCAGTCGTCCCCCACTTCTGGCCCATTGAGGAGGTGAGCCTACATCGATGCTCGATATTGCTCCATTGCTGCTACCTCGCTCTCACCACGCCCGTAATACGACACGCCTTGGGAATGCAGAGCGAGTGGCTATCGCATGGCATGGGACTGAGGCCAAGACACCTCGAAACCAACAGCAGCCATCCAACACACTGACGCCGCCGTTGGTCTCGGCCATTCGGTGCATACACGATAATTGGCAAACACCAAGCTTTCACCATGACGGAACTTCCCATTTGATGCCAGCCATATTACACGACTCGGAACCCCCAATTTCTCCCTCGTTCCTCAATGCGCCGATGATGACCAAGCATTCTTACTATATGTATTGGCCCCCAGAAGCCCTGGTCCCGACTCTACCCACCCGCCCATCCGCATTCTCTCCGCCTCCAACACCCAGCCTCCTGGGTATCGCACTAGAATTTCATCAAGCGAACTGCCAAACACGGACCATGACCGTCCAGTCGTCGCGTATTCGCTTTCCGACTTCCGCGACACCGCTAACCAGGGGCCAAGGAAATGAGAGAGCCGTTCCACAAGTCGTCTAGAAGAAAGCACCACGTGCATATACCCACCCAGGTCTGGCACCTCTCCACAAAACCCGGTTTTGAAAGCAGGACAGGTTCCTGAAGATATTAAACCGCCGTTCGCCGGCAGGGGGTTGACGAGCGTAGAGGCCAAGAGCCAACGACTCGGTGTCTGGCCTGGGTGGGCTAACTCGCCGCTCAAGTCACACAGTCTGTAAGAGTAAGAGATGCGTCACTGGGGTTCCAAGACTGGACGAACGAATGCCAGTTCTAGCAAGTTCAGAGAAGACTCCCCTCGCGCCATTTGACCTTTTTTGAATCTTCCCCTGGTCCGGACAGAGTGTACACACCGCCGGGAGATGCTGCCAAGGTTCTTGCGGACCCAGAGGGGTGTTACAAACTTACAATGGATACTCATTAGCTCTGTGCCTTGTTGTGGATAAGGTAGCAATAAGATCTGAAGTCAATCAGCGTAAAGAAGGACGGTTTGTCCATCCATGTAAAAGGGATACCAGAAACCAGGTCACGTATGCTCCTTAGGCACAGATATATTACTTGGCAAAGCGTCAACACCAAAATAGTACAAGGGTGGAGAGTCAATGGTCTAATCAAATCACCAAGTTCTCCGTATATGACTCGGCATCACCTTGAACGAACTGCTTTGCTCATGTGAGGAAAAGAACTAAAACTCCGCTCTCATAAAATTCATTAGTCAGGAGAGATGTGCCGACTATAAATCTACGTCTCGGCAATAGGGATGGTCCAATGCCTGCTTCGCGCTCAACCGATCCTAAACTCATCATGGTTAACAAGCATCCAACAACCCCATCCTCAAGCTCAAGAGTAAAACCCACCTTGTGATCCCACCGCAAAAGCTTATCCATAAGATCAATCGCCTCCTCCTCCGCCAAGTGCCGGTTCTCGTCATCCACAAACTCAGTCCACGGCCGCCCCGCGTGGACCGCGATATCATCCACGTCCGCCATCTCCATGTCGTGCCGCTCCACGTAGTTGCGCAGCCCGCTCGTGCCCAGCACCCTCGCGATCCGGTCCAGCTGGTCCGCGTTGCTCACCCCGTGGAAGAAGGGCTCCCGCCGGAACACGCACCCCGCCAGCATCGCGCCGACCTGCCACATGTCCACGCCGTAGTCGTACTCGCCGTGGTGCAGCAGCAGCTCGGGGGCCTTCCAGCCCCGGCCCACGCGCACCGTGTACTCGGTCCGGGGCTCGTAGAAGTCGGCTGAGCCCCAGTCGATCAGAAGTAACTACGAGGACCAGTGAGTGAGTAAACTGGCAGGGAGAGCTTACATGCTACATACCCTTCTCTTGACAGGGTCGAACAGCACGTTGTGCGGTCTGACGTCGCGGTGCATGATGCCCCGGTCGTGCGCAAACTCCAGGGCCTTGAGCAGCTCACGTGTGTAGAACCTGACGTCGGCAGCGTTGAACCGGGGGAACAGCGACCGGAAGTCAACGTAGTCGACAAGCTCGAAGACGAGAGAGGTAGGCCGGTCCTGCCAGAGACGGAGCGGTCAGGGCCAGGACGGCGACGTCGTATCGTCCCAAGAGATCTTCACTTGCTAATAGTAGGGGGGAGGGGCTGGGCCATACCTGGTCGCCCGTGACGATATCAAGAAGCGTAATGATGTTCACCCCACCGCGTAGGGCCTCGAGGACCTTGATCTCGCGGCGGACGTGGTGGTCCCGGGTGGTCTTGAGCGATTTGATGGCGCATCTCAGCGCCGTTTGCACGTTGACCCCCTCGAAGACGTCGGAATATCGCCCGTGTCCTGTGCAGTGTATTCCACGGATGAGCTGGGCATGTTCTCATGGGATGATGCGCTATAAGAGACAACGAAACTGTAGCCAACCTATTTTGCGCACAATTTCGTAATTGTCTGGGTTGCTGGGCCCGGATTCCGGCAACGAATCCGCCATTTGGATGTGATGCTTGCTCAAGGGCCGAACTTTGGTGTGGATGAGTGAGCTGAGAGTAGCTGCAGGATATAGTTGCATGTGAGAGAATAATTCAAGTGAGTGGTGCTGATCATCGTTTACATAAGCCTCGACACAAGTCCTTGATGAGCGAGTTATCAACGTAAGTCACCTCCGCCATACATGGGATAAATACAGTTAAACTGTGGTCAAGTAGCTGGCCGAGCTGTGAGATACGTTGTCCGAAATTCTTCACCAGGAAATTAATACGTCGCTAGGCTTGTTCACTTTTCAAGTAGTTAGTCTCATTCCAAGGCGAGTATAAGCTGACATTACCCAAAGTAAGCCACAACATGACTTGCGACATATACTTGTTACATACTATATGGATTTGTTTCCCAGAAGGAGTCAAAAATTGCCCACACATGCCCTGAATATCAAGTTGACAACATCATGAGGTTACCACCATCTAAGCATTCCCGTTGTAGGCCAGGCGATTCTGGCTTCCCTTCGCCTCCGTGACCACGTCCTTGGTGCTGAGCTCGATAATCCTGTTAATAACTTCATCAGGCGTGGCCAAGCCCTCCAGCCTCTGGAAGTACAAGGCGAGTCCTGCCACCGCAGGGGCAGCCTGTGACGTCCCCGTGCCCGCCATGGACGCGGTGTCGTTTTGTCGAGACGCCCCCACAACGTCGATACCGGGAGCAAAGATGTCCACTCCTTCTCCGTAGTTTGATCCGCCGTCTTGCCTCAAGCTTGGCTCGACGTTGCCAACGGTGAGACATTCAGGTGTCCGAGGTGGAGAACGGGTACTGACAACCACCTATATCATCTGTCAGTCAATCAAGCGTCGAGGTTGGGCAAGAAGGAGGAGTTTCACATTCTCGTTTCCAGCCGCACACACTGGCAGGATGCCCAAGTTGTAAATGTTCTTGACAGCATTGTCAAGAACATCCTGGGGGGGTCCGCCTGCCATCCTCAGTTAGCAAACAGAGTAGAGACTTATACATCTTAAATCCCTACCAAAAGACAAGTTGAGAACAGACACATTTTGACGGTTATTAGCCACGATATCGTTAACAGCCCGAGTAATCCCATCAATAATCGTCGCGGAGCTTGACTGCACAGCAATGATCATTAGCTTGGGTTCTCAACATGATCCTCGACCAGTCACCCTCGGGGAACATACAGAGCCCCAGTGGAACACCTTGACATCAATCACGGTCGTCTTCTTGGCCACACCATACGTCTTGCCAGCCAAGATGCTCGCCACGTGGGTTCCATGACCCGTCCGGTCGATATTCTCGGATCCGTTCACGGCGTTGTACCCGAACGAGGCCCTCCCCTCGAACTCCTCGTGGCTCAATCGGATGCCGCTGTCGACCACATAGGCATACGTCCCCTCGGCAGCCGAGTCATCGTATATATACTCGGTCGAGTTCTCCACCCGGCGAGAGATACTGCCCAGGTGCCACTCTACATCGGTCTGTGTGACCAGCGCGGCGGGGTGTACCCATCTCTCAGGCTCGACCTTGAGAACCTCGGGGAGGGCCGCAATCTCCGCGATGGTGGCACTGTCGAACGTACCCGCGTAGGCGTTGAAGTCACCAGCAGAAAACGTCTTCCCAAGCCCGGAGAACACACCGTCCCGCTGAGACAGACCGCGGCTGTGGAGCTCCCGAACGACCTGGTGGTGCTCAAGGATAGCGGACGCAGGGATCCCAGGCTTCAACTGGACGGATGAACTGGTTGGGGATGATATCGGCATCGACCTCGACCGGCGCCGCTTGCACGAGGCTAGCAACAGATGCTACAATTGCAGACCAGATGGCTCCTTTCATCATATTGGCTTCGTAGTTCGACTAACTCTCAGGTATGTGTCCCCGAAAGGGGCTTCCAAAGACACCTTGCCATCCTCTTATACCAAACAGCAGGCGGGATGTCGTGTGGCTCAGCCATCTCGGTCATGGCCCGTACAGGACCGAGCCATGGCGATCCATCGAGCCAGTCTCGAGACCTTCCCAATTAGAATGCCAAGCCAGGATTCTGTGATGCGAGGACGACCTTGATTAAGCTTACAAATTGCCTCGCAGCTGCATGTAACCATGTCCTTAGTGTTCTAAAGACAGCATTGGAGGGCAAAGGGATTCTCAAATCCCGACTCCCTATCTGGGCTGGTAGGATTCTGGAAGCAGCGTCAGATATAGTAGTTTAAAATCCACTTACACGGCGAGGTACAGCTTTGCCACTATCCCATGGCTATTAAAATACATCCTCAAGGCCCGAACATCAACTTAAGCTCAATTGCTGGAAGGCGGAAACTCGACCATCCGCTTTTCAGGAAATTAAAAGAAGGAGCAAGAGATGGCGTGGGGGACGGTCTTGCGCGAAAGCCGTTCAAGACCTGACTGCCTTTGCTCGCCCCCTCAGACATCACAGTAGCATCGGTCATTAGAACATTTGAGTAATTTTAATATTTTTTTTTCTCTATTTAGTCTCATTTACTTCATTCCGTGACACTAAGTTCCTCGTCATCCCAAAACCAACATCTGATCTTCAGGCAGCAGGGGATATAAGAAGCTCGCACCACGCCCGCTCAACACACAGCAAAGCAGCCTACTGGGCAGGGAGAGGGGTGAAGCGGAGGTAGGGCTTGACGATGCGGAAGTTGGGGAACAGCTTCTTGGCCTCCTCGTTGGAGACGGGAGGGGCGACAATGACATCGTCGCCAGGGACCCAGTTGATGGGGGTGGTGACGCGGTACTTGTCGCCGGTCTGGAGGGAGTCGATGATGCGGAGGACCTCGGCGGCGTTGCGGCCGGTGGAGGCCGGGTAGGAGAGGATGGTGCGGATCTTCTTGTTGGGGTCGATGAAGAAGACGGAGCGGATGGTGAAGGCGATGCCCTTCTCGTCGACGTTGGTGGCATCCTGGTGGTCGATCCTGGAACAGCCGTGTTAGCATTTGACTCTCATCTACATCTCGTGGGGTACTTGACTTACATGTCGTAGGCGAGGGCGACCTGGCGCTGCTTGTCGCCAATGATGGGGAAGCCGACATTGCCGCCGGTGACCTCAGCAATGTCCTTGATCCAGCCGTCGTGGGACTCGATGGTGTTGGCGGAGAGGCCAATCAGCTTGACGCCGCGCTTGGTGAACTCGGGCTCGAGCTTGGCGAAGGCGCCGAGCTCGGTGGTGCAGACGGGGGTGTAGTCCTCGGGGTGGGAGAAGAGGATGACCCAGCTGTCGCCGATGAACTCGTGGAAGTTGATCTTGCCCTTGGTGGTGTCGGCGTCGAAGTTGGGGGCGACGGAGCCCAGGCGGAGAGGAGCAGCAGCCATTGTGAGGTTATGGATGTGTGAACAAGACTGGGGACAGAGAGGGGTATCACAGAAGAGAAGCTTATATAGAGAGGAGAGGAGAAAGGGGAAACAGAGTTCGACCGGACTGTACCTCAGCGGGGGGGATTTATACATAAACGGACGGATCACATCATCTCCAGTTATCTGTCCCGTCCAGAAGCAGCTCCTCGGTCGGCGACAGACTAGACTCTGGGTCTGATGGAGCTCGAAGGCGCTGGAATCGAGGGTACGTATCCAATGGACACCCTCTTCTGCCCAAGCTGCGTCTTCGCTGTCCATTCCAGGTCGCCTCCTCTCGCCCTGCCCCTCCCGGTCGCGACGGCAGTCGTCGTCGTGATGTGATATGGCCGTTCCCGGGACCCGCCAGCAATTACGTTTCAGACCACTGACCGAGTGAACCCCGCGATCTAGCCTGCCCCTCACTAGAAATATGAAGGCAGCAGCTCAAAAGCAGAGGAGGGGGAGGGGTTGCTGGCCCCCTTGGCGCCAATTGCGTGCTGCTGCCTGCGCCGGATTGGCCAGCCCAGGACAATCGCCCTTTGACGCAATTCAACGCGAAATGATGCCCGACCGACAGCCGTGCGATGGTGACAGATGCTGTCCAGGGCGAGGCGCGCATTGGCCAATGTGCCAAGCGCGGGCGACACTGACGCTGGCCCATCATCGCTCCATCCAGACGGGCCACGACTGGATCAGACAGGTCCTCGTCCCAGGCCCATCTCTTTCTCGGGCCCCCGATGACCGGAAGGGTTTCCAGATGCAGCCCTGATCTGCCTAATCTGCTCACGCTGTCCCGATAGCCCTCTGCTTGTGTTGTTACGGTCTTACAGGGACATCTCTAGCGTCGCTGGTTATGTATATCACGAAAAAGTATATCCAAGATCTGTCCAGCTGTGATTCGGTCGTCCCATGCGCATTCATTCCACTGCAACCCATTGAGTTTATGTCATTTTGAGCCAATCAACAGGGGCGCCGATCTTTATATAGCGGTCGTAGGGTGGCAGGATACGACGCAGACGTCGCAGAGAGATGCGCCCTCACTTCTTGGGTTCCTCCACGGCGATTAATGGACCATGCGACTCTATCTCCCCCCCTGGTATTCCTGCGAACAATTGCCTCGTGGGATCGGGGGTGTGATTGCGACCGTATCCCTGCATTGCTTGAATTCTGTCAACGTAGCACTCATCACAAGCCCTGCAGTAGTCTCTGCTGCTGATTGAAGCATGTAAGTAAGCAATACTGCTAAGCAGCTGGGAAATCAGCTCATTGATGCCGCCCGCAGCGAGAGCGGTCTGAGAGCTGAACTTTCCTGCTGCATAGCCCGCAGCAAGTATTGGATACAGCTGCAATACTACGAAAAATCTCTGTATTATTTGCAATACTTGCAGTTTAGGCATGGGTCTGTACATCGATGTGACCTGTGCAGATTCCCCCGCCCTCCAAGTAAATACCTGGGATAACAGCTGTTGAGCATAGCTTCGAACTACCAAATACACAAGAGCTATCTGTAAATAATCAAAAATAGGACCTAGCAAGCATGATACTACCTACTGAGGACATAATTGAGCAGCAAAAGGGTTGCATTCCCCGCGGAAATGCAAAAGGATACATTGGCCGACCACGCCAGGAGTCGAACCTGGAATCTCTAGAGTAGGTGCGGGAACCGAAATCTAGCGCCTTAGCCATTAGGCCACGCGGCCAATCGCGTTAATTGGATGAACGTTTGTGCATTAGTCCCATCTATGGATCCAGCACCAGATTCACCGGGCTCCGTGGATCCTACCCTACCGACGAATCACCATATGGCTTGTTTGCCTGAGCGGATTTGGAAACTCAGGATATCAATTCATTATACGTCGTGTAGGAACTAACTCCAGGCTATGCTACTAGTCTATATGATGTTCAATGTAGATGCTCTCCTCTTGGTGTGGCCTTCTAACAGAAGACCCCTATGGAATGCCTTGCAAACAACCAGAACAAGCGTACTGGTGGTAGTAAAGAAGTAAAAACGCCGGATTAATCCCAATGTCCCTCTGACACATCGTCTGTCCCTGCCGAGGAAACCGATACTTCCAAGTCATCCGTAGGTTTCGCAGCGGGTTCCGGACTGGTGACAGACTGATCACCGCCCTCCAACTCAGTCTCACTGTCTTCATGGCCGTGTTCTCCTGTGTCGCTAGATGGACCATGGTCGTCCGTATCAACATCATCCTCTGCGGCCGAGAAGTCTAGAGGTTGCCATGAATGGAACATGGAGGGAGGCTGAGAATCCTCGTCCGGAAGGATAAATGGGCTGCCGCCGATCGAGATTGACCGCCCGAGCCCAAGTTGAGAGTAGGGATGTGGGAGCACAAACTCGGGCTCTGTATCGATAGGATCCATGCGTCTGCGCTGCGGCACCTGTATCTGGCTCCTACTAGCCCTCTTTAACGTAGGCTTCTCCAGTATAGAAGGTGACGACGCGACCATTGTAGACTCAAGGGTAGAAAGATTCTCTTCCTGCTTTTCATCGCTGGCTAATCCAGGAGCTAATGCCGAGCGCCGGATCCGCGGCACCTGGAGGCTACCACCAGAGCGTCGGCGATGCCGCCTGGGGCCGCCATTACCATGCCCGGCATGTGGCGTACCGAGGGGTTTCTCCATTGATAGTGTATGCTGGGTTCGCAAATTTCCCGAGCTGAAACGAAGTCTCCTCAGGTCTGTCTGGCTCTCAGCGAAGACGACGCGGGCGCGGAGTCTATGTGCTGCGTTGTCAAGGGCGAGCTCGATTGCACACCGATCGCGGATACGGCTCAGCTTGGGCCAGGTTGCCCGCGCGCCAGCCAAGGCCGAGCGCAGCATAAAGTCGGGCGTTGGGTTCTGCAGGATCTTAGGGACATCTTGGAGGTTCAGCTGGGGGAGGATAGTGATGTCTCCTGAATATTTTTGGCTGAGGATACTGCGGAACTTGGTGACCAAGTTGGGGAATATGCCCAGCTCTGAGAGGAAGTGGAGGCGATGTAGGGCTTCGTCCTTGGCCAGTGCTGTGAAGGTGCTGATCCAGTCAAACTCGTCACTGTTAGTGGGCGCCTTGGGTCGCTCGCCCGGTATGAGATCGGGTGACAGGTGGTCGTCCTTTGCAAGGAAGGGAACCACATGCGGATTGACCTGAGAAACAATGAAGTGGTTCACGTTGAACATCTCGGCAAGCCGAGTCATGGGTAAGTCGTTGTCAACTGAGCCGTCGATCCAACGCTGGGGCGATGGATTCCATGGCTGGTGCTCACCAGTTATGGGATCCTTGACGAGAATCTGTGACGAATTGAAGAGGACCGGAACGGAGCACGAGGTGGCGACGGCAGACCAGATCAACACATTTGGCGCTGTAACATAGTTAAGCAGCCTCGGTAGCTCGTAGACTGATGCTGTCGAGACGCAAATATTCAGGATACGACGAGTGCGGTTGTACGCTTCTTGGAAGGTCAAGTCCCCGGTGAGTTCACGCATGACCCGTGTAAGATGTTTGATGTCGGACCAGCTGCCTTCGGTGAGCAGTCGGCGCAAATTGTGCAAGACACCATCCTGACTGTTCTGCTCCTCAAAAACAGCCAGATCGCCGTATGGGAAGGTATCCATCATTTCGGGCACCTCCTCGTCGGTACGTGTGCACAAGACAGAACATACAATACTGCCAGCGCTCGCACCTGAGATGATTCTCGGCAGGAGTTTGGCTTCAAACAGAGTCTTCAAGACTCCAATATGTGACATGCCGAGGGTCCCGCCCCCAGAAAGCAGGAGCGCACTGCGGCCGAAGCTCTGTCGGGAATAGAGCATCCCTTCCAGGAGATCCGGGTATTGGACGGAAGGGTCGTATCGGCTCTGGGTGACGACTGCGTCAATGGTAGCAACGGCGGATTCGACATAGCGCTCAATGAGCCTCTTTGTGCCGGTGTACGAGTGTCGGTATAGCGAGACATTATCCATGCCACCGAGGTCGCGGAGGAGAGCCGTCCTGATCAGATGCATCATGGATCCGATGTCGCAACTCGCCCTCGCCTCGTCGAGTTCGCGCAACCGCTGCGCAATAAGTTCAGGGTTGTAGTCGGAGCTGGAGTCCTCTTGTTTCCAGTCGTCATTGCCGTCGAGGGCGTCGAGATCTTTGGCCGCAGCCTCCCATTGCGCGTGCGTCTCTGCCTGTGGACAAAAAAGTTAGCCTTCTGTTTCCGTATCATGTGTCGCGAGACAAAGACTTACCCCCTTCATGCGCAAGCACAGGATTTGCCTTTTCTCGTCCTTCAGCCTCTGTGCTTCCCGTTGTTCCGCGGTCATGCCATCTCTCCACGAGAGCAGTATGTCGCCGGCGGTCTTGAACGTATGGGTTAGAGCCCCAGTCACGGAGAGGCCGTGGCCGCTGCGTAACTGGGGCGTAGACTTGGAATGTCTCAACGAGGATTTCGAGCTACCATTGTGTCTGCGAGAAGAGGGCGAGAGGATCGCATTGAGGGGAACGGAAGGGATCGTGGGTGGTTGGAGGATCAAGTCGGCCATTGTCGATTGACCTGGAACGGTGAGGTTTCGTTTGTCGAGGGACCAAGTTGTAGGGAGGACTGGGCGATGGTCAAGGGAGGGCTAGGGCCCATCCTCGCCTGTTGTCAAATATACCGGAGGTTTTTATTTCCGTCGTCGACGATGGGGCATCAATATTCAGATTCGGGTTCTAGGAAGTAGATGTCTGCGCGATCAAGTTCGGCGCGTGGGGTGCAGCGTGGTCGGGCCGTAGAAATATTAGATGGAAAGATTTAATAGGGTCAATCGGGGTCGGGCAGCCATCGGCGATGCATGTAGGTCTTTAAAATCGTGGAGCGGTCGGTGGGGTGAGGGAAGATGGAGAGGCCATGGTCGAAGTTGTAGGAAACAAGCCCAGCGACATGGAATGCTGGGATGGGCGATGTCAATGACGATGTAACAGCGCAGGGCAGGACACTGCAGGCGAGACAAGGCTTAAAGACCGAGACAGGATTGGATGAGCGGAGGACAGGGACTGGGGTGTGATGTAGGTGTCAGTCTTTAAGAATGGGCGGAACCGTAAAGAACGTGTGCAGGCGGCAGGCAGTAACCGTATTGGAGGGTGGGATGGAGGCGGTCAACTGGCCTGGTCAAGTGGTCTCAGGGGGCGCTTTAGGGGGCTTTAGGGGGGGGGCTTAGGGGGGTTGGCGTGGGGTTGGAAGGGGTGCTGCTGCCAAAGTTGGAGATGGGCTTTGTGATCTGGGGGAAATCGAGATGGTGGGGTGGTCATGCTGACAGGGATGTCTCTGTGCTGGAATTCTTTCTTCTTGCCTGTCGGCATGCCGAGTTGCATGGATTATCACACGGAATCACGTACTGGTAACTGATAATTGCCTCTCGTGGATGAGCTGGCCGCTGTGGGTATGGGCATCTGGTATCTGTGTGCTCAGCGTCCGCAACTCAAGTCCTTCGCTGAATGAACTCTTGTTTTTCTTTCTTACACCATTTCAAAGTGACTATTTAACCTTACCAGCCAGATAATCAAAATACATCCCCAATTTTCCAACCGCCACAAAAGTCTGTAATTGTGGTTGCCAACCGCCAGCCCCTCGCATCACCCGCCTAACCTGTACCACCGCCCTCATCCACATTTACACGACTCGAGAGACAAGACGAGTCAGCGCCGTTGAGAAATTGCCTCCCTCTGCGGCCTTTTCATGTGGAGAGTACACGTCTACGTGTATCAATATGAACAAGGGATGATGCCTGCCTGTGGGGCTCTCTTCCTGCCGTAGGATGGATCTGAGCCGCAAACTTCTCGTGCTCGCTCATGTGTTCTGCCCATCTGATACAATATCACCTCCCGCGTCTTCTCCGCGACCTCCCCCATGGGGGAAAAGGGTGCCTAGACCCCGAGAATTCGCGAGTTTCTGACTGAATATTGTTTGACTCCGTTGCTGAAGCCCCACTGAACCTCAGCTGATGCCTCAAACCTTGCACCTGTTTAGCATCCTCAGAGCCCTGTCTGAGATCATCTTCACATGCTTCCCTCCCACCCTCTGTGAGATGCCGCCCCTCCACAACAAGCCCCCACCCCCCCCAGACCTCTTCCCCAGTACCTCTGGGATCCAGCTGGCGGGTGCGGCGCTGGCTCCATGTCTAATAGCTCTTGACTGTCTTGGGGCTCTGTTCCTCCCGCCAGATGCCGAGATTGTCATGTCACACATGGAAATGATATTCTGGTTTGCTGTTAATGGGAAATAGGTTTTTATGAGCACTAGTTTCTTATTATTACGGATAGCTACATTATTTGGAAAGGAATGGGACAACACCTTGGTGGGTTAATTTCCATCCTCTTCTAACAAAGCCCACCCTGAATCCTTCAGTACTGGTGCCTTGTTCTTGAGAGTTTAGGAAATTGCGTAGTTCCCTGCCCCGTCCTCTAATTTCTCCATAATGGCGAGAGCACATCCTGGTATTTACCTCGGGCGTCCATCTGGCAAGGTCCACCTCACTCGCGGCCAGTCCTCTTGTTGAAAATGGCCATGCCGAGTCTTGGTATAGGATCGATGTTGCCCTAGCTTTGATTGGCAGCATTGATGAGTACGCAGGGGCGACTTACACTGTTCTTTTTCTTTTTCAAAACCCACGCGCACAATTGATATCATGGAATACCATCTTTGCGCTCCATATCCCACCGAACCCTTCGTATCTCCCCTCGCTTGGTCGTACGAGAATTGCCATGTGATTTCTGTTGTATTCGAGAGTTAAATAGCACGTGAATCGTGGTGTTGCGTCCATGACACACCTGTTATCATTTTCTGGCATGGAGGTGGGCAGTAAGTAGGTCATCAATCTGGAAGCAGGATATGTCCCTCGGTAGATCGAACAGAGCTGCCACCTTTCCGAGGAGTTGAGGACTGGCATCTTCTTTACTTCAACTTTCTGAACCGGATGGAACCAGAAATCTCTTAGTACTTTGTCCCATATGGACAGTACATGGCTACCAATTACTTGCTAATAGACATAGATGAAATCCTCGTTCTTCAGATCCGTCATGTCTTGCAAACCATTATCCTCCTCCATTGCCCGCCTTTGCTGACTTACACCCACGTCGTCCTCCATCTCTACCGCCTTACCTCCCTGCATCTGATCCTTGCGCGCCATCGACTCGTCTATAAGAGTAGCCGACTTGCCAAGTTCCTCTCTTCTCTTAGCGTGCTGCCTGTTCAGGTACATGAGGTAGAAGGGAACCAGTCTAAATAATCTCGTCAGCTCCAAAGATCCGTGCCAACTCGTTACCAGCTTATTCAGCTATTCAGGAGTGAGACTTACGCAGACAACACGCCCACAAGGGTGAACATGATCAGATTAGCAATCAATCCAGGCCGATAGAGGGGTGCATCATCCGTTGAGTAGAGCAAAGGACCGATGACGTTGCCTGTACACATCCCGATGAAGACCACTGCTGAAGTGCATTTCTTCTTGGTATCGCCTCCAGTGTTCTGAGCCTGCCATGCGTAGAACAGAGGAGTGATGGCAGCCAGGCACGAGACCTTGGGTGTGAAGTTAGCGACTTAATAGTATCACACAGATATGGTTTAACTTGAAGATAGACTTACAAGATAGTACCCAAACAGGAGAACGCCTTTGTGCTGCCTTGGTACGGTGAGCATGAGGATGGTGCCAATCGCAGGAAGCACGCTCATGCCTGCAATGACGAGGCCTTTACGCTGAAATCTGGTTGCCAACCACCCAGAGCCGAGGATGGCGATGATCTGAATGACTCCAAAGGGGATGTTGAAGAGGATCGTTTGGAACGAATCGTATCCAAACGACTTGACGATGAGATTCCCAAATGTACTGATGCCACCGCTGGCAATACTGTAATATAGGTCAGAACTGTCCCATTTTCCTGAATTAAAGCACAGGGTTGATACTCACGAGATGGCCACAATGCACACGAACCAGCACCAGGTCTTAAGGTCGGTTGCAGTCTCCCACACATGGTCCCAACGCCACTCCCTCGATGCTACACCCATCTGGTTCGCTCGCAATCGCTCCACGGCGATATACTTCTCCCTCTCTGTCAAGTACTTGGCTTCCATCGGCGAGTCAGGCATCCAATACAGCACGAAGACGCCGTAGACGACAGTCAGCAGCCCGCAGAAGAGGAAGATGATCTGATACTTGTACAGCACATCGCTGTTGATGTGGCCAAGTCCATACGTCGCCAGGCTGCCCACGATGAACGTGACGCCGTTCATTGCGTTCCAGGAGACGGTGCGCAGCGTCTGCTCCCCGCGCCGCCACCACATCTGGGTGACTGCGACACAGGACGGCGCAATCATCGCCTCGAAGGAACCGAGGCAGAACCGCAGACCTAGAAGAGACTTGAAGTCTGTGCAGGCGGTCATGATGGCCAGCGAGGCACCCCAGAGAAGGACTGCCCCCGCAATGACTTTGCCGTTTGGAAGCTTGACAAGGATGTAGGCGGCGGCAGGTTGCATGACGAGCTGGGCGAGGTAAAGGATGGATCCAAGCCATGAGTATTGTTTCCCGTGGAGGTTTGCGTCCTTGTCGATCCCGAAGATTGATACATAGCTTCAGGAGGACAGAGGTTTAGCACTGACCTGGAATTACGAATATGGCGAAGTAGAAATAACCCACCTCAAGGAACTTTTATCAAGCTGCTGGAAGAAGTAGGCCCCGAGAAGCACAACAAGAACGCGTCCATCGATGCGTTTAACGACAGCCTTCTCCTCCTCGTAAGTAAACGGGCGGTTCTCAGAACTGTGCTCGGCCAAGAACTGAGCGGCCTTTTCCATGCGAACAACTCGAGGCTGCTGGGCTGCCACCGGAGCTATGTCGTCGGTGGTGGTATTATTGGTAGCCTGTTTGCCATCGTTGGCGGGATTCGATGCCATTGTCTTGCCTCTTGATCACTGGCGAGCAGCTATAATTCTCTTTTCTGGATAGAAGCACGGAATGGGTGATCTGGATATGCGATCTTGCCCCCAAGACGTCGCCGTCTAAGAATATCTTATATTCATAGTCGGATATTAACCTGGCCTTGCTATGGGGTGACTTTCAGCTAGTAACCCGGCAATCTTTTGCCGCTGCCTCATAAGAATTTGGATCATCGAGAAACATGCTGGGTAGTTACGGTGACATGCTGCTGCGTCCTCGTCAGATGGTCTGTTCCTAGAACGGCTGAATGGAGGATAAAGGCTAGGCGAGATACAATTGGAGGAATAATCTGCTGGCGAGGACCACTTGGGTTACTGCAGATCACCTGCAATTCATGCCACTCTTCTCCGAACAAATACCCATGTTTTTGAATTACCCCGAGCTGCCATGCCCCAAGTTCCCCGCACCAAAACAACTGGCTGAGGAGAGGGCATATCCATATTTAGTCTGGCTAGAGAGAAGTGACCACTATCTGGATGATGCGAATTAGGGATGTCGATCCACTTGTGGTGATTCTTATTCGCTCGTAAATCGGCTGTTGAATCAATGATGGCCCGAAGCTACTATAGATGATGAAGCGCGTTAAATAGCATCATGAGATAATTCAGGATGATTGCCTTGATTAAATTATTCGTCAAAGCAGTACATTTTGGATCACCCAATCTACAAATTCATCAGAATGACTGAATCGGCCGGAGGCAAACGATATGCCCTGATCGGGACCGGCAGCAGAGCCATCTTCTTCTACACTGCCCTCGCAACAACCTACAGCAAGACAAGCTCCCTCGTCGCCTTCTGCGACACCAACCAGACCCGTCTCAACTATGCCAACTCCAAGCTGGAGAGTCTGGGGCACAAGCCCGTCCCGGTCTACCTCGCCGCCGACTTCGACAAGATGATCGCCGAGACCAAGCCAGACGAAGTCATCGTCACCACCATCGACCGCACCCACAACACCTACATCGTGCGCGCCCTCGACCTCGGCTGCAACGTCCTCAGCGAGAAGCCCATGACGATAGACGCCGCCCGCTGCGCCGACATCTTCTCCGCCGTCGAGCGCACCGGCCGCCGGGTCCGCGTCGCCTTCAACTACCGCTACGCGCCGCACAACACCAAGATCTCCGAGGTCCTGCGCTCGGGGGCCATCGGCGCCGTCACCAGCGTGCACTTCGAGTGGATGCTCAACACCTCCCACGGGGCCGACTACTTCCGCCGCTGGCACCGCGACAAGCGCAACAGCGGCGGGCTGCTCGTGCACAAGTCGACGCACCACTTCGACCTGGTCAACTACTGGCTGCAGAGCCGCCCGGACACCGTCTACGCGCAGGGGGACCTCAAGTTCTACGGTAAAGAGAACGCCGAGCGGCGGGGCGTGACCGACTTCTACAGCAGGGCACACGGCAGCGAGGCCGCCAAGAAGGACCCGTTCGCCCTGCACATGGAGGGCAACGAGCAGCTCAAGGCGCTGTACCTGGACGCGGAGCACGAGGACGGCTACCACAGGGACCAGAGCGTGTTCGGCGACGGCATCAACATCGAGGACACGATGAGCGTGCTGGTCCGGTACCGCAGCGGCGCGACGCTGACGTACTCCCTCACTGCGTACGCGCCGTGGGAGGGCTTCCGGGTCAGCATCAACGGGACCCAGGGCCGGCTTGAGGCCGAGATCGTGGAGAACAGCTACGTGAGCGCGAGCGGCGCCCAGGGCGAGGAGGGCAAGCTGGAGAGCAGGACAGTGACGCTGCGGAGGCTGTTTGAGAAGCCCGTCGAGCTGGAGATTGTTGACGGGGCGGGAGCACACGGCGGCGGGGACGAGGTGCTCCTTGGGGACCTGTTTGGGCCGCAGGCAGAGGAGGGCGCCCAGGATGATCGAGCTGCGAGTCACATTGACGGTGCGGCGTCCATCTTGACGGGGATTGCGGCCAATAGGTCCATTGCAACTGGGCAGGTGGTCAAGGTTGATGATGTGTTTCAGCTCCCGTAAGACAAGCTAGCACAGGGAAATGCAAATAGAAATAAGCAGCGGGCAATGAAAGCAACATTCATCCAATCGTTGGGATATGAGACAAAGCCGGGTCTAAGCGAGGCCGTCGTGCTCCCGCCTCTGGTCTAGCTCCGGGAGAGGGAAGAGGAGCATGATTTTGCCTTTTGGGACTTAAGTTCATCTGGGTACGGTTCCCAGAGCGTCCGGCGTGAGAAATATGGATGTGTCATATGACTTTTGCGTGGTAGGAGTTCCGTCCAACAGAGTCATTCTGACGTCGGTGGAGCTTTGAGTTCAGGTTTCAAATGGCTCCCCGACGCGAATTACGGTAAATTCTTTCACCGTCTCGTATTGACATGCCAGTATTCGCCCAGAAATTCTTGCCTGGGGGCGGGGATCGTTGGATCGAGCGGCAGGCAGATGCATGGACGCTCCCCCGCACAGATCTCGACCAAACAGAGCTCCTCAACATGTAATGTATGACGTCCACCATCGACATCAGGAGCTGAGCTCCGGCCTACGTATGGAAGGTTGCCGGAAGTACATTCCATTCAAAAAGAGCCATGCCCGGGGAAATATGGGAGTAGTTTCTCTGCTATTCATCTCGTTGATCTCTACTCCTCCCACACAACCAATCTGAGCAGAGCAGGATATTATCGAATTGATTGACACTCTCCAAGATGTTGTTCGACGACTTGATGAGCGAGGGCGGCCACAAGCATCCGGTCGACCCGATCCCGACTGTAATCCGTGAGTGAATGAACCAAATCAATCATCCGACTCAGCAAAGCAGCTAACACCACCTGGCAGCCGACCCAGTCACCTATGAGCGAGCGGGCGGCGATGGCTTCCGAACCCTCTGGGTCATCTTCGTAATCTTCATCGCCTCCGCGGCGCTCTTCTCCCTCCAGGCATGGCGAATCCCCGTCTCCCGCCGCGTTTACCACGTCCTCACCACCGTCATCACCATCGTGGGCGCACTCTCCTACTTCGCCATGGCCTCCGGGTCCGCCTCAGCCCTCAACTGCCACACCGTCACAGAGCACCACCACAAGGTCCCCAACACCCACCATGATGTCTGTCGCCAGGTCTTCTGGTCCCGATACGTCGACTGGGCCATCACCACCCCGCTCCTCCTCATCGAGCTCGGCCTCTTGGCTGGTCTTGACGGCGCACACATTGCCATGGCCGTGTTCGCCGACCTCGTCATGGTCTTTTCCGGGCTGTTCTCCGCGCTCGGCGAGAAGCACACCGCCCAGACCTGGGGATGGTTCACCATCGCTGTGATTGCCTACATCTTCGTGATTTGGCACATCGCCGTCGAGGGCGCCCTGGTCGCCAAGGCCCGTGGTGAGCGTCTGGCCAAACTATTTGGCTCGCTGGCTGGCTTCATTCTGATTCTCTGGGCCGTTTATCCAATGTAAGTTGGAATCAATGTAACATCATGAATTATTAGGCTAATATGACATTTTAGCATTTGGGGTATCGCTCAGGGCGGACATCGCTTGTCAGTTGATGCCGAGATCATCACATATGCTGTCCTGGATATGTTGACCAAGGTTGTCTTCGGATTCTGGATCCTCATCTCCAACCGCCAGATCCCCGAGACGATTGCTGAAGTTGGAGGATGGTGGTCTCACGGATTGAACACCAATCCCGAAGGCCGCATCCGAATCGGCAATAGTGGTGAAGCCTAAGGGCGCCGAAGAGCCCATCATTCTACGGTTCGGGTGGTAATAAGAATGATGAGAATAAATTGAAGGACAGGCATGAAGAAGCGAAAGCCGGGGGAGAAAAGTATTGAGGCCTCGATAGTGCCTGGATGGAGGGAACGAGAATTCGTAACGACAAGGTTTGGTTGATCTCGCCGATTACTTCCTTACTTAGGCTGCAGGGGGGACTATTTCCCATTGTAAAGCATATAATCAATTTCGTTACAAGCACGAGAATGTCAACTATCTTCACTGTGATGTCGATGTCTACATCACAGATCCGTGGATTCTTACTGAGTTACCTAGGGTATGTCTTGACAGGGCTTGGCCTCAATCAATTCTTCAGCAAGAATTAAACCGATACCAAATTTGCTTCCCCTACCAAATAAACAACCCAATAAACTGTGTGCGACACCATCAACGCCAGATGATGCTCTGGCACGGGGAAGACCCGGAAACTAGGGAATCAATGGTCCTCTTGGGTGAAGGAGCCAAAACATTACAGGGCTAGAACAGAGAAAAAGATCCAACAATCCGTGAAATCGACTCACGAGGTTGAACATCAGGGTAGGGAAACAGACATCCATGCTGCCGAGAACTTCCAAGAGCACTCATCACACAGTAAAAGTCGTGTCATTGCTACAGAGTCTGCAGGAACCCTGATTTGTAATTGGCAAGAGGCGAAATGGGAGGGAATCTGCTGGGATGCTTATGCAGCTGCTTGTTTGGTACCTGCAGTAGGTCTGTTTGATCTCAAGGGGCCTGTGCTACGGATGATGCATGAGTATGTGCGCCTCATTGAGAATACTGTTCCGAGGCACAAAAAGAGAAGGAAATTATGTGAGCATTATCAATCTCCAGCTTCCGAATCCGTCACCCATGTTGCATGCTGGGATGATCGCTCTTGGCAGGCTGGGGTAGCCTCAATGAGTGAGGGGAAGAGGGGACAGTGTCAAACAATGACATCCTTCATCAGACGAAAATTTGGAGAGGAATGATTCACCTACTGTTGCATTTCAGGTGTGTTGCTTTGATATGTTCATCAATGATACTGGGAGACACGATGAGATGGGAAGCGACTATTGCCAGCGTCCTCGATGATGGCAACGCGGTATGAGGGAGAACGCACGCAATACCCAAATACAGGCTAACGAGAGGAAGGGAGCATCGCCACGGGCCAACCGAAACACAGCCCCTCCCGGGACCCCATCGCTGACGAGTAACGTTAATTAGAAGCTTGATCTACTGTCGAATTTGGAGCTCGGCCTCCGGAGACTCGGAGCTCTCTCCATCGACGCCACGCCGTGACTTGCTGCCGACGCATTGACACTTGCAAGTGCCCTGCCCTGTCAATGGTCTGCTCGAGGGGCAGGATGACGCACCCCTGGATGATGGAGGGCTCAAACAGTCCAGAACAAGGCAAAGACTTGGAAGCAAGAGCCTCTCATCAGCCTGTTCCCTCTAGGCCATAGGGTTCCATTCGCCTGTGCCCGAGATGTCACAGTCCCTTCCCTGGGGTCTCTTGGCGGTTTGCATATTCCCCTGTAATTAGACGGATGACGAACCCTTTTCTTGGCTGTGCGAAGGTCGGAGGGCCGGTTTGAAAAGTTCTCTCGTCAAGTATAATAGCTCAAGGCCGGCCTTCATTCTCGAGGTTTCTGGTTCACTCTCCACGGACGCAGTCACTCCTTCAGTTGTAGCCTCGTATTCAAGAGTAACATTTTGAATCGCACTTGTTCCATCGTCCAAGTATCATCATGAAGGCCCAATTTCTCTCCAGCGCTGCCTTCCTGGCATCCGGCGCCATGGCTGCCCGGCCCTTCCTCAACGAGCCTGACACTGCCATTGAGCTCTCCCTTCCCGATCTCAAGGTCGGCGACCTGGCTCCTCTGGAGAAGATGGTCGGTCTTCCCGACTTTGAGTTTGCTGCGCGCAACTACCTCTCGGATGCGAACTACACGTACTACCGAAACGGTGCCGCAGGAGAGTGGTCCTACCGCCAGAACCTCGAGCTCTTCCAGCAGTACAGACTCCGACCACGGACAATGATCGACGTCACCAAGATTGAGGACTCGCTTCCGTACGTGAATATTGGGACAGTGTGATATACAGTCGCAATTACTGACCTAGATCTTGTTAGCACAACCATCTTGGGACACAACTTCTCGGCTCCCTTCTACATTACTCCCTGTGCCCGCGCCGGATATGCCCACCCCGACGCCGAGCTTAACCTGGTTAAGGCCGCCGGCGAGCAAGGCCTTCTCTATATCGTATGCCATTACTTTAAACAACTCTGGTCCCATAGTCGCTAACAGCATCAATCACAGCCCTCCCACTACGCGAGCAAGACCATTGAGGAGATCGCCGAGGTCAAGAAGGAAGGCCAGGTCCTCTTCCAGCAGGTCTACCTCAACTCCAACCACACCCGCACTCAGGTTGAGTTTGATCGTGCCAAGGCTGCTGGCTACAAGGCAATTGTCTTCACCGTCGACGCTCCCGCTCCCGGAAACCGCCAGCGTGCTCTCCGCTTCGGCGTTGGCTCTTCGTAAGTGGACTTGTCGCGACTGACTATGGGAGTGCGTATAAGCTAACATGATCGCAATCTAGCAACACCGAGTACACCTATATTACTGTAAGTAAAACCGGTTCACAAAACACGCGTCTTTGAGGCCGGAGCTAACCAGAATGCAGTGGGACTACTACAAGAACCTGACGACCCTGACCGACCTGCCCATCCTTCTGAAGGGCATCCAGACCGTCGACGACGCCAGACTCGCCCTCGAGAACGGCGTTCCCGGCATCATCCTCTCCAACCACGGCGGCCGCCAGCTCGACACCGCCCGTTCCAGCCTGGAGGTCGCCCTGGAGATCCACAACGAGGAGCCCGACCTGTTCAAGAAGCTCGAGATCTTCGCCGACGGCGGCGTCCGCTACGGCAACGACGCCCTGAAGCTCCTGGCCCTCGGCGTCAAGGCCGTCGGTGTCGGCCGCCCGTTCATGTACGCCAACATCTACGGTCAGGAGGGTGTCGAGAAGGCCATTGAGCTGCTGAAGAACGAGATTGCTGTCGACTCGGCGAACCTTGGTGTTGCCGACCTGAAGAAGATTGACCACCGCTATGTAAGTTTATGCCCCATATCCGGGTTCCGTGCAGGGGAGCTGGTGCTAACGGGTGATTATCTGCAGGTCATCTACAATTCTCTTGGATACAGCGGTTGAAAAAGTAGACATCCCTGATTGGGTTTTTGCATTGTAGAAATTTTGTTCGCAGACTACTACGAAGATCAATGACTATTACGATTTGTTCAACCATCCATCCCCTCAGTGATTGTAATCTTAGAACATCGTGGAGTTGAGATGCCGTGGCAATCGGGCCGTGCAAATCGGACGATCGTCTACAGGTTTGACGGGGTTTATAAGGTGAGTGATCCTGCTACTGCCAATATGTATCGAGGCAGCTGGTGAAACATGCAATGATAGGGGCAAATCCAGGGGCCCTGCAAGTGATATGTGGCGATGTCACCCAACGCATGATGATCTACGTTGTAACAAAACCTTGGAGATACCATCTTTCCATTCCCCTCAGCGAACCTCGGGGCTACTTACATAGAATGGTATAATTCGTTAAACCAATGGAGCGGAAGATTGATAGATCAAGATAGCTGTATAGTCACGTAGTAGCTCCGACTAAGAGAGAGCGATGGAAGCAAGAGAAGCTGTCAGAGCTAGCGTTGGATCAGATGAAACAGACGGCGCGCCTTACGGCAAGGCAAATCCACACACCCCTCACACCTTTTAAATTGAAGGTCACTTACTCCCGTAGAGTCCGCTTTGAGTCCGCTGAGAATCCGCTCAGAGAGCCCCAAGAACTACCGCCTCGCGCGCGGCACTTACTGTGCCTTATGAGCGATGCATTACCAAATGTTCCCGAGCCAGCTAGTAACTGATTATCCCCGGTTACCCGTGCCTAGCCTTGGCCTTAGACCTTCTAAATTAGGGGAAAGAGACCTGGACGCTGTGTGCTAAGGCACGGGAAACGCTCCATTGCATGAGAAGATCAAATAACTACCGACGAATCCGGTAGATCGTTTCGAAATTAGTACTCCATCTATGATAATATATGCTATTTCTGTACCACCATGTGGTTCCATTCGGCAGCACAGAGCGTGTCATCCGGCGCCGTCGTGCCATCCCGCCATGGGGCAGGGCTGGAACTACTCATGAGGAATCCTATAAGATGTCGTTGAGATCGCAAACTGACCATTCTCGTATCTCCATCGCTCTGTGTCTCCCCAGCTCTAGACATCTTACGAACCAACCCAGCGGAGATGTTGTCGAAATTCGCTACTACGGCCCTCGCGGCCAGCATCTTTGCATCCGTGGCCCATGCCTGGCTTCCCGGCCACAAGATCCGCGGTGTCAACGTCGGCTCCCTGTTTGTCTTCGAGCCGTGGATCGACAGCTCCGAGTGGAGCAGGATTGGCTGCTCGGGGCAGAAGTCGGAGTTTGACTGCGTCATGAACATAGGCCAGGAAGCCGCCGACAAGGGCTTCCAGAGCCACTGGGACGAGTGGCTCACTACCACCGACCTGGATGAGATGAAGAGCTATGGTCTCAACACTGTCCGGATCCCATTGGGGTACTGGCTCAAGGAAGACCTCGTTGACAAATCGGAGCATTTTCCCAGGGTGAGTACTTTACTACCGGCGGGATGCCACGCAAAGTATGCTAATCCTTTGCTTTCCAGGGAGGTATTGATAAGTTGACCTCGTTTGTGGGTGCGGCAAGCGACCGAGGCTTCTACATCATTCTCGAGTGAGTCTTGAATCAGCAGTATACAAGGTGATTCTCGCTAACCATAATAGCTTCCATGGAGCACCCGGTGCCCAGGAGCCCAACCAGCCGTTCACCGGCCAGTACAACCCCAACGCCGACTTCTACAACGATTACAACTACGGCCGCGCATTGGAGTGGCTCAAGTGGATCACGGAGATCAAGCACACCAAGAACGAGTACCGCAACGTGGGCATGATCGAGGTTCTCAACGAGCCCACCAACTGGGACCACAAGGTCGACTCGCTTCGAAGCAGCTACTACGTCAATGCCTACAATGTGAGCCATGCGTGGATTCTCGCTTGTCAAGGCCGAGAAAATGATACTAACCTTGCTATTAGGCCATCCGCGATGTCGAGAAGTCTCTCGGTGTGACCCCCAACAACTTCGTCCACATCCAGATGATGAGCAGCCTCTGGGGCTCGGGCAACCCGACCGAGTTCCTCTCCGACACCACCTTCACGGCCTTCGACGACCACCGCTACCTGAAGTGGGATACCTCCGTCGCCGTCAACAAGCAGTCGTACATCTCCACGTCCTGCGCGGACGACCGCAAGGCCGAGAGCCCTCTGTTCATCGGCGAGTGGAGTCTGAGCGTCCCCGACAACGTCGAGAACACGGATGAGTGGAAGCCGGCCCACGACCCTGACTTCTACCGCAAGTGGTTCGCCGCCCAGATCCAGACCTACGAGCGCTCGACCGAGGGATGGATCTTCTGGACTTGGAAGGCTAATCTCAACGACCCCCGATGGTCCTACAAGGGTGAGTGAAAATCCCAATGCTTCGTCTGAAAGCTCCCAACTAATGACGAGTAGATGCTGTTGAGGCAGGAATTATCGGCAAAGACCTCGAGAGTGTTCTCAAGTCTCAAGTTTGCTAAGATGGATCCAAAAGTTAGACCACAGTTAAACACTGTTTTTGATGGTGCCGGAAGGAACTCTGTATTATATAAAATCATTATCCTCATTAGAGCTTATTTCATCTCAACGCAGGCTGAAGCATATGCCTAGCAAAGCACTCGTGTCTCGAACTGCCGTGAACACATCAAAACGGAATATTGACCACACATCCAAAGCCCAGATTCCTCATATCCAATGCCGACAAAACGCCTGCCATTCCTTTAAGCGACATTTACCCAAGGCCTCCCCATCCATTGAATCGAATAACGCCGCGACTCTCAATTGTTGGGTATCACATTTTCATCTCCCTTTTCTCTCTCTTCGACTCGCTATGCCGTGATCTGGTCTAATAAGCCATCTTTACTTGTCGTTACCGCTAGGGAGCTCAGCGTAGAAGCCTCCCGTCACATTATGCGCATTCGCCATCTCGGGATTCGGGTGTGCCTGCGTCCAGCGAGGGTCCTGCGGCGTCTGCGCATAGCCCGGGTGAAGGCGAGAGTCGTGGGGCGCAAAGTTATACGACGCGGGCATCTCGTAGGCCTGGAACTGCTGCGGCACCTGGTCCTTGCCGGGGATCTGGTACGGCTGAGGCGTGGCCGAGGGCGAGTGCTGGTGGATGGACGGGGTGTGGTAGGGCTGCGCGTAGTTCGGCATCGGCGAGCCGGCGGAGTGGTGGCTCTGCGGCCGGATGCTGCCCTGTCGGCTGTAGGAGGACATCAACGTCGGGGAGTGGCCGAGACCTCCTGGACCCGGGGAGGGCGAGCTCGTGGGGAGCGAAGGGCTGGTCGGCGGGAACGTGTGGTGCTGCTGCTGCTGCTGCTGCTGGGAGAACGTCTGTGATCGGTCGTTGGGGTTGATGGTGGTGATGCGGCCGTCGGGGGTCATCATAGCCTTCAGGACGCCGGCGTCGAGGAGCTCGGCCTTGCGGATGATGCGGCCGACCATCTCCTTGCTGGCGGCCTTGAGCTCCTTCTTGACGAAGCTGACCATGGTGATGTTGCAGCGGATCTCGATGTCCTCGCGCAGGTAGAGCCCGTCGGTGGGGGCGCCGAGAGCGATGAGGCCCATCTCCTTGACCTCGGGGGGCTCGAGACCAGGCTGGTTGCCGCCGATGCGGTACTTGTTGCGCAGGTCGATGTTCATGGGCGCGTAGATGTGCGTCTGAAGCCCCCAGGGCATGTCGTGGAAGCAGCCATTGAAGGTGATCTTGCTGGAGCCCAGCTTGCCGGCGCCAGGCAGGACCTGGACGCGCTCGGTGATCTCATACCATGTGCTGTAGTATTCGTCTGCGGCGGCCGTTCGAGGGGCCGGGATGGGCTTGTGGTCGAGGACGAGGGGGTTGAGGGTGATGACTTCGGGATGCGAGTGGAGGATGTCGAGAGCGAGCTGGCGAGGGATGAAGCCTGGGATCGGAGTGATGACAGTGTAGGCCTCCTTCTTGCGGAGCATTTTGGGTGATTTAATTTATGAGGAGCCCCCTGGCAAGTTTGGTGGTGGATTGCTGGAATGTGCAGATGCAGTTGGGTGTATTATTAGAGCCCGGCCCCTGGACAAGCACGCAACAGAGTTGGGGAAAGATAGGGCAGATCGCAGCACTCCAAGGGACTTTTTGTCTGTGAGAAAGAGAGAGGACGGTATGGAATGGGATGAGTAACTCCTGAGGTAAATAATCCGGCCGGCCATCATCTGCTACCTGGTGCTGCTACACTACTCAACCCACTTGGCTAGATTTGACGCCAGCCACACATCCAGCACTCTCTAGCGCTTGTCCGTTGTCAGACAGTGGCTGGTCTAGTTGCTCCGTGATCTACTAGGGTCACTGCGTAAGCTGATAGCCATCAAAGTGGCAGTGCGTAACAGTCGTTCCAGTGCCGGCCGGTAAGGTGGCAGTGGTTTGTCCAACTCTGGTATTGGCCAATTATGTCGACCGCCGGCCTGCGAGGACCCCTCTCGCTGCATGACCTGCGGCAATGCCATGAGCTTGGCGTTTGATAGGCGAGTTGGCTGCCCAATATGTGGCTGTCCCACCTCAGGGCAGATGCTACCGCCCAGCGGGATACGATAGCTTGTGGGGAAATGGCCCTGTGAAAGATTATCGCGAATTATTGATGATCTATCCATCTCCTCGTTCCATTAATTGAATAGTATATGGCGCGTTCGAGCCAGGCGAGTCCTGGTATGGAGCGCTGGGCAATGGATGCGGAGTGGGTTGGCGTGCGACAGGGCGCATGAAGATGAGACACTCCCTGTTCCATGGCACCTTGTTGTCTCATCAATCGGTAAGCAGATCGCGAGGAGCTGAAAATTCAGAGCATCTCGGCCCTGAGGGACCCGGAGCCTTCAGTAAAGCAAGTTTTGGAGTCGAGGCCCAGGCCCATTCACCCTGATGAGCTAGCATGGAGAGAGCAAAACGTCCTCAATCAAACATTCAATTTGATGGATGGCCTCTCTCTCGGCCGTAATCCTTTGCCCACCCTTTCCAAGTAGACCGAAGGCTGGCTGGCGTCGCGGATATGCATTTATGCAATAGGCCGCCATAAACCGCCGCCAACTCGTTTCAAAGCCTGTTGGGTATCATTATGTTGGGCAATGGCCTACTACCCTATGGTTGCCTTACTGCCCTACAGCCCTACTACACGAATTGATCAATTCCTTGTGGCGGATGCAAGAAATGATGACGAGTCAATTTTCTGGCGTGCAACGTGGTGGATGAATGTCCGCCCGGTGATTCCCCTCTTCTCTTCAGTACCCCTCAGTCATGGCATCTAAGCCTTCGCTAAATATTCTGACATATGATGGAATCACGGACGGCTGAGCAGATGGCTATATCCTAATATGCTCTTTGTGTATGCCTACCTCTGATATAAACTCACTTCCTCCGACGAAAAAATAACGGTATTCATGAAGCACATTCCTCGGCTCGATTCATGATACAATCAACTACGGTACTGACGTCAGCTGATGATGGCTGAGCAGCTACTCCAAATGGTCGCAAACCTACATGTGGTAGCTTGTATACAACTACGTACACACATACGCACCACACACACTCAAGACACTGTCCCGACCTTGCGCGACAACTAGTAGATATTGGGTGATTGACTGTCGTGCTTGACCTGGTGAATCATGAGCCCATTTACCAGGCTCTTCCATGCATTTGGCCCTGTTCCCGTAGCCGTGCCACGGGCTTTGTCCTCGCGTTCCTCGTAAAGCTCGCGATCCACTGATCCGATCCCGCGCGTCCCGAGAATCCATGCCGTGATAGTCCCCTGTAACGACGGTTCAGCGAGTGATCCGGGCCTGTAGAAGAAAAACGCGGGGCATTGGGTCTGAGCTTCGTCACCTGTGATGCTTATATCTGCCTACTGCCTTGTGTAGCATCCATCCCATCTCTATTTCATCACACCTCCCGTTTCTAACCTGGAGATAGGATTCGCGAGACTGTTCGCTCCTCGCAGTAAATCTAAACGCAACATGAAGTCTGCTGCGCTTTGTCTCCTGGCAGCGTCCAGCTCCCTGGCCGCTGTGCTTCCGGGCCCGCCGGTTCAGGTACCCCTTGGCGGTGGCCTCAATCCCACCTCCCACTCTCACCATGGCAGCCACAGCGCTGAGGATGATTCCCAGCAGTCGTTCATTGACTCGTGGCTCGAGACTCTTCAGCCGGTCAAGGACAGCATCAATTCCGTAATTGACACCGCCACCGATGAGTTGGCCTCCGCCACAAGCACTCTCAATGACTTCAAGGATGACATGTTCCGCAAGCTCCAGGATGCCTCCGACCAGGCCAACCGTGAGTTCCCAGACCTGACCATCTACCAGCTCATCCAGTTGAGCAACCATACCAAGAAGTTCGTCAAGGCTCTTGACAAATTCCCCGACGTGGTCAAAATACTCAACGGCACCGAGGCCAACCATACGCTCTTCGTGCCAATTGACGAAGCCTTTGAGCATCTCCCCCACCATGAACCTCCCAGCAATGAGTTTATCGAGGCTGCCCTCAAGTATCACATTGGTGTGGGAAACTACGCCGTTCCCCGTCTCTTGAGCACCAACACTCTTCCTACTGCTTATAATGAGAAGGGCCTTGGTGGCGAGCCACAAAGGCTTCGCACCCGTGTGTCTTTGGCTGGTGTTACTGTGAACTTCTACAGCAAGGTGGTTGCTGCTGATATTGTATGTACATCTTTCGACTTGACGATTATATCAGGGATATCGCATGATCCATCCTGAATACCTACTAACGCTGAAAACAGGCTGCAAAGAATGGTATCATTCATGCCGTTCGCCACATCCTGGTCCCTCCTCCACCTCTGGGCCCCATCCTGGCTCTTGACCCAAGCCGCTTCTCTACCTTGCTCCTAGCCTACCAAAAGACGGATTTTGTCAAGTACGTTCATGGCCTCAAGATCAACGGCAGCACCCTCTTCGCCCCCGACAACGAGGCATTCGCCGCCCTCGGACCCCGCGCCAACGCCTTCCTCTTCAACACCGAAAAGGGACTCAAATATCTCGACGCTCTGCTGAAGTACCAGATTGCCCCCAACGCCACCCTCTATACCGACGCCTTTTACGACAAGACCGGCAAGGAGGAGAAGGCGGAGACCCGGGAGGAACATTACGACCTCGCCACCCTCCTTCCCGGCGCTAACATCGGCGTCGACATCAAGACCATTTTTGGGTTCAAGATCTACCTCATAAACGGCTTCACCAAGGCCAAGATTGAAGACGTGGTCGGAAAGAACGGCGTTATCCAGGTGGTTAACAAGGTTCCTATCCCCCCTCGCAACAAGCAAGACACTGAAGATGCCGGAGGTGAGATCGAGCTTGAGGATCTGATGGAGCGTCTTGCTGGTTATGTTGAGTAACCAGTCAGCGACGACGGGAAAAATATGCCTAGCTTTCCTTTGATGACCGATCCTCCACTTGTAAGCAATGATAATGGGGTCTCTACCATTTGTGGGCGTTCTTAATGGTGAGAAGAGCAAGGTTACGATGCCTGGTACTGTTACGATGATGCGCAGATGGATAAGAGGCTTCTAGACTCTGAGTAGTTTTTTCAAATATTCGCTTTCCATTTCTTCCGTACATTTCAACCCGCTGGCCTATAACACTGCGTTTCGTCGCCTGATTCGCCTTCTGGCTGCACTGATTCAGCATCGTACATCGCCATCGTCTAGGACTCGAATGTTGCACTCAAGTGCATCACCGTCCCTACGAAACCCCCACTCGAAACCGTCCACCCGCAACACGATGGCATAGAAAGCCTGGAGGCAACAACGAGGCATTGCCTAGTATATGGAGAAGGATATTTGAGATGTAAAGCAAAATTGGTCAGTCAAAGGACGCATCATAGCAGCGGCATAGTCAAAGACGTGATTATAACAAAATATTCAAGGAGTTGGGCCGGATCACTTGTCTCAAATGAAAAATGAAGTTACCATTCTAACTAGCCCCGACTCGTGTCTTTCTGGTTGACCAAACTGATTGATGCTCAAATGATAACGACTTCTTGTGTCTTGTGAGAAATCTGCCAGTGGTTCAGTCTTCCAGCGCCAACTCTCTCGTATCTGGAAGAGTCCGCAGCGATCACAGGCCGTATTATCAGTGCGTAGTAAACCGATTCCTCGAGACGAATAGCCGCCCCCTCTCTTCCAAGCAAGACGCATTTCCAAGTATTCCTATCATGCTGGTCGAAACCACAGTCAAAAACAATCTCGGTCATAGACTCCCACGCATCGACGACCAAGTCGTTTGCTGTTCCAAATAAATGTTCGTCCCATGATTCCAAAGACTTGTTGGTGTCGAAAGGACTTTTTAAATTATCCAACCATAGAACTTTCCTGAATGGAATGTCCACGTATGTGATCTTCCCTGCGTAGGACATCCAAGACCATGAAGGAACCCGTTTGCCACCCATGGGGTCAATCCGGGTTAGCCCTCTGCTGACGCTCGCCGTCCAAAGCATCGTTCGGGCGAAAAAGACTTCGTAGATACCGTACCGCGCCTGCGACTTGAACACCCGAGCTATTCTTTTCTCTATACCTAGCATAGCTTTGGGGCGATCAGTCAAGTATCCCAGGGTAAGGCCACTATAGAGCTCCTGTATATACTGAAGCAGCCGGATCCACTCATCCTTGTACTTGTAGTACCGGAATGATGACTCTGGGAAGTGTGCGTCACCGAGAAGCCGAGATTGGGGACTGCTTCCGGGGTTAAGTATCAAGGAGTTGTTGATATGTTCTCTTGAGGGGATGCTTACTTTTCAAGTTGTGCTAAAGTTTCACAATATATGCCATGCCCACATTCCCAGTATATCTGCGTAGAGGTTATGTGAATTGTCCGACGAGCCAAAGCTCGCTCCTGAAGCACCCATCCTCGTGTATTGAGAAGGCCATGCTCCACATCGTTCTCGAAATCATCGATATACTTCGATAAGTACATCCTATTCCCGGATGTGCTCACAGCAACAGAAGGCCGCGGCTTTCTGTCACCCAAGAATCCTCCAAGGGAAGACTTGGCGGATGTAGCTGCAAAAACACAGTAAGCGTAGCTGAAGACTTCTTCCATTCGAGCGGCCTCTTTTGCCCAATCTTCTTCATCACCTTGAATGATGCAAAGAGAATCAATCCAAAGAAACGCAACGCCAATTACTCTAGCTAGTTTTACTGCATCTTGAAAGGTTCGAGGGAGTGATTCGAATCGGATTTCCTTCTTGAAATCATCAATGTTGCTAACCGTTGTCCGGACCATCTTCTGGTTGGGAACATCTCCCCAGCGGTGACTCAAAGCCACGTACTTGTCGTTGGACAGCTCAATTGAGTCTACTAGGCGAATGGTAGAAGTGTACTCGTAACCCACAGATATCAACCTAGTGGGCATGTGTCTACCTGGGGCGCTCCCGTTTGCCTTGTCTAAGGAGCAGCTGTGTGTTTTATTGCACAAGTTGATCCATGCATTTAGAAGCTTCTTCTGCTGGGGGCTACCCATTTCGGTGAGCAGCGGAAGCCCAGGCGGAGGAGCTGATAAGTTCTTGTTCGCAAAGTCTAGACAAATCATTAGCTACTCTAGAAAGGTAAGAGACATCTGGTCATTACCAAAGCTTACCTGGCTCGGAGTACAATGAAATCACGGGCAAATCTTGCCCAAGTAGCCGAACCACATGAGCCTTGTTGTCGCGGATTAAAGTCACTGGCTCTCCGCTCTTCAAGTTGACGCCTGCAATTGACTGAACGAAAAATCGACATAGCGCACAGTCAGGCGAACTGCGTTCCAAATCTCGCATGTTACGAAATAGGTCCCATTCCGACTGGTCAAAGTCGATGTTTTTACATTGTCGGCAAAAGGCTAGAGACTGTGTCTGAGGCCGAAGTGATGGCCAATCCAGCTGTGACAAGATGGATGTCGCAGAATCTACGTCTCGTACAAAGCGCCACTGGTCCACAAGTTCACTTGTGCGCTACTCCTGTCAGTAACTTGATTGTTGGCTGCTGGTTTAGGTTCAACCTACCGGCTGTTGGATGTTAGAATTGCGTCAGAGAAGAGAAATTCTAGGTATGCCATGACTTACGTTCTGTATACCCTGATTAATACATGCCAGAGGCTTGCATGATAGCATTTAGTTCAGTTACTTACATACTAATTTGTGTCAGTGTATCTGCATGTTAATTTGTTGGTTCGAGATCTTGGGTATTACGTTTGCTCCTCCAGTGGAGAGGTTCATTGCTGTTGGTTGGGCTGTTAGATCTGCTAGTTGGTCACTTCCAGCTCGGTCTTTCTCGAGGAGCGACGACCAAAGGCATTTATCGCTTTCCATATATCGCTCCCTGATCGCGAAGACTTCTTTCCGAACAACTTCGGCATTTTCCTTGTTCCAGGTTCCAATTTTCTTACCACGGTAAGCATCGATGTTCAAAAGTTTTGTCTTAATTAATTCAATCAACTCATTGCCGAATTTACTCAATGATGTATCTTTCTTTTGTATTTCATCCATTGTGTTCTTAACAGCAGTATTGAGTTTTGGTGTTTGACCCCTCTCGTAATCCCAAAATCTGGGTATCTTGTCTTCAGGTGGATTGGGCTGTGAGTCCTTTAAACTTTTGCGAAATTTGCAAAGACCGCCGTAGCCATCGTATATCCAGATTGTAAATTCTAGAAAAACGCAGCCAAGCGACCAGTAGTCAAAAAGTCGTGATCGCCGGCGGCCTTTGATTTCTGGCGGTTGATACATAACTGTGCATTGTGTAGTAGATGTATATCTTCGATCCGTAGTATACTCTTGGTGGAACTTGGAAAGTCCAACATCCGCGATAGTAAGTAGCCCTGACGCCGATCCGCGCTCGTTTTGCGGAAAATGGAGAATGTTATGAGGTTTGATGTCTCCGTGGCGGATCTTCTGTTGATGAAGTTTGTTCAGACCCTCAAATATCCCATGCATCTGATCAAGAGACCATGCAACAAAGTCGATGTTCTGCTTTAACTCGTCAAAACTCTTCCAAAACTCATTAAGATTACCACCGTGGGCCCATGGGAATAGGAAGCACCTGTCCTGGCCCGATTTGTAAATAAGAATGGTACTGATGAGATGGCCGTGATTTAGGCTCGCCATTTTCTGAAGGGTTTTGGCTTCCTTGGTGTAGAAGTCCTCTATGTTAGCATCATCAGAGCCGCCTGAGACTTTCAATATCTTTAGTGCAGCTTCGATTCCCTTGGATGAACTCTTTGCCGAGCTCGTTGACTGGCAAATGACCCAACACATCAGTACACAGACACATTGATCAGTATGTTTAGCTTACCTGCTGATGTCCGAAATGATTAGGATGGAGATGAACTCTCCACACGACACTGAAATTCGATGTAGAAATAGATGTGGGAATTGAACCATCGTTTGACGATGGAGGTATGTATGCCATAGGAAGTCTATCATGAAAGTCGATGATCTCCAATGATTCCGATAATCCTTTCGAGCAGTTAGGGGATAGAAAAAACCATTGCTGATCGAGAAATTCGGTGAAAACTTTTCGACTCTTTCCTTTCAGTGGGAAGTCCTTCACGGGGTACTCTGTATCGGAATAAGTCTCAAGTTGCTGTTCCCCGGGGGTCGGGTTGTCTTCCTCTGCGATCTCTGCGTTCGTTCTGTCGGCGCTGGGCAGGTCTTTATCCGTGAATTTAGCATCCATGAAATCCGATAGGTACTGGAGCCCATCAATGAATGTAAGGCAAAGGAAAATTCTTCGCGCGCCTTTTTCTACCACAAAATTTGCCAGCTCCTCGATCTGTTCGGTCCTAAGATTTGAAGAGCGCAATGTAGAAAGCACCTTCTCTTTCGTTGTGAGCTCATCGATGGAGCTGGATGGCATAAACCTTTTGAAAACATTATTGTTGTTCTTATTATTTTTCATATGGTCGTAGATCCGATCCCAGTTTACTGGGTGTGGTTGGGATGTGCGCTCCATCTGACACAGAGTTTTGATATAGTTGAGGCACGCAACCGCCCAGTCCATCTTTTTGGCATTAAGGTATTCGGCAGTGAACGATTTGATTTTGGTAAAATTAATCATCAATCTCAAGCATTGCTTGGTCTTGTGCTCCCTACATATACACGCCAAAACGCAGCCTTGAGTCATAACTTAAGAGTCGCATATTCCATTAGCACATAAGAAATACGTGTTCTCCCTGGCAGAGGCCTGAAACTCCGCTTTCTGCAACGAAACCACAATTGGGTTGCAATAAGGCGGCTCGAAGGCGTTGCTCCGCCACCATTTGCGAACCAATATTACATATGGTCCCATCGTCAGGCGAAAACTGCAGGAAATCAATCACCTGAGGACCCCGAATTCAGCCGCATCGGCTTCTTTCAGGTGGGATCTGCCGTCAATATGCAGTTCAGGACTAGAGGAGAATGCCTCATGATAAGACTCGTAAGCACAATCGCCTCATCCTTCGAATTGACGAGAGCAGCCCCCAAACTGTGACCAATTATCAATGATGATGATAGCTTCTGTTCAACTAAAAGTAGTCTGGACTCCATTTCCGCACATATCTAGCCGGGCTCATTTCCGTTCATGGCCACCATTACATTCGCCTGAAATCCCTTGCATGCATCGGCCCAAAAAGCAGCCCGCAACCGAACTACTGCAGGCTGACTCTTTAAATGTGCAATAATCTCAGCTGGGCTGAAGATTCTTAGCCGTCTATCGTGATTGGTCGGGCCTGATTTGCCCTCTGTCTCTAGAGAACGGATAACCGCTTGATGCCAATAATGTACTCGTCATTCCTCATCTCAAGGCTTTGAATCTCGATGTTGTGTTTGCCACAGAATATTTGAAGGTCCTTGACCAGCCTGTGTGGATATTTGATTGATTTGCACGGGATGCGACACTCTTCAGCTGCCATTGTTGTCCGTGGGATTTTGAGTGCAATAGATATGCTATGAAATTCAATGAGGATGAGAGCAGGATCAGGTAAAAGATGAGAGAACGAATGCCTCTCGGAAGTATGCAAAGACTACTGTAAAATGTGAAAGGCCCACACACGAATTGGTTTGCGAGCACTTGGCTCTTTAACAACAAGATTCGACCTCTACGCCTAGCAGTCGGTCAAATGTGTCATTAATTGCGCCTTATTAGCAACCATCTGGAAATGCCTAGGCTATGGTGATATGCCCACTTGTTTCTATTGATAGGTGGTTGCTGGCACCGCCGAGGATATCTTACTGCATATGCATCAGAACCATTGCCTTCTGCTGACCGCTGAAAGCTGAAAGCTCACGGGATGTCCGTTGCCACTTTCTGCATATTGGGGGACATTGAAGTAGGCGGCAAAGCCACCGCCTAGAATCCAACGGGCGGCTTGATGCAAGCCAAATGCAGGCTTACATCTAGCACCGCTAGTTCCTTCATGAGGTGATGTCTCATATTACGATACGGTAATACAAAAGTCTAAGCTAGATAAGGCCAAAGTTACGTATTGGATTGGTGGTAACTTTCCCGCCTGGTTGGCAAGGCTCCAGCCTGATGAATATTACGTCTTTACAACAACAATAAGGCTGCCACATTCTTTCAGCTTTGCTGCAACTGTATTGGATTAGCCGCTTAGTAGCTGTTCTGGGAATAGTTCATCCATATAGAGAACGTGAAGGGTGCTAACAAAAATAACTCACTACAAACGAGGCTCGCACTGTGATCCTGATCATCGTAGAGTATCTCAGCAGGAGGTGTTATTAAAGGTGTAGGTCTGTCCTCATCCCTCACTCAATCGTTAACATTTCTCGGTGACATACATTACTTATCTAAGGATCTCAATATCACAACGAATCCCCTTGTTTCACTTACCGTACATTGCAATTGTCACCAATTCTGTCATTATCAAGTGCCGGACCATCTTGACCCAGTTGCCGCCTTCCTTATGATGGGAGCTCACGGTATGGATGTCCCCCCTGTCATGGACCTCGGCTTCAGCCTGAGAGAAGGCCTAATCGAATCTGGACAATTGTCGGTCAATGCAACCGGCCCTATAAAGGCACACACTAAAGCGGACCAAGATGTCAGTCCTCAAGCCCAATATCATCTCCACGTATACTGCTTTATTGACAGTTCATACTCTTAGGATGATGACGATGATGTGATATTTGACCATTTGTGTCGAAGCAATGGAAAGGTGAATAAAACTGAGCCGAAACAATACCAGTTCCTTCCCCTTTCTTCGCTGGACTTCTTATTTAGCTTTGAAAGAACCAAAAAGATCATTACCAAAGCTTTTCCGGGTGAGAACCATCATGATTTGTGTCAGGAAATCTGTGGGAAGAGCTATAAGCATAGCAGGATTCGAATTCTCGCGGTGCTCTGCCAAATGGAGCGCCCCCAACTTCTCAAATCCTTTCTCGAACATAAGGTGTTCGACGACTCGCTCCCATTAGACACGCAGTTGAACAAATTTGGATGGAAGCATAAAGACTTGGTTAACTGGAGAGACAAACAATACAAGGCGATTGCTCCATTCTTTCATTTGAACACCGGAAACCCGGAGCACTATTGCCTAGATTCGGGAATACAACTGCCTTTTCTATCACGTCGTGCCTTAGGCAGCGGGACTCATGGGGCAGTTTCCGAGGTCTGCTTGCACGAGAATCATTATTATTGCGAAGAAAGCAAGGTGAGACCATATTTGACCTCAAATTTTGACTTACTGCTTATTTTTCCATGTACACTTGCTAATGCCTACCCCCATAGGACTTCGATCTCACAGGACCTTATTTCTCGTTGAAGGAATTCAGTGGTGGAATGACAACCGAATATTCGAACGAGAGAAAAGGCCTAGAACGGTTTAGTGGATCAAACTCTGGTCACCCTCATCTCATTCGGCTCCTGATGTCGTATGAATATGACGATCGATATTTTATGATCTTCCCGTTGGCGAAATACGACATGCTTGAGTTTTGGAAAATGGTTCCGAACAACCCTACATCCCCAAGGTTCTTAAACTGGGTACTCACTCAGAGTTATGGCCTCGCACAGGGACTTCAAAAAATCCACAACCATCATACTATACTAAAGAAGAAATCAAATAAGAATATGGGGCGACATGGCGATATCAAGCCTCGGAACATACTCTGCTTTGACTCGCCACGGAAAGATGGTACTGATGATCGCCGGGATGTTACTCGGTATAGACTTGTCCTTGCCGACTTTACTTTCATGCAGTTTCATTCACCATTGTCCTGCGAGCATAGCACGGAGTCCACTATGAGATATACTCACACCTACCGGCCCCCAGAAACCTATTCGATGCCCGGAAATATCTTCAGCCAACAGCATGATGTCTGGACATTGGGGTGCGTCTATCTAGAATTTATCACATGGCATCTTCTTGGATATGATGCCATTGACGAGAAATTTTGTTTAAGGGAAAATGGCCAAGTACGCGAGTTACAGGGTTTCCGGACCTTGCGGGATTTTGAAGATGCCGTCGATGACGGTTTTGTCAAGGATACATTCTTCAACCTGGATAGAAACAACAAAGCACATCTTAAGAAGTCAGTGCCTCAGGTACGTTCACAATGCCCGTGTTCACGAAAAGAAAATCTTTGACACTTAGTTTCAGTGGTGTTCCTATTTACGCGAAAGAAAGAACTGCTCACCCCAGCTGCATGATTTCATCGACTTCATTCAGGAGCACATGCTAGTCGTGGAACCGAAAAAGCGCGAAAATATTGATTTCGTTTGTAGGGGACTGAAAGATATATTGGAGAACAAAATCTCAACACATAGCTGCCAATTTACTGAAGAGAAGGGCGTTTTCCCTCCCCCCTATACCCAAGAGGCAAGTTGAAGTGTCCGAGTTCGATCAGACTTTCGTCTTCTAATGGGTGCGTTAGACTAAAAAACTACTCGAGGAGTTGAAAATAGTCTCGAAAGGCACTTACACCGAAGGTTCAATTGGCGACAAATCAACTGAGAAAGTCTTAGCCGACTGTCTACTGAACGGAAACAGAATCTCTGAGAGAAGCAATGACATTCTTACCAAAGACCTCAACATAGGAAGCGAAGGTAATCCCACCGACAATAAATCCATCGAACTTTTGATGATCGACCAAGAAACATCTCTGGAGCCATCTCCAGACAGCAGTTCGCATATCATCCAAGCCATAGAGGGAAAGAGACATTCTGCTAAAGACTTTAAGATGGTCCGTGAGAATGATTCGGCCGATGACAAGTCTATCGAAAAACCAGTCATGTCTAAGGGGCTGCTTGTTCCCGGGCAACAACCCTCTCTTAACCCGTCTTCATTTGGCAGCCTTCATAGTACTCAAGTTGAGGAAAGCCAAAAAAGTTCTGCAGAACGTCCAACTCAGAACTTCTACAAGGAGACAAGGCGGAATTGGGTAGTTCGAAGACTATTTAAATCTCAGAAAAAGGTAAAGAAGTGGTGGTTCAAGTTCAAAGAATTTAAAGCATCAACAGAAGGGCGGTGAATTCTAGGGAGCTTTAGTCTGTCAATTGATATCTACCATCATAAAAGATTTCAGGAAGATACCGTGTCCCACCCTCTTCCCTTTTACTTTGCCGAGGTGGTGTTATTCTTAATGTTTCCTGACGGTTTTTTTCGTCTATCTTGGCCAGTTGAAATGTAAATAAGGCTCAAACCGTGCTTGGAAAACTGACTATATTTTCAGATCACACATAAGAAATAGTTGGTTTGAGAGAGCCAGAGGAGGACATTTATAGAGAGAGAGAGAGTAGCGAAAGATGAATTGTTGGTAATGATATTACGGGAACACCAAGACAGAAACTTATGAATCAATCTATGAGATTACGATAACAACTACAGAACGTTTATTCTATCGAATAAAATTCGTGTCGCACTCAGTGTGATCTATTGTGCGATATGTCTAGGCTGGCTTCTGCTAAACATCCTCTCGAATCCGCTAACTTGGTAAGTGGATCTTTATTACACCGCTTGCCCGTAATAGTCTGTTTCGTCACCTGTTCACCTGTTACCCTTATTGTTTTGTCCTTTGGATATTAAATTACCATCATTTATTGACTTGAACCCTATGCAAGTCCTTCTTTCTCCTACACGGCTTTCCATATGAATTGTGGTGACGTAACCGGCCGCCTCCGCCGATCCGGGCAAAGCCCCAAGAGAGGATCAAACCTCCACTTCAACCTTCTTCCCATCTTCAACTAACCCCCATTTCACGACATCTTCCACTTCTCCTCACGATCGTGGAATGTGAGTGCCGCCGGCCGGCACTATGCGATGGCTACTCCTCAGCGACCTCCACTTCAAGCACCATGATCTAGACCGGGTGCGGAAGACGGCGCAATGGATCGTGATGGCGGCGGAGCGAAACAAGGTTGGACGGGTGGTGGTGTGCGGTGACTTGCTGACAAGCCGCACGATGCACTCGACGAATGTCCTCTCTGCATGTTACCGCTTCATTGGACAGCTCAGTGAGGTCGTGCCACGGGTCCATATTGTGCTTGGCAACCATGACCTCGCGTACCGTCGCGACTACCAGACCACAGCCCTTGACGCCCTCAATATTAGCCGTTTGGCTCCGTTCGTGACGCTGCATAGCGGTGTCGCCCGCCATGAATGGGACGGTCGGCGAGTCTTGCTGTTGCCGTTCCGCGAGGAGCAGGAGGAGTTGACCAAGGCCGTAGCCGCTCTGTGCCCTACTGAGGCTAGCAATACGGTTGCCTTTGCTCATCTGGCGATCAACAAGGCCATCACGCAGCGGCATGTGGTCAGTACAAGCGTCGACAAGCCTCGTGTAGCTAACTCCATCACGTACCGTGGCTTAACGGGACCAGACCAATTTGCCTCGCTGGCTCGGACGTTCACAGGACATTTTCACAGTCACCAGACTATTACCCAAGAACGATCTGACGGCCACCATTTCGACCTGCAGGGCAGCATCACATACCTAGGATCGCCCCTGCAGCTGAGCTGGTCTGACCTGGACGATGAGCAGAGGGGCGTCGTCTTGTTCGACCCCGAAACGCTCGCGCATGAAATGCTCATCAACCCGCACGCCGTAGGTTACACAACAACCGACCTGCGGCAAGTCCTCGAAGGCCAGGTCGACCAAGATGCCGTTCTAGACAAGCACGTCATGCTTCTAGGTGAACTTACCCGCCTAAAGTACGTCTCGGCTCGCGACAGGCTTCTCTCGATGGGCGTGCGGAGCGTGAGAAGCTGGACACCCATGGGTTTTTTCGGCGGCCCGTCATTCGGCGGTCTTGGCTCATCTGTGCCAGTGAGCGATGCATCTGTCCAGCCGTTGAATGAGCCCACCAAGGCGGAGCCGGATCTAGATATCACGAGCGACAGCATTTCGGGTCCTGATCCTGTCACTGGACCTGAGATTGCAAAATTCGATCTCGGCGCGGAAGCTCGCGAGTTTGTAGAGGGGCTAGAGCTGGACAAATCTCTGCTTTCACGTCGAGATGAGCTGGTGCGGGTTGGTCAGCGATTGATCCAAGCCTCCCACGAGATGACAGATACAGAGAACGAGAGCGAGGTTAATTACCGGGATTTTCTTGATAAATCATCACAAACCATCGGTACAAAAACTGCTACTGAGCTGGTAGGATCCTCAACCCACGTCTTCGTCGCCGAGCCACGCAGGCTCTTAATCACCAACTTCCTTGGCGTCAATGGCACTATCACCATTGACTTCCGACAGGACCTTCGGCGCGGATTGACATTCCTAGTCGGCGATAATGGCTCTGGTAAGAGCACGTTGGTCGAGGCCATGATCTGGTGTCAATTCGGGCGGTGTATTCGTAGCGGGCTGGCGGTCAATGATGTCGTCAATGACAGTGCCGGCAAGAACTGCTCAGTTATGCTGGAATTTGCCAACGGATACTCCATCACGCGCTATCGCAAGCACAAGACTCATGGTAACCGCGTCGTGGTCTCACTACACGGCGAGCCGCAGCCGCAGCTGGAGCACCCGGACATGCGCACGACACAGGCTGCCGTCGACGAGCTGCTTGGTATTGACTATGAGACGTACGTCAGGACAGTTGTTCTAGGCCATGAGAGCACAGCGAGCTTTCTGACCTCGACGCAAACGCAGCGGCGTGACTTGATTGAGGAATCGCTCGGGCTATCGATACTGGACAAGTGCGGGCAGTTGTCGAAGCTGTTGCTCAAAGATCTGGATAAGGACATAGATGAGGTAGAGGGTATGCTGGAAGGCTTGCTCCGGACGATGGAGTACAGCAAACGACGGCTTAAAGATCTGGATGGGACACGGAAGCGGCTCAAAGAGGAGGCGAAGGAGGCAGAAGAGGCTGTTGCATCCTTGGAGACGGTGATTCAAGAATATGCAGCTACTGAAATACTGCTTGATGCACAAGGACCTTTCCGCAAAACCCACAGAGAATTTGGACCCGAGCATTCCGACCTCGACGCAGATGTCATAGATGCCAAGCAAGATCCCTTTGGCATAAACAAGGTATCACAGGGCCTGCTGAATTCGACCGATGTCGCTGGGGTCAACGTGGACTTTCGCGTTGAAATTTCGGCCTTGCAGGAACAAATATACATTGGGCAGGAGAATTTGCGGCGACTGGAAGCCTCCTATGCTCGGATACAAGAAGAAGAAAAGCGTGATGAGCTGACCTCACGCCCGACCTCACGTCTTGGCTGGCTACAGCGACAACTGAGTCAAAGACTTGGGGACATGGCTACGGGTCATCCTGTAGGCCTGCACAAGTTCTTGAGTTCCATGAAGACCTCCATCCTTAACTTCGGGTTGTCAGTAGTGAGGGGCCTCTCATACATATTCAAGATTCCCAAGGACGGCTCTCAGGGACCCAGCGCCCAAGACCACAACCAAGCGGCAGCCATCGGTAGTCTCCGCAAAGACATCGAGAATAGCATGTCACGGCTACAGATCCTAGAAAACGAGATGGACCGAATCATTGCCCTAGAGAAGCTCGCCATCAGCCATATCGCCAAGCTGAAGAAACACTTCGCGCAGGCCTTCCAGGCCCAAGAGTCACTAAGGGCCCTGCAGCAGCAAGCCGCACTCAAGCAGCGCGACGTCGCCACGTACACAGATTTGGTCGAAACAGATCAGTCGTCTCTACAGTCGCTACGCTTGGAACACAAGGCATTGACCGCCAGACGTAACGAGCTTGACGCAAACCGTGAGCTCTTCGCATTTTGGTCTTCTAACCTAGGGAAGCGCAGCCGTCGCACTTCTTCGCCTTCCTCGACGACCAACTTCCGCGAGTATGTCCTTGTTAAGCCGCTGGCGGAACTCAACGAGCTCCTCGCGCGGATTCTCACGACGATGTACGATCACAACCACTCCGCACGCGGCATGGCAAAGGGTATGTTGCAGTCGCTACTAGAGCCTGACTGCGGCGACGCCGAAATCGATGACTCCTCGGGTTCTGTCCTCCAGCCCACGCTTGCTGTCCATCCCTCGCTGGCATACGGCAAGCGCTCGGGCGGAGAGCGCAAGCGTGTCGACCTGGCGCTCTTCTTCTCACTGATGCAGCTGATGTGGGCCAGGAGTGCGCACCGCGCCCACTATATGCTCGTCGACGAGGTGTTTGACAGTCTGGACGAGGCGGGCCAGGCGGCTGTGATTAGGTGGTGCGGGCTCATGTCGCAGACGGTGGCTGGCTGGATCGTGGTCATCACCCACAGCCAGTTCCTGATCGAGAAGAATGTAGAGGAAGAGGCCGGTAAGGTCTCGGTTATGCGGGCAAGAATGGGAGAGGATGGGATGGAGCTGGTTGTTGATGCGCGGAGAATTGGTGTTCAATAAGATGGGGTTGGACGAACACCACATCGCATGATTGAGTACTTGAACATTTATCACCCAAAAATAATATAAAACTCTTGACTCCATGAATTAAATTATTAAATAACTATAGACGTTTACAGCCAACAGTCCCTGTTGGCCTGGACAAAATCCTTCCACGAGCAAGGCGTCTCATCCAGCAGCGACAGACTCTCGGCCAGGTCGGCACCACCAAAATATCCAGGCTCCTCGAGAAGGAGCATGTTCTCAAGCAGCTCCTGCGCAACCTTGGGGGTCATGAAGGACTTGAAGGTGTCGGCGTCAATCTTCTGGAATGCCGTTTCGACGCCCATGACCTCGGAGAACTCCTTGAGGAGCTCGTTGGGTGTGTAGTAGCTGCCAGCAGCGTAAATGGTCTTGCCAGAGGTGGCTGGGAAGTGCTTGATGCCAGCCTTGACGAATTTGCCTATTCAAAGGAATTGTCAGCGATCAAATTGTGAGCTTTTCACTGGGTGAGGCCTACCGTAGTCGTTTGAAACATCCATGAGAGGGAACTGGGCCTTGTTGGCGTCAATAGGCAGACTCAAGACAAAGGTGCCATCTCCCCTGTTGCGAATAGCCGAGGTGAGGTTCACCATGAAGTATCCGGGCTGGACAAAGGTGGCAGGGATGCCAGAGGCACGGATGTACTTCTCAATCTCAGCCTTGCCATCAAAGTGCGTGACATGAGGCAGACGTCCGTTGGTGGCCTCGGTCACGTTGATGAGAGACGAGAAAAGCAGATGCTTGACACCGGCGGCCTTGGCGGCGTCGGTGACGTGTCTGCCCTGGGCAATCTCCTTCTCAGCGGACATGCCCTCCCAGAAGTTGGTGACGAAGAAGACGGTGTGAGCGCCCTCGACAGCAGGCCGGGCAGTCTCGGTGGAGTTCATATCGGCCTGGTCGCGAGTTGTAAGTCTATATGATCACTTTTCATAGGCGACCCATTGGCCGGTCATTCATTCGCAGCGCGTCATTCACTTACAACAACCATCTCAACGCCCTGGGCCTCGAGCTCTTGGGAAGCGGGCTTGCGTGTGTCACGGGTAACACCGCGGAAGCGGTAGTGCTTGCAGATTTCCGCATCCTGGAGAAGAGCGTTGATGACTGAGCCGCCCTGGTTGCCGGTGGCACCAAAGACAGCGATGACCTTCTTGTGGCTCATTTTTCCTGACTGCTGCGAGGTGGTAGAGGATGGCAAGGACTGGTGGTGGCTTCTTCGAAATGGAGGTCGGGCGAAGGGTTGATGGGTAGAAATCCCAAAGCTAGAGCTGATATTGAATAGAGTTGGAGATGGCCTAGATCTGCTGAAAGTAGCTACCGGGACGGCGGACTCGAGTCCTTTTATGTAACAGGCTCGATGAAGAGCTGCGGTAGCCATTGAAGTGTTTGGTGCGGTTTGACCCCTCACTTCAAGTCCCTACTAGAGAGTGTGGTAATGCTAAATCACCAGAATTTTTAACACCCAAGTCTGGGGCTGTTAAGCCTGCTTGATAATCCATCACAGCGTTTCACGGTATTTGTTACTGGAAGATTGGCCAGATGGATCTCATCACTCAGCAATTACACTTTGGGGTTGTATCGCCAAATGCTGACAGAGAAAGCTCCAAGGTGACACTAGCGAAGCTATAACGGCGGCGATCATCATTGCCGAAAAGGCAGAACAAACCTGCCCGGTGCCGAGACGCACAAGCTATTCATCAAGAGGCAGAGCTACTGGATAAAGGGGGGTGAGGCCAGACTGGATGCGGCATCGTTGGTCCCCATCAAAGGCTTTGTAAGGAACCACAAATACGAGCCATTGACCACTGGAGGCGGGGCCAGTCCCATTTCCTTGGAGAAATCTCTTTCAGCTGACAGGGGAGGGCAATTGAAGCGATTGATTGATCAGAGTGATGTCAGTTGGGAGGATGGAGATTGACCAGCAGTCATGGGGAAATAAAGGCTCGATGGACTTTTTCTTCTGCTATCCCATTCCCTTTCTCGCACACAGACCCGTGGTACAAAAACTGCCCATCCAGGTGCTTGCCGAGGGAGTTGGCTCTCTCGTAACTCCGATGTCGTCGTCATGGCTCAGCTTCGCTCGGCACGAATCGCGAACGAATCAATGACTGTTTATTTATTTCCATCCCAGTCATTTCGCTACTTGGGGCTCTCATGACGTCAAGCTGGACGAACAGAATCGGCTCTTCTGCCGCCCGTCGCCTTTAAAGCGGAAGCAGGGAGCCGAGTTGTTGATCCAGCTCCCACTCGGGCCTCGCCCGGCCGTTATTCCCAGTCATTTCGTCCGGTATCGCCAGAGAACCCATCTTTTCACAGGGAGATGGTAGGGCCAATGACTAGGTCCCGATTTTCGAGGCAACCTGTATAAAGCGCCGTCGCGGCCCTGTCAGTCTCATCGCGGTAGATCGCGTGCCGCTTCCCAACATGCAGCTTTCCGCTCCAGCGACGTTTCTAGAGCCATGTCCGATCCAGAAAAAGACGACAGGGTCGGCAGATCCTCCCCACGCGATGATTCTGCAGACGCCGACTTGGCCAAGGAAAGGAGAAGCGAAGACAACGACCGCGACATCGAGCGCCTGAACAGCGGCAGCTCCTCGTCAACCAGCCATAGCCTTACGGGCTCGGAATTCAGCGATGACCACGACGGTCACCGCCCGACAATGGGCGAGATCCACGCGACTTGCTCCCACAGAAGCCAGAGCCGCCATCGCAGTCCAGCTCGAAGCCGGGCGCGAGCAGGGACAGTAGGCACGGAGCTCAGCCAGGTCGTGTCTCGCCGCGAGACCGTCGTATCGAGGATCCGTTCCCGGCCCGTGCCCCAGTTCACACACCCTCTCGAGCACATCCCGACGACGGCTGAGCACTTGGTTGAGTTCGAGGGCTCCGACGACCCCTACCACCCTCTCAACTGGGCTACCAAGAAGAAGGTACTCACGACGTTGCTGTACGGGCTCATCACCATGTCTGCGACCTGGTCCTCATCGGCATACTCCGTCGGGACGCAGCAGGTCTCCCGTGAGTTCCACGTAGGCATCCAGGTGGCTAATCTGGGCACCACTCTGTTCTTGTTTGGTTTTGGTATCGGGCCGCTCCTCTGGGCGCCTTTGAGCGAGGTGTTTGGGAGGAGAGTGGCTGTCATGGTGCCGATGGTGGCATCCATCTGCTTCACGTTTGCGAGTGGAGCTTCCAAGGACTTGCAGAGTTTGATGATTACTCGTTTCTTTGGCGCCTTCTTCGCCTCTGCGCCCGTCACCAATACGGGAGGTGTGTTGGGCGACATGTTTACAGCCTCGTCGAGAGGATTCGCAATGGCAGGGTATGCCATGGCCGTTGTTGGTGGACCAGCTCTTGGTAAGTCCATCTGAGATCTTAAACAAAACTGGAGTCACCGAACTTTTCCAAGAGGAGATAATCTTCGATGCTAACAGATTGATAACATAAAGGCCCCATTGTCTCTGCTGCCTTGGTGCAAGACCCTTCACTGGGATGGCGCTGGACAGCATACCTCACTGGCATTATCCAATGTGTTGTCCTCTCTCTCGGTGTCATATTCATTGACGAGAGCTACCCGCCTAGGTTGCTCGTTTTCAAGGCCCGTCGCCTACGCCACGAGACCGGAAACTGGGCTCTACATGCCAAGTTCGAGGAATGGGATGTCAGCATCGCCGAGATGGCGAAGAAGTTCCTTGTCCGCCCGCTCCAACTCCTCAGCACTCCCATCTGCTTCCTAGTCGCCTTGTACGCCAGCTTCACCTACGGTATTCTTTACATGCAGCTCGGCGCCATCCCCATCATATTTGGCGAGCTACGCGGCTGGAGCCCCTTTGTCTCGACCCTGCCCTTCATCTGCATCTTCCTCGGTGCCATCGTCGGATGCGGCGCCAACGTGTTCAACCAACTTCTCTACAACAAAGCCTACCACGCCGCCGGGAACCGCCCAGTCCCCGAGATGAGGCTCCCTCCCATGATGGTCGGGTCCGTCGTCTTCAGCGCCGGCCAGTTCATGATTGGATGGACGGCCCAGCCCTCGATCCACTGGATCGTCCCTTGCATCGGCCTCGTCATGCTCGGCGCGGGCTTCTTCACCATCTTCCAGGCCGCGCTCAACTACCTCGTCGACACGTTCACGGCCTACGCCGCGTCCGCCGTGGCCGCCAACACATTCCTGCGGTCCTGCTTCGCCGGCGCGTTCCCCCTCGTCGTGGGGCCCATGTTTCACAATATTGGCGTCGGGCCTGGGTCGAGCATCACGGGCGGGTTCGGCGCCCTGCTGATCCCCGTGCCTTTTGTGTTCTACAGGTATGGGAAACGGATCCGGGCGCGGTCCAAGTGGTCCAAGGGCTCGGTTTACGATTGATGAATCTACTGAGCTTATCTTAGAATAATAATTTACTACCTATACACTCAAGACAGAGTCGTGATTTCAATTTTCTTTCATTTCGATCGTACTACCCTACTAATGATCTGACTCTCATCGCTACACAAACTCCACACGACCGAAGAATTTTGTGATGTGAAAGCTTGCCTTGTCAGGCGGGCTCCATCCACCGAGCTCCTGGGCGGGGAACGTCTCGGGGCTGGTGATGGTCCTGAAGAAGTTCATCCTCCACTTGGTGCCCCTGGCCTTGCCGGCCTTGACGTTGAACAGGCCGAGGGGGATCTGGGCCACGCTCGTCCACAGGAAGTTCTCTTTGTCCAGGGTCGTGGTGGCGGTGAAGCCGTCCGCGGCCGGGTTGGAGACGAACAAGTGGTCAAAGGGCGCGCCCTCGGCCCGGTTCTCGGAGGGGTTGTAGACGAATGCCTGGTACGTCACGTTATTGGGGTTGATCTCGTACTCAAAGTACGTCTGCGGGTCGTCTGTGCCCTTGTAGATGAAGGCCTCGACGACCTCGTATTCCCAGATGTCGCCGTTGGTGGTCTGGTTGGGGTTGAAGAAGAAATTGGTCTCGTTGTGGGCGGTGAACTTGATCTCAATGGTCTCCTTGTTGTAGCAGAGGCCAATCTCGGTCTTGGCGAACTCGGTGAGATCCGGGACCGACTTGGTGATGGTCGCGGTGCCCACCGACGGGCATGCTGGCACCTTCAGCGACGGGACCGAGTTGGTTGCCGACGCCACGGCCACGAGGCCGGACATGAGCGAGGCGAGATTGGCGAGAGAGGACCGCTGCATGGTGACAAACTATGAGTATAGGGGCGAGGTAGAGAGGACTAGCAGAAGCTGGCTGAGCGTGAGTAGGACCCGTCTCAATATATATACCTGATCTCAATTCAAACTTTAATCTCAGCTGCTGTGCTTACCTTCCCCTCACAGACGGACCCCATGAGGGCCCTCTTCTTGGACCCCAGAGTAGGGTTACATCTGGATCATGGTTCAGGGCCTTTGGGAGTGGGCTCTTCACGCTATCTCGTATCTCACAGCAAGGGGCAAGGTGACGCGGATGCGTTACCAGGTAGTAACTGCAACGTAGTAAGCGACATCCATGTCGCGGGCATTCCTCAGTTTGGGTCCTTGTCTCATTGGTCGAGTGGCGACATCATTCACCGACCATTGTTTCATTCAATTGATCTTTTGCCACCAGACAATGATTATAATCATTCACCAGCGCGACTCATACCCCGGCCTATCTATTCATTGGCTCTTTACCGTCATACAAGTGAATAACATCCTTCGATCATAGGACTACGTTGATGAAGTGGTCAATGCACTTATACTCATTGTGCATTCAAATTACCCATCATTGACCCATAGATACAGAAGTTAATTGATTGAAGAAAATCGTTCGAAGCATGCCAAATAATGTGCTGGGAGACTCAGACCCAAAAACTACTTTCCAATTTGATATATCGTCCTACTCTTTGAAGACTATTTCCAAAATACAGCCTATAGGTCATCAAGATGTTGCCTCCAAGGAGACGACGTGTCATGAACAATCTCGATATCAATACCATCAACCGGAGAACTTTCTTCCAGTATTGTTTCCATTTCTCCACTTCGGCAGCTGTTGGTGGTATCATTGATCTTGATACAGCGCAGCCGTGGGAGGCTAGTCCGGTAGTGCCTAAACGATTCTTCAATCATGTTGAGGATACCCGCATCCGGCCATAGGAGGTTTTTATCGCGGAGCCATTTGACATCTTGGTAAACCATACCAGTTGAAAGAGAAAGCTCTTCGACATTGCGAGGCAAAGAACTAACCAGTGATGTTGCTTCAGCTCCGAAGCCCGTCAGAGCCATTAACGGCACATCTAACTTTGTTATTCCGTCGAAATCGAGAAGAGGCCTCAGAGACCCGGAAGCAATCAAATTTGGTTCGTCATATAGCCGCCAGTGGTGAGGAAACTCCATTCTAAGCCGAAGGCTCTCCAAGGTAGCTTTAACGTGTGACAACGCCGCGATGATCTCGTCAAAGTCCACGGTTGCTGCCTCAGGGTAGTATTCCCATTCCCAAGAAAGAGACTTGAGGCACCGTGTTCGGGCAAGTACTCCGGCCATCAGGGTTGCACAGTTGCTGTCGACGTCCAGCGAAGTCAAGTGGTCAAGACGAGGCTCACATGCTGGCCAATGAAGAACCTGCAAGTCGCCGAATGAAACCGCCAACTCTGTCACCGTTGATAGGCAAAACGAAGCCTGCGCAACCTCAGATCTCTGGTCCACATAGGGGCCAAAGAAGGCTAGCTGTTCAAGGCGCCTCCATTTGGGAGGCTGGCCCAAGGCTCCGTGCCGGAGAAGTTTTGCAAGAAAATCAGACGACCGAAGAAAACTGTCAACAATAATAAGTCGTCTTATATTGTAAGCTTGCGCAATCAACAGAGCAGCAAAAGCGTCCACATGAGCCGCCCGGAGCTTTTGCACCCAAAGATCAGTGAACGGTAGTCTGAGATCTTCTATGATCGGTATATAACTCTGGACTCTATATCCAGTAGGCATTAGAGAAGGCAGTCTAACTTTAAGCTGTCCTTCTCCATGCAGTGCGAGGGTACGGACAAGGCTAGCAGTTCAGGTCTCCGGAGAAGGGTTTGCAAAAGATTGATAATTGGGGGTGGCCGATTCTCAGTCCACTTGAGCGCAATGGTGGAATAAAGAAAGGGCTCAGCATAGGAGCGGAGGGATTTGTTAACTAGGCAAAGATTCACGAGGCCTCGTCTCGGAACGAAACTCATGATATGATCCATGATCTCATCTGGGGCATCGGAGATATTCGCCTTCTCCCGTCTCGGGCGGGTGCGTTTACGTTTGTGCGTGCCCATTTTGATGATCAGATCGTTCGGTTGTTAGAAACAAGATTGAGATGGCAGCTGAGAGTAAGATGACGCAAGAATATTATATAGGTGGATTTTTCTGCATGTTACACCGGTTTGGGATTATGCATATTCAGTCACAACTTCGCATCCGAGGGTCCCTTACTAAGCAACTACAGCGAAAAGCGCGTGTAACCAAATTATCCAAGAAACAATAAGATATGGCTACCTTAGAGGGTGCTTACTGAGGTTCAGGGTAAGCTTAGAAAACCTAAGAGAGCGTTGTCATGTTACGAGACGCAGAGAGTCAAACTCATCCTCTCACAACATTATGCTGCATTGATTTAGATGTTTGATTTCACCGCCCGTATTAGCAAGATCTTGATGGCTACCCATAGGGAGTCACAAAGGACTCATTAATCAACATACGTGCAAAGTTTAAATGCCGGCAGAAGAAGATGGATCGTTGAAAGCTATCTATGAAGAGAAATATTGACCCCAATGATGCTCCAGAACGCATTTAAAACGGTGCTCATCACTGTGGTTAGTTATTATCCGCAAAAATTGTGGCATTTGTGCAATTTTGTTGTTTAGCCGCTCGGTTTTAGCCAGCAAAGCGCTGTCAAGCCCCCCGGGACACTGGAATTGAGAATGAGACCCTGGTGATGATGTAACCGCGAACAGCCGCTCGGTCCTCTGCTTTGTGAAGTAAAGAATAGGCACGCCAGGCATTGGTGATAAAAGAAATGAGACACTAGACTGCTGGGCGGTTATGGGTAGACCATTTTACATGAATCAACCGATATGATTTAATAATATTTAGTGTACTGTCTCTCAGCTGTTCAGTATTGGCCTTCAATAACTGAAAATACCTACCTCGGACTTAAGAATACCACGGGATAATATTTGTATGTATCATTGTTAATATCACCAAGCTGCCAGGTTCGGTAGATCTGATGAGGTGGATATCCCATGTCAAGCTGTTAGTAGGCTAATAGAGGTGGGGGTTGCATATATAGAATTAGGATCGCCAGTGACACGTCCGACGCCCTGCTTAGGGCTATTACTTGGGTGTCATCACCACCGCACGGGATCAAGACCTCCCGGAACCGTAGATCTGGTGATCCTGACAAATCTCAAACTGCCAACGACGATTGAGTTTCCTCTCTGATCTGTGACCCACCTGGCCAAGCCGTTGACTGACACATTATCTGCCTCAAGTCTTATCATAGTCTACAAAGGCTTTGTCAAATATCAATCTCGGATGTAGAAGCAGGTCTCAGTTCCCGTAGAGCACCTTCCGACGCGCTCGCGTTTAGAAAATCAGGTGCGGGATGAGAGAGCAATGGAGACGTTCGTTAGGTTTCGCCATCTAACAAAACTTAATGAGGGAATGAAAGTACGTAAAAGCCCAAATCATGGTCAGTGTATGGCTAATACCCAGCCTCGACTTTGTTAAGTTATGCTTCCTTTAATGGCTTTGCTTCGAATTCAATGAGTGCCATCGCGCAAGCGGAAGGGGTGATTTGAGATTTAAGACAACCGGATTAACAGCTGGGACGAGACATTGAATGTCGTACCTCGGCTAGGTTATGCTATCTCGCCGGATGCCGATTAGAGGCTAAAGATGCTCCCTTCACTTCCTCCAAGGCCTGGGGATCTTTTGTATCAATCTTCCGTTTACATAACTAAGACATTTCCGCAGGGGAAATTAAACTAAGACAGCCATTTCTGTGATAGGTTGGCGGTTAGCCGTCGCGTCTTCACCACTCTAGGGTGATAATGATCGCCAACGAGAAAAAGGAAAAACAAGAAGATCATAGATTGGCCCTTGTCCCTTGCTTCCGAGGCCGTCCCATGTCCCTTGCCATCGCGAACCTTCATAAAAGCTGAGATCGTCCAAATCGGCAAATGGAAAGCATCGCCTCGGTTTCTATTTTCCCACAATTCACTCACTTCTTACCCCTTCACCCGGATATTTAGGCATATTTTGTGCCCCTCACTGGGAGAATGTCATCAAATCAAGAGGAGCCCGAGATGGGACTACGACTAGATGGAGTTGGTATTTTCTGGGGGGTCTTCGCAACCCTATGGACAGCCGCCGTTGTGTCTGGCATAACCTATCTCATTTCCAACCGCAGCTCACCTACCTTGCGCATTCGTGGCTTGTGTTTATCCATTTGTGCAGTCACCTTGCTGCACTGCTATTGGATCACTGTCCAGCTCGGCTACATTGTGCGCAACAACATGCCGGGCGATGGCGAGTACTGGATCATGGGCACCTGGCTCCCGTTGGGCATTGCTGTATTCCACGCCTCGAACAGCCGTTTTCTCCACGTTGCCAAGGCTCAAAAACGATTTGTGGACAAGGTGGAGGAGAAGCCGGAGGCAGGGAGCTCTAAGGGAGCGTTTGGGTTCTACCGGCGACTAGACCACATCAACAAGATGGGCATTCTAGTTGGAGCAGGCATCGCAATTCAAGTAAGTTATCCCACGTACGGCTCCGGACGTTCTAGCTGATTGTAAAATAGATTCTCATCACCGTTACCATGTATCTGATGTCCCGCAAGTGGCACGAATCGTGGGGAATCCCCGGCACCGAAGTCCAGGGGTCGACAGAATCCGAGAGACGGGAGAAGATGCTCAGGGGCTGGGAATGGTATGGCACGATCTCGAAATGAATCAATTGTCCAACAAACTAACCACGTCTTCTAGGTGGCATACGGTGTTCTGGCAATTCTTCTGGGCGTGGATCTTCGCACCCATCATCCTCTGGCGATCGCGAAATATCTACGATACTCAAGGATGGAGGTTGCAAACCATCGCTTGTTGTGTCTCTAGGTAAGAGGTGATCGTCAAAGCTTTCCAGCCTCCTGCTAATTACTGTACAGTTTGCACGCGGCCCCAATGTGGTTGATCGCCTTGTACGTTCCTCAGATGGAGAAAGTCAACCGCTACTTCATTCCTCCTCAATGGTATGCCCTCTCCATCTGAGACATTGGTCGACCATTAGAAAAGCCTCCCTAGCTAACATCAATCAGGATCGCAGTCTCCATCATGTTCTTAGAAATCTTCACCATCTTCCTCCCCTGCTGGCAAGTCATGCAACAGCAAAATCTCCGCCAGGAAGTTCTCGATACTATTGCCCAGTGGGAAGCGAAAAGCAACCTCCCCGTGACGAGTGGCAAATCCATGATATCTGGATCGACCGCAATTGAATCGTTGGGAAGCAAAGACTCGGCGTTCACCTCACACTCGAACGAGAGCATCCTGACGATGGGTGCACTCGAACATGTCCTGCAGCGCAATCCGGGACCTCTACTGGAATTCTCTGCGCTCCAGGACTTTTCAGGCGAGAATATTGCCTTCCTCGTAGCAGTGGCAGCCTGGAAGGCTGGATTCACTACAGAGGTTGATGCGAAAGAGAAGGGTGAGGGAAAGATGCTCAACACCCAATACGAAGATGCTCTCCGCATCTACGCCGACTACGTAAGCTCCCGAGACGCCGAGTTTCAGGTCAACCTTCCTTCTACGATCCACAAGAAACTCGAAGACATGTTCGAAAAGTCAACCCGTGAGGCTTACGGCGACCGAAGCGAAGTCAATCCTGCCACGCCATTTGATGTTCTAGATTGGCCCAGGCGTAAGGCTTCCGGATCTTCAGGTTTATCGACCACGACAACAACTGAGGAGGCCGGGCAAGTGGCAGAGGGGTTCAGCAAGACGATATTTGATGAGGCAGAGCAAAGCATAAAGTATCTCGTGTTAACCAACACCTGGCCCAAGTTTGTAAAGCAGCGCCAGTCGTCTATGGTTGTTTCGATGGAAGTCTGATGCAGATGTCTCCGAATACACAATAGGTTTGGGACATAGTAATAATAGGCAATATAAATAGTACATACCTTCATCTCACTTATATTCATTCAAGTTTCTTTCGTGTTGCCTTGCTAATTCAAGTCACTTTGCTCAAGCCATCTAAATTTACTCAGGTCCAGCTTGAAAAGAACCCGCGAAAGCTGAACACCCAGAGTCGCCAAAATACCTAGATTGGTGATAAATGAAATGAAAAGACGGACAATGGCCTATGCTTGATAAGGAAAAATCTGCGTCATGATTACGACGACAGTGTGGGATGCCATCCAACCTAGTTGAGGCTTGTTCTCTCGTTCATATCCACCTCCAATCTAAAAAGCAAATGGGAAGTAGAAGATGACAGGGCCAAGAAACTGCCTAAGTCTTGTTGAGGAAGGTGCTTTCAAATACTGACTGATATGTGAGAAAAATCTACTGCAAAAGCATTCCGTGACCCACGCAGAGAATTGCGTGATCTCTCTTTTGCAACAAACTTCAGTGCCCCCTTGAGGCCCCCCACGGCAGCCTAACAGTTAAGCTTGAATTAAACCTTTGCCAAGCTTTGCGCCACGGCCCTTCTTCAGGATAGCCAGCCGTCTAGCGGTTCACTGCAATGCAGGTCGGTCGGCTTTGAATGGTAATGTCGCCATCGGGACTGGGAGGCAGCCCTTCGTACGCGACATGCCCATGTTTCGCCAAGGGTCATATCCATGGTAGTACTTTACTTGTATACTAGGCTTAGTACCGCAAAGAATCGAACCATGCGCTAGAAACCCCCTCTCAAGATGGCGTTGCGTCCAATGACAGAGACTGAATAACGATGCGGCCAAGAGATACACAATCCATGTGCAGGTTTGAGAGAGAACGCCCCAACAATGGGTACTGCTCTCCCTGACCTCCCACTACTCCTACGGCCCATGAATGGTACGGTAATACTGTTAGCTCTCACCTCACACGCAATTGGTGAATTTGATCAGCGGAGGCGATCTCAGGGGAGTGACCTAATGTGAGTGGGTTTCGAAGAATGAAGATTCGTCTTTCCAAGATGTAACCTGTTTGATATTGCGTCAACATACCCTTGATACCCACTGTTCTCTTGGCCTGCAACATGGTATATCTTTTCGGACTGTCCCCATTTGTTACCCAGTCAGATTTGCTCTCGCTACTCTAACCTTCTTCTCAGAAACGAGAAAACGGCTCTTATGTCCTAGACCCAATGGCGGAGATTACTAGGGAGAGCAAGCAACCCCCCTCACCTCAGGTCTCCTCTGAGAAGGAGATACAGACAGCCGTGTCTAAATCCGAATCAGAGGAGGATATTGAGGCGACTCGAGCTCGCATTCTTGCCGAGCAGGAGCCCCTCCAAAAACAAAAGGCCCCTCTAGTCCCCATCACTGCTCTGTTTCGGAGGCGAAAGGACTACGATGAGAATGCGATCGCCACTCAGCCGTCGGTGTATGACAATCCAGCTCTGGCTCGGTACTTCCAGCCCAGTCCAAAGTATGAGAATCGCCATCGCTTCGATCCAGATTTCCGCTGGACATGGAAAGAGGAGCTCCCTCTGATCAACAAAATGGACTGGAAGATCACCCTGTGGGCCTGCATTGCCTTCTTCGGGCTTGACCTGGGTCGCGGGAACTTGTCCCAGGCAAACACGGATGATTTTCTCCCGAATCTCGGCATGAATACCAACGATTACAATCTGGGCAACACTGTGTTCCAGACCTCCTTCCTCCTAGCAGAGCTCCCATCTCAAATGATCAGCAAGAAACTTGGGCCCGACCGATGGATCCCCTTTATCATGTGTTCATGGAGTATAGTATCAGGAGCCCAATTCTTCCTCAGTGGTAAGACATCATTCCTTGTTACTCGAGCTCTACTGGGTATGCTCCAAGGCGGATTCATTCCAGACATTGTTCTCTACTTGACCTACTTCTTCAAAGGGAGTGAGCTTCCGTTTCGACTGGCTCTCTTCTGGACGGTTCGTCGCGTCACAGATATTGTTGCTCCTCTCCTGGCATTTGGTGTTTTGCGCATGAGAGGAGTGCTCGGTTACGAAGGCTGGCGATGGCTCTTCCTCATTGAAGGAATCATCATGTTGTCCATAGGCGTATGGTCTATTTTCATGATGGCACCATCGCCTACACAGACAAAAAGATGGTACCGCCCCAATGGCTGGTTCAACGAGCGTGAAGAAAAGATTCTTGTCAATCGAATTCTTCGGGATGATCCTTCGAAGTCAGACATGCACAATCGTCAGGCGATCACACCCAAACTGCTTTGGAAGTCTCTGAAGGACTATGAACTCTGGCCAATCTACATCTTCGGTCTCCTTTGGGAAATCCCGCCCGGTCCTCCTGATCAATATCTTACCTTGACCCTACGCAGTCTAAACTTTGGCACTTTTGACTCTAACTTGCTCAGTATCCCCGCTCAAGCTACTGGTGCAGTCCTGATGTGTATCACGACGTATCTCTCGGAGCGGTGGGATTCTCGTGCTTTATTCGGCATTTTCACCCAGTTCTGGTACTTGCCCAACCTAATTGCTATGGCAGTTTTGCCCAGCGGCACTAGTGCTTGGGCTCAGTATGCGCTTGTCACCGTCCTGCTCTCTTATCCTTCTCGTATGTCTCTGCAATAGAATCATGCCCCTTCATAAGTATTCGGTTATTACTCGAATAGCCACACTGACATTCAAATAGCACACGCAATGCATGTCGCTTGGGCTAGTCGCAACTCAAACTCGGTTCGGACCAGAGCTGTATCGTCTGCTATATATAAGTGAGTGACATATTGATATCTATCTACATATTACAACATACTAATCTCATGATAGTATGATGGTCCAGCTTGCTCGAGTCATTTATTCCAATATTTATCGCGAAGATGATAAGCCTGAGTGTGAGCTGATAGACCCTCTACCGCTTCGAGTCCTATGCTGACCACACACCCCGATATGTAGATCGACGTGGAAATCGTGTTCTAGTGGGAATAAACTGCATGAATATTTGTGTCTATATCATCGCTAAGCTATTCTACATGCACCTCAATCAGAAGAGAGACAAAGAATGGAACGCGATGACTGAAGAGGTGAGGTCTTATTCCAAGTACGAATTCAGAATTTCTAGCTCATTAATTTCTAGCAACGACTTGAGTATCTCGCAACGACTAAAGATGTTGGGAGTTCGAGGAAAGACTTTAGGTTCGCCCATTAAGGGGCCATCGTCCCCTTGCCCCGAGGTTAGTAGTAGAATGTCGCTCTCTTTACCTCTTGCAGCTACGAATAAGGAAAGAATCTCCGAAATCGACATTTTGTTCATCTTTGATTCAAGCTACTCATAGGGATTAAATTAGATTTCAAGACATACTTGAGTTGGGGGTAATAGCTCTCTATCAATGGTTCTTAGAAGTCGACAATAAGTTAGCAAAACCGTAATAAAAAACTAGATGCCACATACCCAAATTCAAAGAGTTCACCTTTTTATACCAGCGTTATTTCTTAGAAAGAAATCTGGACTTAGTACTCAAATATTAGGGATCACTCGATTCTGACATGGCAACCACGAGACTGACACCAATATCTATGAAGTAAAAAGCACAGCTAACGGACTTGATTTGTTCAAGTTTTTTTTTTTCCTCTTTTTTTCTGTTGACTAACTCATTATTTACATTTTAGACATTCAGTGCCCGGTATCCATAACGAGTCAGGTTACAACGAAATAATTTAAGAAGTTCCTTGGCAAGCAACAAAAGCATTTCCGCTGGCGCCAGTGTGGGTGATGGTGCCGGCCTGCTTGCAAGCAGAGTTGATGATGACTCGGTCGGGTCCAGGAGAGCCTGCGTAGGTGAAATCACGGTGTTAGGGAGCAAACTCAGTTAGAGGTCAAAGACAATATGCGGGACATACCACCAGTGTAAACAGAGCCGGAAGAGAGAATAGGGAACTCATAGTAAGGTGAGGCAACGCCCCCGAAGGAGAAACCCTCGGAGTTACGATAGGTGTGTGGGTAAGTGGAGCTACCGGCGGTAGTTCCAGCCTTCACATGGTTGCAGGCGGCGACGGAGGCGGCATTTGTTTGGGCAGCAGTGTAAGAGACGGATCCGCAGACGGCAGCAGCACGGACCTCGAGTTCGACGAGCTCGACGGGGACGGCAAAGACGGTTGCCGCGAGGGCGAGGAGGGCGTAGGGGAACTGCATTGCAACTGTTGATCACTTGCTTGGGCTGGTAAGACTGAGCGGACGTGATGTGGAGAAGAAGATGGAGAGGAAGGATGGTAATTCTGACAGCACATGAAACATTATATACTTTTCCATGAAGGCTTTAGTGAAATCTAGAATCCTGCACAGTCTTAAGCAGTTTCCCTATTTGCCTCACCCGCCGAGCGATGTCGCACTCACACACACTCAGAAGCGATAACCGTGATGGGACTTCCCTTCACCTTCCTTATATTAGAGAGGAAAATCATAACCAGATTAGGCCGCGGAAATCAAGCTGTGGCCAAAGCGGCAGCTGCCGATGCTTCATGGTCCCATAGTCTCCATACTACTACGGGCTGAAACTAGGGAGTGGGATATAGCCATTTGGAAGCTCTTATCTCTCCCATGTGGGAAGGAATGCCCCGCGCAGTTGACGCGTGTTGAATATGAGATGGCGGATCAGACGGTCGGATCAGGAAGGTGGTTGTAGAGTACCGAGATGCACGAGGATAAGCACTGGCTTCAATTGGGTCTCCAGAATGCGGATGGCGCCGGTAAGCTATCAGACAGCAGGGGCTTCTTCCACTAGACCGAATTTCGCATGATGAGAGCCTCAAGAACGGTCAAGTACAATGGGACGGAATGTAATAGAGACCAGCCTATTCACAAATGCTAGTTCGCGTTTGTATTAGCCTGGATGTTCGCTGTCGTTAATCAATTGCCGCACTCTCAAACGGTTTAAAAGAGATGAGCCAAGTTTAAAAACAGGTTAACCGAGAAGCGGAAGGCCGGAACAGAATAAAGCCTGAGAAGAGCTTTCTAAGCATTTACGCATCATTTACCGCATACTTTTGTTTTCAATTAGTTACTTGTACTTCCCGCGATAGAAGCTAACGAATGGAGAAGTCCGTAGTCCCATTATGGGAGTTCAGGTAATGAACAATTTCGTCATTGACGATCTACTCTGTGATTCAAGATTGCCTAGACAAACTATTCTCTCCCAGTCTTTTCTTGGCAAGCCTGTGATGTATGTAGTCTACTCTGTCTATTCAGATCCGCGCCTACTGCCGGCTACACGATCATATGGCCACATGTACTTTACTCTAAATATATCTCATCATGTTCGACCTCAAATTGAGCCGAGCTCAAACAACCCTTTCTCACGCCCCTTCATTCTTCTTTCTAAGATGAACCTCAACTCAGGAGTTATAATTATGCAGCTTGAAGAACTATCTATTGACTCATCTTCAGCCCATCACCCTATTTCTGTCTGTCCTCTACATAGCTTTTATAACGACGTTGTCTGAGGATTACATTGTTGTGAGGCTTGTCGTTGAGACAGGCGTTTAATGCTTTAGAAGCGCCCCAACGTGGTTATATCCAATGGTAATCTTCAACTTAGATAAGTATTGCTATTGTTATCTCGGTCTATATTAACTTCAAGAAATCCTTCTTTCTGTTTCTCGTGAGTTGCCAAGGTAGTTCTGCTCCGGTTGTCAATTTCGTTCCTATTAACCCCGAAATTGCAATTTGGGTTCGAAAACAATCCAACATCTACTCACTGTTCCAACGTCTGTTCAGAGTTTTATGAAAAAGCTCAGAGATAATAGCCAGCTACTTGGAAAACTATGCTTTCGGCGGCCATTGGTAACTTTTCGCACGGTGAGAGTATCGATATTACGTGTTTATTTGCAGGTACCGACGAGAGAAATGCTCAGCCCCGAGTTCAAGTACATGTAAATCCTAAACTCGATAACTGGTTAGAGAAATGAACCGGGATACTTCCTCATACACGCCTTCTCTAATCACATGTAAAAATCTTAACAGGTTTGCCTACATCCATCGTGATACATAGTTAATAGCAGTGCACTGCGTGAAGCTCACCTAGGACGCCTCTGGGGGTGAATTCTGCAGTGGTGATGCGACTATTAGAGGCCATAGCTGCGAACAGCTAAGTCAGGTATGCAGTTATCACTCCGATGGAAATGATTTGCTAAGACGGTGCCGTATAACCGCTAACCTGCGTTAGCACGTCAGCCGCTTGACCTCGGGCAGCGGGGTATATCAATGCTATCCGAATCATCTGTGCCTCCCTTCTATAGAAAATCAAGAAGAATAAACGCGATTCCGGAAATCGACACTGAGCCGACAAGAAGCGTCCACTGCGCTGTGCATGACGTTTGACAGACGTGTCGAAGGATTTCAGTAGTCCGGCGTGTATGAGTCCCCAACAACGATGTCATCTCAGCCATTCAGCAGCACACAAGGCCAGGACTTACTAACGAGAGTTCGCTCCGCCGGGTATGCTCGAGACGCAGATGTGCTGCAATTCAGAGAACTGCTAGAAAGTGACCACGTAGATGGCGACTTTGCCTTGGCAGCTCTACGAACACTCGCCGATCGCGAGCTGCAACACTTCAACAATGAGCGTGGCAGCGCTTCTCTAGAGCTCCAGCTGCGGGCAATGACTGCAGCGCTCGCTGTGATCCGCAGCACCATTTCCAAGCTCTCGCACAACTCCCACAAGGGCTTACAGTCATCTATTAGCAAGCTGGATGAGTTTTGTTCGCGTGATTTGCGCCTCCACAACAATCCCAATATCGAATTCCTGATGCGCAAAGTGAAGAAGGACACATTATCTCTGGCGAACGATACCACGAAGACAGACATAGCTATGAACGTGGGTCTAGCAATCGGGAGTGCCGCCCTGGCAATGTACGGGAGGGACTTGCTAGGGGCTATAGACGCACTGCAAACGTCCTCTCTCGAATGGAACCAAACGTGGGATGCATTCTTGATCATCGCGCAATCGTTTGCTGCCAATACGTCAGTGCTTGGATCTCCTTCCAGCCAGGATGTCGACGCCATCGTGGCCAAAACTGTTGCCGCCTATGAGAGCACTCAAGTCCAGCGTTCTGTCACTGCCGGGACTGAGCTCTTTGCTGGTCGGGGCTCCTTAATCGCCTTTGAGCTCATGGATGCGTTTCAGCAGCGATACACAGCGACTCAAGATGCCTCGCTCGTAGTGCCGGCCTGTGAAGTCGCATCTACGTACCTATTCGACAAGAAAGGGCGTCACAATCTGTATTTCAAAGCATTAGAATTGCTCAACAGCCTTGGCGAGAAGACAGAAGCAAAGGCGGCTATCCAGCAGGCCGAGATCAGAATAAAGCCGGAGACTCTCAGGACCTTGCGCAGTGATGTTGCAATTAAAATTGCGCAAGACTCTGTACTGCTCCAGCGGATCCAGACAGACAAGCTCTCGGAGACCAGTGCGATTTCGAATATAGCCTTTGCACCTTCTGCATATCCGGTATCTTCTGGCACGACAGTGGTCACACGAAACTTTGCCGATGGCTCAAAATACGTCGGCGGCGAAAAGGACGGCAAATTCCACGGCGAGGGTGTGCTAACGCGTCCCAACGGTGAGCGCCGTGCTGGTACTTTCGAGAATGGGTTCTTAGAAGGCCGGGGAGGGGTCGACTACGCCAACGGAGATCGGCGTGAAGGTCTATTTCGGGCCGGCAGACATCGGCAGGGTGTTTTGATACTCTCTTCCAAGCAGCGCCACGAGGGTGATTTCGATCTCAACGGCAAGCTGACCCGGGGTACGATCAAATGGGGCAACGGCGACATTCGCAAGGGAAATTTCGTGGATGATAAGCTCGAGGGGCAGGGCGAACATATATTCCCGAACGGGCAGCGTCGTAAAGGGGTTTTCAAGGATGGTTTCCTACACGGAGAAGGCAAAGTCTGGTATGAAGACGGAAAATATCGCGAGGGGACGTTTGCAGGTGGCCGACACCGCAAGGGAACGCTTATTATACCTAACAAAGATCGACATGTTGGAGACTTCGACGAGGATCGAAAGTTACGCAAGGGCTCCATCGTTTTCGCAGACGGAACCGTACAGACTGGGACATTTGAGGATGGAAAGCTCACTGGCAATGGGGTGCTTGTGTATGCAAACGGTCAGATTCGCGAAGGAGTCTTCAACGGAGGGTATCTCCACGGGGATGGCAAGGTGTCTTACCAGAATGGGGACTACCGGGAAGGTAGATTTGAAGGAGGTCGCCATCGGGAAGGTTTACTTGTTCAGGCGGACGGTGTTCGATTTCTGGGATCATTTAATATGAGTGGGAAGCTGGATGGCCATGGTAGTATGACTGTGCCAGGTAATGGGGAGCTCATTGGCCAGTTCACTGACGGAGTAAAGATGGCCTAAAATCAACAGATACTATAAATGGTCAAGTTGATAACCTATGTGTTATCCAGGTTCCTCTTCGTGTTGTTATATTATCGCTAAGCTTACTTCCCGGATTTCATTGTTGCTTTATCTGATCCATGTGATAAAACATGCCGGAAGCCAAGTGAAAGAGGGTAGCTTGAATAGTCATTCGATGGGCGGCTCGTCCTAGCGGCAAGTGAATTATTGGTGTGACGGTTTACGGATCTTTCCCTCTGTATGACTGCACCTTGAGTTAGCAAAGGATGTTTTTTTCCCCACTTCCTATTCGTCGTGTTGTTATGTCAGATTCTAGCATATTCCGTTGTTGTTTAACTTTACACTCAAACTCTCCCGTATAACTAATAGCTTCCAGTCCCTAGTGATTTAGTTTTACTCGAGAAATCAAGACTAGCACTCATGAAAACCCTCCTGCAAAACCATTCAACTAGAGAGCACTACCCTAGACAGGGGAAAGGCGCATTGATAATCTAGCGAAGCAGACTCTTGAGTCTATTGTTATTATACTATTTATGTTCAAAATAACCTAAAGCTCTAAGAGGGGAGTTTTTGTGCCTGAAAATTTGTTTTGCTTGACAAACTGTGTTCCATATTCAGGATTAGGTGGAGAATTCAGAAAGCGATCTTGTCTGCTCAAAACTCGTCAGATAATTTTCAAAGACTGCCACAACCATTGGTGATAGAATCTCTTAGGCAAGACAGAACGCAAAGAACAATCAAGACTTGCCTAGTCTCCTGATTCTCAGGAAAGATACTCTCCAACTTTGCTCCAGGAGACCCAACCAAACCAAGCCTTCCCGGTCATAAACTGGTTGTGGAGCTGCTCAGACATGGTCGCTTAACTCAGTTGGTTAGAGTGCCGTACTAATACATTATCCGTGTGTCAGTAATGCGGACGTCGCCAGTTCGATCCTGGTAGTGACCATCTATTTTTGCCCACAAGACCCCTCTACCCCACCAGCCAAGTCCCGACTGCGGACTAAACTTTTTTTTTCTGCCCCTCCCCCTCCTCTCGTCGGTTGAGGAAAAAAAAGCTTCCACCTTCCGGATTGCCATTAGTTACGAAGAGCAGTTGAACGGTGCACACGCAAGCATCGACAATTGTTGCAATGGCAGACCTACGCATTCTTCTCATTGGCAACGGCGGCCGCGAGCATGCCCTTGCCTGGAAGCTCAGCCAATCCCCCCGCGTCGAGGCCATCTACGCTGTCCCCGGCAATGGAGGCACTGCGACCTGCCCCAAGGTGTCCAACATCTCTTCGGTCTCGGCCAGCGACTTCCCTGGCCTCGTCAGCTTCGCCCAGTCCAACGGTGTGAATCTCGTCGTGCCCGGCCCCGAGGCTCCTCTTGTCGACGGCGTCGAGGGTTTCTTCCGCAACGCTGGTATTCCCTGCTTCGGCCCCTCCAAAGAAGCCGCTCGTCTTGAGGGCAGCAAAACCTACTCGAAAGATTTCATGAAGAAGTACAACATCCCGACCGCCGCATACGAGAACTTTTCCGACTACGAGCAAGCCGTTGCTTATATCGATTCCATCAACCACGATGTTGTCATCAAGGCTACGGGACTGGCTGCTGGCAAGGGCGTCATTCTCCCCGAGAACAAGGACGAGGCCAAGGCTGCCCTGAAGGAAATCATGGTGGACCGTGCGTTTGGCGATGCTGGTTCAGAGGTTGTTATCGAGGAGCTTCTTCTCGGTGATGAGCTGAGCGTCCTGACCTTTTGCGACGGTTATGCAATGCGTTCCCTTCCCATGGCCCAGGACCACAAGCGCATCTTCGAGGGCGACCAGGGTCCCAACACTGGTGGTATGGGCTGCTACGCCCCCACCAACATCGCTAGCAAGGAGCTTACCGAGCTGGTTGACAAGACTATCTTGGAGCCCACATTTGCTGGTATGCGCCGGGAGCAGCAGCCGTTCCGCGGTGTCCTGTTCACTGGCCTTATGATCACGGCGAACGGACCCAAAGTGCTGGAGTACAATGTCCGATTCGGTGACCCCGAGACACAGACAGTGCTGCCTCTCCTATCCGCCGACACTGACCTGGCGGAGATCATGCTCGCTTGCGCCAATGGCTACCTGGATAACTGCAACCTCACTATTGAGAACAAGTTCAGTGCTACTGTCGTTTTGGCTGCAGGTGGCTACCCCGGCTCCTACGCCAAGGGAACACCCATGAATCTCCAGCAGCCTCCTACTGGAAGCACAATCTTCCATGCCGGTACCGCCCTGGACGGCGACCAGCTCAAGACATCCGGAGGACGAGTCATCGCCATCAACTCTGTTGGTGATTCACTGCGTGCTGCCGTTGATGCCGCCTATGCTGCCCTCACAGCCAAGACAATTGAGTTTGACGGCATGTTCTACCGTAAGGATATTGCCCACCGTGCATTCCGAGCTTCCAACACAACCAAGGAAAGCATGACATACGCTCAAGCTGGTGTTGACATCCAGGCTGGCAACGACTTTGTTGAGAGAATCAAGAAGGCTGTTGCCAGCACCGCCCGCCCTGGTGCTGACGCGGAGCTTGGTGGTTTCGGTGGTGAGGTCGACCTTTCTAAGGCCGGCTTTGGCCCCGATGCCCCCATCCTGGTCGGTGCCATTGATGGTGTTGGCACCAAGCTTATGATTGCCCAGGCCCTGAAGAAGCATGATACTGTTGGTATCGACCTCGTCGCCATGAACGTCAACGACTTGATTGTCCAGGGTGCCACTCCTCTCATGTTCCTTGATTACTACGGCTGCAGCAAGCTCGATCCCGCCACTGGTTCTGCCTTTGTCGAGGGTGTTGCTGATGGCTGCCGTCAAGCAGGATGTGCCCTCGTCGGCGGCGAGACGGCCGAGATGCCTGGCATGTACCAGGCAGATGACTATGATGCCGCCGGATGCGCCGTCGGTACCGTCACCGCCAGCACCAGACTGCCCCGTCTTGACTCCATGGCCGAGGGCGACGTCATTCTCGGTCTCGGATCGTCCGGCGTCCACTCCAATGGATTCTCCCTCGTCCGCAGAATCGTCCAGGCCGCAGGACTCTCCTACGCCTCCGAAGCCCCATGGGACCCGAGCACGACCGTCGGCGCCTCCCTCCTCACACCTACCCGTATCTACGTGCGCAGCCTACTGGAGATCATCGGACAGGTCAAGGGACTGGCACACATCACCGGCGGCGGTCTCGTAGAGAACGTACCGCGCACGCTCCCTGCTTCGCTCGCCGCCGAGATTGACTTTGGAACGTGGGAGATCCCCCCCGTGTTCAAGTGGCTCAAGACGGCAGGCAACGTCGCCCCCTCTGAGATGGTCCGCACATTCAACTCGGGTATTGGCATGATCATCGTCGTCGATGCTGGCAGCGCTGCCGCCGTCACTGGCTCTCTGGCTGCCTCGGGCGAGAAGGTCTTCCAGGTTGGTCGCCTGGTGCGAAGGGAAGCCGGCGGTGAGGGATGTGTTGTCAAGGGACTCGAGTCATGGAGCCAATAGAGGACACGCGTGAAGGGGCTGGGGAAAATACGGCGCGGGAGAACGCACGTGGTAAAAAAAAGCAGGATTGTCAGGATGAATCAGGTGATTCAATTTGGGTACAGCGGAGTTAGCGAGTGTGAATTTTATGGGAATATGATAGAAAAACATGTGGATATGTCAATGGAGAGACTCGAGAAACCATGTTGGAGAACCTTGCGTCTGTAAATTGTGTTGTTGAGTTGTGAATAAGTCGGTGAACGCTGGCGATGGGGAATTATCTATGAGCAGCTATCTGAGTGACATTAAAACTGACACACTCAACATTCTCCTGCTTATTCTCGAGCTTGTGACCGTTACTTTATTGCTGGGAGCTAATAAAAAATACTCAAGGGCCAATACGCTTCTACTACCAATTAGCATCGTATCTAATTGCTATTTTAATCTCCCTATTGCAGGAAGTGCTCTACTCATTTAGCTGCTCCTCAATTTAGGGTCTGATTTCTTCTGTCACCAGGTTGCCAAGTTCGACAAAGCCATGCCAATATTTATCTAATGTGAGACAATTCAGGAACGGCAATGTCGCAGAGAAGTGTTCTTTATCTCCTATCAAATCGGATTTGGACAGAGCAGATATATCTAGCGACTTACTTGTGGTGCTTTCCACCTCTTCGACTCCAGAAGATTAAGTGATTCTAGAATCGCCCAAGAAACAGCGACCAAACCAAACCTTGGGAATGTAATTCTTAGTCATCAAACCCATCCAGGTGGAACCTACGTCAGTGCAAGTCAGTTAAATTTTGGCTAGGGGTATTCTAGGCCCCGCCGAGATCGGTGGGCGGCCGGATTCAGGTCACAGGGTCGCGCCTGTCGCGGTCTTGCAGGGCCGGAAAAAAAAATTAATGAAGATGCACCGTTAAACGCAGCAACAACCACCATCGACCATCCACGCTCCCACAAGGGCTCACCTGTGTCCGGCTTCCCTCCTCCGCGTTGTCGCAGCACCCAATTACCGATCCCCGACCGAGTCTATTGCACAGAGTACGACAATGTGTGGCATTTCTGCTATCCTGGTGCGCAAATACCCCTCCCCCGCAGTCCAGCCGGCCGTCCGTGCCATCCATAGCAATGCATAGCGCTGATTAAATTGTCTTGCAGCTGGGCGATCCGAAAGCCACCACCGCCGCCGTCGATCTCCACGAATCCCTCTACTACCTCCAACATGTCAGTGAGCGACCGAGAAACAGACGGATATATAATACAGTGGGTGAGCTGAGGCTGACGTTGTTCCCCGTAGCGTGGACAAGACGCCGCCGGAATCGCTGTTTGCCAGGGTGGACGAGTATACCAGGCCAAGTCCAATGGACTGGCTTCCAAGTGCGTTTGATTGGGCTCGGACCCGATATGGATGTGGCACAGGGTGCTGATAACTGGATATAGGGTCTTCGATGAAGGCAGGCGCATTGCCGAGTTGCCCGGCTTCATGGGGTGAGCATCGGAGCAGATATGGAAACTTGAGGACGCACGCGTAGCTCACAGTCTACAGTATTTCACACTTGAGATATCCTACCGCCGGAACATCATCAGCGTGAGCTACCTCTAACCCATACCTGACTTCAACGTATCTAACCTCTTGCATTCTAGATCCGAAGCACAGTTAGTACCATCTGCATGGCATTGTCTTGAACTGACTGATCACGGACTAAACCCTTCGCAGGCCATTCTATGTTTGTCGACCTTACCATGGCTTGGAATCAATGCGTTTCTAATTACCTTTCAAGGTCAACTCTCCCTTCGGTTTATCGATGTCGATCAACGGAAACATCACGAACCCTCAAGAGGTCGCCCGATTTCTCGACCAAGAGGCTCGCCGCCACGTCAACACCGCCTCCGACTCCGAGCTTGTGTATGTCATCTCGTTTGGCAAGAAACCTTTTGCGCACATACTAATATCGGGACTCGGACAGCCTCAACGTCTTTGCAAATGCCCTTAACGAGCTCGGCAAGGCTCGTGCCAACGTGGACGATATCTTTACTGCCCTGCGAGACGTGTACAAGCGATGCATCGGTGCCTACAGCTGCGTCGCAATGGTGGCAGGTTTTGGCCTGCTTGCATTCAGGTGCCGCCGTCCTGTCTTGTTGTGATAGCCCACAGGCTAATTTTCTCCCAGAGATTCGAACGGTATTCGACCTCTCTGCCTCGGATCAAGACCCTCTGCTACCATTGAGGGCGCCAAAGACTACTTCCTCGCCTCCGAATCGATTGCCTTGACCCAGCTTGGTTTCACCGATGTCGTCAACATCAAACCCGGCGAGGCAGTCTTTATCCAGAAGGGGGGTGTTCCTCAGTTCAAGCAGATCGAGAAGAGGGATTCCTGGTCTCTGGATATCTTTGAAATGGGTAAGCGCCCACTCCTGGATGCCCCTCTCGTGCGACTCGTTTCTAATCGCGTTTCGTTTAGTATACTTCGCCAGACCAGACTCAGAGCTTGACGGCATTTCCGTACATCGCAGCCGTGAAAACATGGGACGCAAGTTGGCAAAGAAGATCAAGGACACCCTGAGCAAGGAAGCTTTTGATGAAATCGACGTCGGTAAGTTGTTGCCTCAGCATCTTCCGATTATACCGGAAAGCCTCTTCACCTTTACTAGATCTTAACAAGTGCTAACTTATGCCAATAAAGTGATTCCGGTTCCGGAGGTGAGCATTCTTGATTGAGCTGCACTGGGTGCATTTCTGACCAGGCTCCGTGAACAGACCAGCAATACCTCGGCCAGCATATTGGCACAAGAGATGGGCAAGCCATTCTCAAACGCTTTTGTCAAAAACAGATACATTTTCCGCACATTTAGTGAGTCATACGTCCCTTATAACCTGGTGAATTGTAGAAAACTAATTTTGAACAGTTTGTGAGTACTCGCGTCTTGGCTTTAGACAAGCCATCCCCTAGCTGACAAGTAAATGTCATAGTGCCCGGCCAAAAGGCGCGACGAGCAGGAATTCGCCGCAAGCTGTCCTGCATTAAATCCGAATTCAAAGACCGGGTTGTTCTATTAACGGACGACAGCATCGTTCGTGGCGTACGTACTGCACGCCAGCTCTCGTATTGAATTGCTTGCTGACCTAAATCTTAGAACACATCTCGTGAAATTGTATGTTCAACATCGGATACCTTTGACCGAATTTATGGTTGTACTAACAGGTTTGTGCCACAGGTCCAAATGGCGAAAGAAGCAGGTGCCAAGAAGGTCCTGTTTGTTTCGTGCTCTCCCGAGATCAGATACCCCCACGTGGTAAGTCCTCGGCTCTTACGGAATATTTTATTTTGTTGTTATTCGTGCATGAGGCGCGGGATCATGATACGAGCTTTACGCTGACTGGCTGTCCTTCCACAGCATGGCATCGACCTGGCTGACAGAGACGGTAAGTCGATTCCCCAAGAGCTCACTTTCCACACTTTGAACAATACTAATAAATTGGGTTGAAAGAGCTCATCGCCTACGGCAAAACGGCCGAAGAAGTGGCCACGGCAATTGGCGCAAGCGAAGTAGTCTACCAATCCCTCGACGACCTCAAGGACGCGTGCAGAGAGGCCATCCAGGACGGCTACGAGAAGATCGACTTCGAAACGGGAGTATTCTCAGGCCATTACACGACCCCCGTGCCAGAAGAGTACTTTGAGCACCTGGAGCGCCTGCGGTCCAACAAGAAGAGGAAAGCAGCGGCTATCACAGAATCCGAGGGCGGTGCGCAGACTGTCCTGGTCGCAAGCGGCGGGCCTGTGAATGTCAGCTCTCGCAACCACATACAGGAAGAGGATGTGAAGGGCCCAGAGAACCGGGAGGACGTGAGGTACTGGAAACTGCCACCCGATCATACTCTTGATCTTTGCTGACTGACGCTTTATAGCATTTACAATTTTGCAGGAAAGGTATAGAAGAAAGCCGGGAGGGGGACGGGGCTTTCAGATGATTTCTTTGCGGTACTGGATCGACGAAAATAGACATGGTGAACAATCAAAGACAACTGGAAGAAAAAACTAGACTCGAGGTATGAAGAAAATATTACAGTGCCGGTAATTAATGAAAGCCTTGTATCATTGAATGATGTCGAAAGCTGTGGTCACATCTACAGATCACCAAAAAAAAAATCGACAATCAGAAGATATATTCATGTGAAGAAACCATCGAAGCGACCGAAAGCGAGCAAACACGAGATCAAAGCAAGACGGGCGCGCAAACCACCACTCAGCATCATCAACTACCTGTTTTATGGTACTTTCGAACATGTCGCTGCAGATTGTCGGCTCTCGAGAAATGGGTTCCGCAGATGGGACAAGATATAGAGACGGACTCCTTTTGGTGTGAGGTAGCGAGGTGTCGACGCATGTCTCTAGAGGTGGCGAACCGGGCCTCGCAGCCAGCCTCGGTGCATTGTGTGGGCTTGGTGTGGCAACGCTTGTGGCATCTTTTGTTTATTTCTTTTTAGCCTCACGGACAGACCGGCATGCTGTGAGGACGGGACGGGATCGAGCTCAAAGAAAATGTGGACATACTTCAGGGCTCGGTTTCCACGAAATTGACGATCACAGAAGGGGCATGTGAACGGCGGCAGTGACCTCCCGCGCGGCTTTTGCTTCACGGTCTCTTTCTCGGGCTCGGTCTTTGTGGAGTCCACGTCGGACTTGGAGTTGGGGCTGACTGTGCCTCGGGCAGGCGAAGCCCGGTCGACACATGACGGAATAGCCGACTCGTCCCATCTAGTTGAGGTTGGTGAGCTCTCGAGCGTGCTTTCTGATGTTGTGTACCAAGAGAAGGGTTGTTTGTCTGTGTTGACGCCATAGTCAAGCCGCGAGAGCGTCTCCTGGCAGGTGTCATCGCTGTATAAGAGGGCTGGATCCCCAAGGAGAGATGCTAGAAATTCGTCCAAGCTTCCATGGAGGTCAACTTCAGTTTTAATGGCAGTATCCAGGTTGCCGACGTCGGAATGTTTAGCAAGGCAAATCGTGCGCCAATTTAAGGCTTGGGAGGTACAGCGAGGGTTTTGGCCAGATGTCCGCTTATATGTAGATATGCAGGCGCTTTGAACCGCGATCGCGATGTCACCGCTTCTTGGCCTTCTGGTGGTTTTATTATAACCGACTGATAATTTTTACTCGATGACGGGTGGCAGCACGGCCGCCGGTGAAATATGACAGCAACGGCGCGGACGCGCATTAAGTGCGATGAGGAAACAAGGCATCCGCCTAAGATATCCAATCGCAACATTTGGACTGGAACTCAAGGACTCGCAGCGTTGCACTACTGATCAAGATGCAGTGAAACCATGCCTTGTTGGGCAACCATCTCACAATCCTACCCTCAGTGGCTGTCATACTTCATACTCGCAGCTGTGATGGCGCTGAGGGGGCGAAGGTGCCTCTGGGCCGGTCTGGCGAACGGGAAGCAATGGGCGAATCATGCGACGGGCGCCTGCTTGTTGGCCGCTAGCACAACGTGGCACGCGGTAGACTCGAGACTAGTTATTTTGAAACGATGGCGAATCGAGGGCGGCAATCAGCGTTGTGGCCAGACATCGAGGGCCGCTACCGTGAGCGTATTCGTATATAAGGAGGGGGGGCATTGCCATGCCAATCTTGAGGCTCTTCAGGTAGCATGGACTCGAGCCAGCCAAACCGGGGCTGGTGGTCAAGGATTCGGGTTTCATTGGGCACACAGGGTTGCAGCTGATTCACAAGCTGGCTGACCGACTCCTCCTCGCTTCTCACATGATCCATGGAATTGCATGTGTTGGGCCATCAACCATGAAATGCTAATCCGCAAAGGTCATGGCGGGCCGCAGGAGGCGCATGGTGAACTTTTCTCTCATTCAGCTTTGAAGCTCTACGCCAATTAGGCTATATTATGTTGCTTCGGATCTCCATGGAAGGCGATCCATGTCGTTGCTCAGGCTCCTCTTCGCGACGAAGGGGTGGGCCTCCCACAGGGTTTGTTGCTGGCCTCCCGCATATAAGTTGCCATTGCTTCCACTTGTGTTCTGCTCCCTTCTGCGACAACTATGATTTCTGGTCCAGGAGATCATCATCTCCCCAGCAAATATTTGTCGCGAGAAACTCACATCCTACTGTTTCGTTCTAATTGCCAGCAAACATCTACGATATCGGCAATATGATAATCCGAACCGGGCTTCCCCAATCGTCCGCTCCGAGCCAAAGAGCAGGCGCGACTCAACGTTGACCCCACTCCAAATATCAACCACAATCGTCCAAGGCACCCAACTTCGACTTTGCGAACCACGTTGATCTGCGCGAGGCGTTTTCGCAGCGACGGTTTTCTCTTCTCGAACTTGCCATGGCCAGCGCATCATGCATCGCTGCATGCAGACCGCTCTCTTGAGAAAAGGACGCGTCACCCTCCCTTCTGTCACCTGCATCAGCTGAGACCGCCACGAAAGCCTCGAGGTCAGCCTGCAGCAAGTGGCCCCTACACACCCCTTTTCGATGGCGCTGTTTCCTCACGAGACGTTTTCGCGAAGGGGCTTGGTACCATTGACCCCATTCGCCCTTGGAATACCTCGAACCCGCTCAATGATTCGTCACGGTCGCTTCGATCTCGACACAGGATGACGTGAGACGCCCTCCTCGTCGCAACCGTCACTCCGTACATAACATGGTCCCTCTCAGCGCCCTTTGTGCAAGCTACTGAGGTGAGAGATGGGAAAGTGTCGGACCTGCACTCTGCTGGGCTCTCGAAATCGACGCCAGGCGTTCTCCGGGTTGCCGGAGGGCGAATGAGAAGCCCGTGGCTTGCTCGACATCCACCCCCCACACGAGGTTCCCTCGTTCCCCTGATGACCGACACCAGGCTTTTTACACTTGAGAAGCCCACCCAGTCACTTGCGGCTCCCTCCGCCAGGAAGGGCGGCATGTGTGACTCAGGATACATCTCGGACAGCTCCAGCTGACGCTGCCAATAGAATCATGCAGACATTGGTCCTCCACGACACCCCACCGAATCGACCCCTACAGAAGGGGAAAGCGGAAGTCACAAGCGAAAGAGGCTTCCCCGCCCGGAGCACAGTCGAGCCCTCTGAAGTGCGATCATAGCCTATCGTGAGACCTGGCGCGCGCGCCGTCTAGCTGACACGCATGGAGCCCGATTGCCCGACCCCTGGACTCAAACTCTCGTCTTTGCCATCCGGGCTCCTACCCTCTCCAACTGCGAACACCTCCTCGATTTGATTCGTTCGTGATTCAAGCATTCGTCTCGCTGCGTTATGCATGGCCCATTTCCTTCCCTGAGTGGGTGTGGATGTTTGAGTGATGAAGCACCACGGTCAGGACTGCGAACGTTATTGGTCTTGATCGCCGGGATGCGATGTGCTTGACGCGATGTCCGACTTCCAGAGCCCTTGTTGGTTCCCCATGATGCTCACGCTAAAGCATTCCTGGCCACCTTTGCCGTGCCGTCAGTGGACCCATATTGTTGTAACTGGCCAACGAGCCCCAGCATTGCTGGAGGACTACAGAAGAACGTCCTAGAGCAATCGCGGTCGACGACCTCACACATTTGTGGCCCAGGGTTTTCCTTCTCGACACCCAATCACCCCTCTTTGCCAACGACTGGACTCGCTGCTGTCGATGGCGGGGCCTGTCGGATACTTGCTCTTGTGCCTTTCATAACCTTTCGCAGCTTTCGAGCCTTCCAGCTGACTGTCCCAGCAATCTCTCTGACCTCATCCTCTTTCTCATTGCCTTGCCTGACACCGAACGTGCAATCGTGACGTCCGAAACTCACGCGCGAGAGCCACACTTCAACTCTAGCTTGACTTTGTTTGTTCTTGACCACGATGTCCACAGTACCGACGAGTTCGACCATGTATAGCACTGGAACTCCTCCCGAGATCGCTCCCGAGAACCCATCTGAATCATTTACTGCCGATCGCGATACAACAAATAATGAGACAGTCTCGATGCTGCCTCTTCACCCGTACGCACATACCCCAGCGCCGTCCGCGCTGGGAATGCCGTCCATTTCAAGGTACAGCCACTGGCATGAGGGGTTCGCATCCTCTATCCTGTCTCCTCAGGTAGACTTATAATTCCACGTGTAGCGCGGGCGTCGACACACCGTCATCTGGAAGCCTCGACTTGCCACCGGATGCTCCCGACATCGGCTCGCAACAGGCCTCCGCTCGCATGTCGGAGATCGTAAATCCCTTATCCGCCGCAAACACATCGTCGGAGACAGATTTCTCCGTCCCTCAAGTCGAGGAGGACATTGGTCTCGAGAACCCCGACGAGGCTGCAGCCGACTTAGCCGCGCCTGTCGGCCCTGTTCACGGACATGGCAATCTGGCATTGTATGGGTTTCTGGTGAGGAAGGATGATCCATTCGTCCCGATCATTCATCCAGGCAACACCCGTGCCTACATCGATCAGTCGAAACAAGAGATGGCTGAGCGGATTGAGATGATGATGACACCTTTTCTTGGCCAGGATGGGTTGTAAGGAGAGACCCCCTCTACCCATCTATGTCCACCGTTTGATTTTCATGATACCCAATTCCCACCACCTAATGCTAGTGCATGGAAGTCGTGTTTTTAGATAACAACAGTTTGAATAATTACTGTATCATTTACTTACCAATATGTCTATTCCCCTTTAATAATCAAGCAACACTTAGCTGACTACCTTTATCGTTTTTTCCCCCGCTGACCCTCGTGACAATGTGACTGATGCCTGCTGAGACACACTCTCGCGCCTCTGACGTACTGCCTCCTACACCGGCCAAAAGCTGGTCAGCCAGAGCCAAGCCATCCATTCAACTAGCTGGCAATCCTCCTACGAAACGGTCCTATCATGACATGAATCCCGACGCTTAGCGCCAGCCACATGGACACCATTCGCCAGAGTCGGATTACCTCCACGTTAGAGCTGTACCTTAATTTTTAACGGCCTTCTAGCCACCGGTGAGGTATCTATGCACGGTGAATGTGCATCGACCCCTCACGAGAAACGAGAAACGATTTCAACTAGCCGGTACGTAGAGTACGAAGGCTGAGGCCGCCAGTAGCAATTGGAAGATGAAGCGTCTATTTATTTGAGGGTTGGTCCTGCCCTTCAGCTATCTCAATCTCTCACTCCTCACTCCAATTCAAACAAACAAAGGACAATCAGATCCAATTGAACTTTCTACCACTACACAGACAAAATTCAATTTCAAGAAACAATCCCGCGACAATGTCCGTCAAGCCCCTCATCACCTGCCTCTGGTTCGACGGCACGGCCGAGCAGGCAGCGGAGCAGTACACGTCCATCTTCAAGAACAGCAAGTTAGGCCGCAAGACCTACTACCTGGAGGCCGGCAAGGAGTGCCACGGCCAGGAGCCCGGCTCGGTGATGACGGTCGAGTTCGAGCTCAACGGGCAAAAGTTTGTCGGCCTCAACGGCGGGCCCATGTTCAAGCACAACGAGGCGGTGTCGTTCCAGGTCGACTGCGAGGACCAGGCGGAGGTGGACTACTACTGGGACAAGCTGGGGCAGGGCGGGGACGAGGCGAGGAGGGTGTGCGGGTGGATCGCGGACCGGTACGGGGTGGCGTGGCAGGTCGTGCCGAAGGTGCTCAAGGAGATGCTGGACAGTGAGGATAAGGAGGCGGCGGGGAGGGTGACGGTGGAGATGATGGGGATGAAGAAGATGGATATCGAGAGGCTGAGGAGTGCGTTTGAGGGGAGGCATGTGCCTGATCCGTTGAAGGTTCCGTCGGCGAGTGAGTGTGGTCGGTGATGGCTGGGTATCGATCTAGCTGAGGGGCCGTTCTTGAATTTGTAGTCCCTGATAGTGGTTTACTGTTATTTGTATGGACGAGAATGGAAATACTTATGAATGTCATTATCTGATCTAACCAAACACCGGTCTGTATTTTCCAGTAATCCAGTTTCAGTGAGTGTTTTCAAGCATATCACGGTCTGGTCACGCCAATAGTTTCATCTCTCGACTGCTTGAGGAATGGGATGAGGGCTGATCCGCCTGTCCCCTTCAGCTGTTCATCCCCTTCCGTAGCTTCGAAATCTGCCCCTTCGGTCCTCTGCGCAGTGCTGCTCTCACTCCCCCTAGCTGCTTCTCTCGCCGGCCGCACTACGTATTTCGACACAATGGCAATATGCGTACTCCTCCACAGCCTGAGCTGCTTTGTGCATTCGTCAAAAGCCTTGCAGAGTTCTGTATCAGATAATCTTGCCCCCACGAAAGACCGGAGTGTAGGTAGCTGGGAGACCGCCTCGAGAAACTCGCGATGTTTGCGCGGCATGTAAGCTCGCATTTCCTAGCTTAAATATCAGCTTTCCGTATTTCACCCACAAAGTAGACATTATTACATACCTGGAACACCGTCTCCGATGCCTTCTCTGGAGCTTCATGTTCCACCCCGAGCACAAGGTCAAGGAACTGGAACAGGCTGCTCTGCGCCGCGCTCCCGCCAATATGTTTCGACGCGAGCTGCGACCCATCGCCACGCTGGAATACGAACCCATCGCTCAGACCCTTTGCTTCCATGCCCTTGCCGCCAGCGAGATAAGGCCGCAGCTCGTGGAAGAACTCACCCGCATCAAGCGTCGCGTACAGCTTAGGAAGGTGTTTGACCATCCTAGTGATGATGGCTGCACTGGCGGACAGCGCAGCCTGGACGGATGCACTGTTCGATCTCCGGGCCTCGCCCACGGCATCGAGGAGGATCCTGACCAGCGGCCCGCCCTCGGCCTCGACGAGTACAGGGACATGGTAGAATGCATCCTCGCCCCGCGTGCGCATGAAAGAGGCTACGGAGCGCAGCTGCTCCAGAGGGAAGAAACCGTCCCCGTCGGCGATTGGGAACGTGCCCCCGTCGCTGGACCAGTTCCACAGACACAGCCCGGCGTAGCTGAGAACGGGCTCCATCCCTAGCTTATCGCATACCTCGAGGAACGGCTCGGAAAGCTGGGGAGGGATCTGGGCGACGGGCGCTGAGGCCGGCGCTGAGGCTGGACCGCTGCTGCCCCAGACGTGTGCGTGGATGATGAAGCCCAGCACTACATAGGTGCGACGAAGCTCCACGTCGGAGGAGAGCTCTGAGGTGGTCAATCGCGGCAGGGCGTTGACTCGTGTGGTGAGAGAGCGGGATGTGATGAGGCTGGGCAGGTCTCGGATGAGGTCGTCCCAGGGCGCGTAGAAGCTGTTGGGGAAGGACGTCAAGGGAGCTTCATCAGAGAGGAAGCCCCATTGGGCGGAGATGCCGAACGAGTCGAGTTTGGGGAATTCGAGGGCCATGTCGTATTGATTGAAGGGTGATTCTAACCATTGGGGAGAGAAGATCTGGTGAGCGACATCATGGCGGTGGTGATCGATGAAGCCTTATGAGTTTTGCTGGACAGAGAGAGTGATGCGTGTCGTATTTCATCGTGTCCGTCGTGCGCCTTTGTTTTGTCGCGTTTGGCCCCGCGCCACGCCCTTTTCTTGATCATGTCAATTTGTGGTTCGATGGGTCAATGGGTCAATACTGGTTACCTTTTGTAGATGGAGCGCGAGTCTGTTCATCTTCTTATCGTGTACCAGAGGCCAATCTTGGGCCAATCAGTGGAGGTGTTTTGTCATGATTCCAATCGGGTCTCCGCAACATCAAATGAGGAAGAACTACTACTTAAAACATTGTCGTACGGATATTTAAAAGAAAAGGATAGCAGTGCCGTATAAATGAAAGGTAATGACTGTGTAAGAGATTATGTGCGTTGAGGGCACGCCAATAAGGGCTATAGGGTAGGTAGTCAAACCAGATCGGGAACACCACGAGGGTGTCTTATTGGGAACATTACTTCGGCCTCTCAGTGTTTGGATGGAGTATTTTGCTAGACTAAGAAGAGCCAGGCACCTTTGGAGCCTCATTGCAGATGCAAATCTAAAGAACGATGCCTTGGGTTCGTCCATCATTGGCTCGCTAAAGCCATTCGGCCCCTCGGGTCAATTGGCGGACTCAATTCCTCCGGACACGAGAGAGCACATCATTCCGGCAAATGATCTCGATCCATATACGCTTACACACATACACGAGACGCCACGCGGAGGATGTGCATGAGGGAGAAATGGAAGGTTCTATTTGCCCGTCTTGCTGCCCGCGGTGGGCACCCGGTCCTAAAATAGCACGCGAAGCATGTCTTGCTTGGTATAAGGATTTGTTGGTTACCCCGTGCTACTCTGTGTTGGCTTCATCAACCTATTTCGGAAAACCGAGATATCGACATGGCAGAATCTACAAAAGCCGCGGCTCCCAAGGACACTGGAAGCCCAGAGTCTGAGAGCAGCACTGTTGGTATTCGCAGTGGCAGTGAGACCAGTCTTTCGTCTTCAGAGCCAAGCGACGCGGCAAGGTCCCCCCAAGAGTCGACCATGGCTCCTCTGCGCCTACAGCTAAGTGGAGTATACGAAGAGAATATTCTAGCCAAGATTTTCCGCACTGCTTCGGATGATTTGAAAGATAATGTAGGCCAACAGCCCCCTGCCAAGGTGTCATGACCATCCTTTTTGCTGACTAGTGATGAAAGAATCCTCCAACAGCTTATCCCGAATATGTGCTGCCTACAGGCCCGGATGCTGGCAAGTATATTCTAAGGGAATCTGACTTCTGGACATGCGGTTTCTTTCCCGGCAGCATCTACTCCCTTGCTGAGAGGCTTGTGAAGTTCCCCCAGGCCGTGCCAGTGAAACACAAGCAGCTCCTGTTGGAGCAGCTTTTGGCATTGGGAGCCCAATGGATCGGACCAATTCACTCCATGGCTTCTCGTACCGACACACACGACATGTCTTTCATGATACAGCCCTCAATGCGTGTGCTGTGGGAGGTATTCCATGACACAAAAGCATACGACTCCATCTGCTTGGCTGCAAAGTCTCTCCACACCCGGTACAACTCAGTCGTCGGGGCCATTAGATCTTGGGATGTACTCACCCAGCATGATGTGGATATTACAAGCCCCTCAGAGGACTTTCTCGTCATCATTGACTCCATGTGCAATCTCGATCTCCTCTATTACGCGGCCGCACACACAGGCAACACAGAGCTAAGTGACGCAGCGACACAGCATGCGAAAACCCTGATCAAGACGCATCTACGACCTGAGAAGGACCCCAAAGGGTCGACCAAAAGCCTGTATAGCACGATCCATGTGATCAACCACGACCCAAGAACAGGCCTGATCAAGGAACGGCGCACCGGCCAAGGCTACAGCCCAGAATCTACCTGGGCGCGCGGCCAGGCATGGGCCATCATGGGCTATGCACAGACCTACGGCTGGACAGGGGACGAGGAATTTCTGTCAACCGCTATCGGCCTGGCTGAGTATTTTGTGCTGAGGCTGGAGACATCGCCATCATGTGTTGAGCTGACCGTTCCCGGAGAAGGGCGTAAACGTGGACGCTACGTTCCCCTTTGGGACTTCGACGCCCCGATAACCGATGAGGCGAACCCTCTTAGGGATTCATCTGCGGGTGTCATCGCAGCGAATGGGTTGCTCATTCTGTCGCAGGCTTTGGCTGGGCTTGATAGGGCAGAGGAGAGCAGGAGGTATCGCGGTTTGGCTGTTCGAATCATCGCAGACACGCTGGATCTTTCCCTCGCCTCGGAGAAGGCACGCTTCGTGTTCAAAGATGGAAACGAGGTGCGTGTGGAGAACGTGGACCAGGGACAGCAGTTTGACGCGATTCTCAAGAACGCAACTGCCAACTACAATGCCAGGGACTATAAACGGTACTGGGATCACGGCCTCGTGTACGGGGATTACTATCTTATTGAGTTTGGGAATAGGCTTCTGAAGATGGGGCTGGCATAGAATTATGTTCGTAGAAATTAGGGTAACACTCCATATATACCGTTATAAACACTATCCAAGATGAGGGCCTTGACCGGCAATCCAAGGCATTGGGTTTGCCCCAGGGGTCTGGGCCGTGAAAATCATATCGTCCAGGCTGATGATCCTATCCATCGCCATAAACCCCTCGTCCATCAGCATGTGCGAGATAGCCGACAGCCTGTCTGGGTGAGCTTGGTCTGGCATGGCGAATTCACCACCTCGGGGCATATGCTGTACCTGGCCCTGCCCGCCGGCAAGAGCCTGTACTTGCATCTGAGCTGGTTGGGGTGGCTGGAACTGCTCAGGCATTCCAGGGGCCGGCGGTACATCTGTCTCTCCGACCTGATCGTTTGTTCCCTGGTGACTTTGTGAACTGAAGCTCAAGGATCCGGGACGCGGCGGGTCTTGCTTTCGCAGATCTGCAAGGCCTGCGTTTTGTGGCAGATCATGATTAAAGAAGGGGCTTGATGTCGAGCCTGGTACGGTACCGCTCGAGTAGCCCAAGACATCGATAACAAGACGAGGATCAGCTTCACTCCGCGAGTGCAGCATTCTTAGCTGGCTCGCGTACTTTCCAGCAAGGGACACACTGGCTTTGTGGCCAAGTATAGGGCCTGCCCAACGTCTGGCCATTTCCTCAAGACTGTCGACGAGGACCCAGAATTCAGGCAAAAGTTCAGTATTGTAGTGCCGCCAATGGACTGAATCTCGTTAGCAAGTTTAGTTTCGGAGTGAAATATTGCTATTAACTCACCAAGTAGGACTCGGGCGCTGATGAAAACACAAAAAGCAAATTGGTTTGTCACAGGACTGTACCCGGGAGTGTGTTTGAGATACTTCTTGGTGATGGTGGTTGTTTCCACAGCTGCTATCTGACATGTCTCGGCGCTGCAGAAACTGGGAAGCTTTACATGCTCGGTACGCCCAGGCTCGGGGTACGCGATCCGCTGGTGCAGCAATATCATAGACGTGTTATGCGTGACATGGGCAAGCGTAAGGTTGGGATCCATATTGATGAGTGCCGGTTGGCGGGAGATGTTCGAGTCTCTCCATCTCTGTGGCAAAAACATTTTCCAGCTGCGGGAGCAAAATATCAGCAATTGTCAACGAGACAGGGTTACATCTCCTACGATGGACGGGCACATACTGAACAAGTCTGAGATCCAGCTCCTTGAACCTGGTCAACCAGTTGCTCACCTCTTGCCTGTTCTCAAAATCAATTGTTTGCTGGAGGAAGTAAGTCGTGATTCGACTCAGAGACTCTGTGGCTTCGACACAGTAGGCAAAAGCCCCGACCGTCGTCATATCTACGGATTTGGAGCCATTCCGCTCTGGGGGAGCTGCTGAATGTGTTCTTGGCGAGTCCTCGACAGCATCTTCTGTTGGATAGTGTCCGGGCAGGAAGGCAATTGAATGGCCAATCCTTGCTGTCGATCGATCCCATATGCCAAAGTATGGTGTCATCACGGCTTCCTGCCGATGCCACAATCCCCCGTCGGCGGGGAGTCTACGCTTGACATCGTCTGAAGTCAAGCTCGTGTTCCATCTACTCGTGTCAGCTACTACTTGAGACCTGTAGAACGATCGAATACCTACCCTGTTGTGACAGAGCAGAATCTGGGGAAGCGATAAGTCAGCTACGCCCAGGAAGTTGCTTTAGAAGGAATCCAATTACCTATCAAGACAAAAGATGTTCCAGAATACTCGTCTTCTCTGCTCTTCTTCCGTCCAGTCTTTGGACCTTGGTATCAATGGTAGTGGCTTGAGCAAAGGATCCTTGTTATGGTGATCTGGTTCAACACTCAGTTGAATGTATTCGACTGTCCTAGTCAAGGAGCCGATGATGGACCATGCCTTTGAAGCATCGCCGTTTCCGATCTGGTCATATTAGTACCTCGCTGTGAAATTGAGCCAAAGAAGACTCACATCATTGAAGGCTATAATGGTCAGTGACTGTAAACTTTCGACCGAGAGGCTATCCATGGATGTAAGTATCACAAAATTCCTTGACTTTGCGGTCTGACGCTCCACGCCCTCCGCAGATAACTTGATGGCCGGATCATCTACGAAGCGGAGCGCGGCAACGACAATAGCATGTAGAATGACAATTAGATGCGGCAGGTCCTCCGGGTTAAGGATCCGACTTCGAAATTGTGTTTCGTGTAGAATTGGTATCCATGGTTGAATGATATCAAAGTAGATATTGATAACTTCCTCCAACAGACCGGGAGGCGGCAGACTGGTGGTGATGTTCTCTAGCTCATCCTCAAATGGGCCAACCAAATCGACGTTTGGGTTACCGCAGCTATCCAACCGACGTCGCTTACGGTGGGAACCATCCTGATACAGGTTGGTATCACGTCGATCGGACGTAAATGCTGATGTGTGAGATGTGGGTGAGACAGTCGGAGAACCTCTTTGGTCTCGGCCTCTCGTTTGCCCACGAGTGGCTCTCGAGTTCAGCTTGTGCAGCTCAGATGCAAGAGTAGAAAGGATCTCCACGAGGCCCTGGCCGCCTTGCTGGTTCTCATGACTGCTGGTGTTGGCATCCTCGCTAAGGAAGGCGGCCGGGTCATGGCCCTTCTTTAGCAGAGCAAGCTCCAAAGCATCTAGAAAAACATTAGAAACTGCACGACGACGGGACACCAATCATGTCGTGACACATACCGACCCTACGGCTGAGACTTCCCACCGCACCCGCCTTGATCCCTGGCTTGTTCTTCTTCAGATCGTACACGCAGGGCGCATCTATTCACGAATCATGCGTCAATCACACAGGCCGCGCTCGGTGGACTTGCCCTGAGGGTGGCTCACCCAATCGCCGGCAGTGGGCGCAGATTGGTTGGTCGCGAGAGCACTTCAGCTTGCGCCTCCGACATCCTTGGCACGAGGGAACCTCTGGCTCGCCCGGCACCGGGGACGAGGCCGCATCGTCGGGCGCTACACCGGCCGGCCCGGACGCGTCCATATGATGAAACGGCACGAATAACGCGCGGCGGCGTAAGGTTCAGCCCCCTCTTCCTGTAAGGGAGCCAGATTATCTCAGAGTTGGTGAGTTGTCGTTCTTTCGCCCGCGACGGACGCCGTGGCAACTGGCGGCCGTGAGATGATGCGTCGAGAAGGTCTGGCTGTCGATTATATTCGCACGCGTGGAGAAGGGGGGAAAGCTTGTGCCCATCACCCCATATGTTGGGATCACCCTAGCACCCAGTTGGAGCAGCCGACACCCCACAGCCGCTGTGACGCTGTCCCTTTTCGTCTGGGGAAAACATTCGCTCGGCTAAAGGGGGCCTGCGGCTAAGAGACCAGGGGGTCAGCTGAATGCGGGGGAGCTGCGTTCTTGGATGTCATTACCTGGTTTCTTACCAGCCCGGGCTCTATCATCCCGATGCCCGATAGTGCGTCTAGCTTGCTTCTTCACTACTCTATTCCAAACAGAGTGTCCGTGTTCTAGAACCTGGAGTTCGTTTAAGTTTGTATGGTGTTTAAAAAGCATCCGATAATCCTCAGGAAGCTCTTACTCAGAGAGAACACATCACTGACCTGAGTTATTTCTTTGATGGTTGAAAATGGCTGAACAGCGACCCTCCGAAGTCAGGCCACAGGAGACTGCTGCCGAGGATGCGTTGGAGAAAGAAGTTGGCAACCCGGCAGTATCAACAGCGGCGGTAGTTGAGCCCGAGGTGGAGACGGGAAGGGAGTTGAAAGAAGCACCCAACAGGAACGTTTGGATCGCTTGGATCTACATGTTCGATTGGTATCCGTCGCATTATCCTGAAGACGAGAGGAAGTTTCTGCGGAAGCTTGATGCCTTTCTTCTCACCTTCACTTCCATTGCCTTCTTTCTCAAGTGGCTGGATCAGTCAAACATCAACAGCGCTTATGTCTCGGGCATGAAGGAAGAGCTCAAGCTCAAGGGGAATGAGTAAGTTGAAGAAATCTTAGATTCTATTGACCTATCTCGAGGGCTTCGACTAACTGTTGTTCGCTTTATCTTAGGTATTCGATGTTCCCCATGTTCTATAATATCGGTTATGTCATCTGCCAGATCCCAGCATTGCTGCTCCTTTCACGACCTAAATTTACTCGCTGGTTCCTCCCGTCTTGCGAGGTTGCCTGGAGTGTTCTTACATTCGCTCAATCTCGGCTTCAAAATGCTCCTCAGATTTACGCAACTAGACTTTTGCTTGGATTGCTTGAGACACCGGTTGCATCTGGGTGTCTCTTCATTTTATCGTCATGGTACAAGCCGGAAGAACTATTCAAGAGAGCTGGGGTGTGGTATGTGTAAGTATAGCGCAGAGAACCGTTCTATCCTGTGGATTGGTGCTAACTCAAGGATACAGATCAAATAACATAGGCGTCATGTTCGGTGGATATTTACAGGCTGCTGCTTATACAAACCTCAACGGCGTCGGTGGAATGTCTGGTTGGAGGTGGCTTTTCATTATCGACGGCAGCATATCATTGCCACTCGCGTTTTTGGGGTTCTTCATCTTCCCTGGAATGCCGATGAGCGGCAGGATCTGGTGGATGACAGAGAAAGAATACGAACTCGGCCAGCTGCGCATGCGAGAAGTTGGCGTCGAGCCCCCCAAGAAGATCACCAAGGCTGTGCTAAAGAGGATCTTCTTTCACTGGCACTGGTATCTTGGCGTCCTAGCCTATATCCTGTTCCTTTCTGGCGCCTACCCTCATGGACAGATGGCACTCTGGCTGAAAGACCTCGGCGACCGTTACGGAACATACACCGTGCCACAGATAAACACCATCCCCACCGGAGCACAAGGCGTATCTGTGATCGGCACGCTGATCGCGACAAATCTCTGCATGGTCTACCCAACCTGGGCCATATATCAAATAGTCATGGCTATTTTCATGTTTGCAAACATTTGCATGATGGTCTGGGAGATTCCCCACGACCTCAAATTCTTTGCTTTCTACATGTTCGGCATGAGCGCGGCCGTTACTCCTATTCTTGCACCCACAGTAAACTGGTGGCTGAAGGATTCTGCTGAAGCACGAGCATTCTTCAGTGGCAGTATGGTCGTAAGTTCTTTCTATTTCCCCCATCGTGACTGCATAACACTGACGCAATGTGATACAGATGCTTGGTTTTGCTATCAACTCCTTTTACCCGCTTGTTACATTCCCGGTTGTTGAAGCTCCACGTTGGAAGAAGGGCTATATAGTAAATTTCTTCTTTATCCTTGGGGCATGGGGATTCCTTACTTTCGGATACTTCTTGCACAGAAGATGGGAGAAGCGACAAAAACAAGCGCAGGAAGAGCAAGCACGACTGGAGGAGACAAAGGGGGGCGAGGATGTGAAGCATTTTGCGTAGATCGTAGTTATCTATAGAGCTAGCCTTAAAATACGAAGTGGGAGACTTGGTTGGAGTCGAAGCCTCTTTACTTAGCTAACTTGAATACCTACTGTTGATCCCACACGCGCCCCTTTGCCCGACGTCCGATGCGAGAGAGTGGAGCCTGGACGATGGGATGATGAAATATAATAATGTGGTTTAACTGACAGTAATGTCTCTGTGAAGCGCGAGGCCAAGAGTTGACTTGATATTCGGCCATCTGAGAAATTGAAACGGTCTCCATCATGCCTCCTCTCCCTGGATTTTCCGATAACCCGCTCAAGTCTCGCTCAGATGTGATCAAAGCAACCATCTCTCTGCTGAAACCACTGACAAAATACTTTTCCCACTCAAAAGCTCGAATACGCGTGCCGGTCTCAACCGCTGCCCACTTCGATGAAAATGCTGCCCAGCTGGAAGGCTTCGCTCGCCCTCTTTGGGCGGTGGGAGCCCTTGCCATGTCCTTGTCATCATCAAACGTGGATGCAGATCAGAAAAAGGAGCTTGAAGACCTCTGCAAACCATGGGTTGATGGGTTCATCGCGGGCACAGACCCGAATCATCCTGAATACTGGGGAACAATGAATGACATTGACCAACGAATGGTGGAAGCTGAGATCTTGTCCTTTGCGCTCTTGGCTGCCCCAGACCACTTCTACAAGCCATTAGCGGATGAGTCGAAAGCTAACATCAAGAGCTGGCTGCTGAGCTTACATGAATTGCCAATGCCCAGGAACAATTGGAGATGGTTTCGAGTCTTGACTAATCTGGCATTGGTGAAAACCTGTGGCAAGCCACTAGACGATGTCAAGGCCGAGATGGAATCAGACTTGGAAATTCTTGACTCATTTTACCGATCAGATGGATGGTCGGCAGATGGTTCGTGGCTTACAAGGAAGGAGGAGCTGGAGTCATACGCTCGTTATCGAGAAACAGGAAGATGGGATGCATCAGCTGGGGTAGGACGTCAAGTCGATTACTATTCAGGAAGCTTTGCTATCCAGTTTAGCCAGCTTCTTTTTGTGCGATTCGCAGCAGACATTGATCCCGAGAGGGCAGAGAAGTATCGTCAGCGAGCTCGAGATTTTAATGTTCGGTTCTGGCGGTACTTTGACTCGACAGGTTTGTATTCATGATTGATGAACTAAGCAAGATTTTGAACTTTGACACTGACGTTCTTTTTCAGGGGCGGCGATTCCCTTTGGGCGTTCATTGACATACCGCTTTGCATGTGCTGGATATTTCGCAGCACTTGCGTTCGCAAATGTCTCTGGCTTAAGTGGCCCGGTGAATTCTCTAGGTGCAGCCAAGGGATTTTTGCTTCGTCACTTGAGATGGTGGGCGGCGAACTCAGACGACATATTCCACGTCGACGGTACCCTTAGCATCGGCTGGTTATACCCGTGAGAAGGCAAACTCATCCTTTCTACCATGGACCATTGAACTAACTAAATATACAATAGCAATATGTTCATGTGCGAGGATTACAACTCTCCACAGTCTCCTTACTGGTGCATGAAGAGTCTCATAGTCGTTGGGCTATTGGATAATGACGAGTTTTGGACTGCCGAAGAGGAAGATTACCCCGTTGGTCAAACTTCCGTCGAGCTTGTCCCGGCGCCTCAGCAGATTCTGTGCAACCATGCAAAGGGAAACCATCATTTTATGCTGTCACCGGGTCAGTTTGTGGCCTGGCCTATGAAGGCATCCCAGGCTAAATACTGCAAGTTTGCGTATTCATCTGCTTTCACCTTCTCTGTACCAACGGGACCGCTTATCCAGCAAATCGCACCCGATAGCACACTGGCATTGAGTCGGGACGGAGGCGAAACTTGGGCTGTGAAGTGGAAATGCGAAGAGCCTCGCTTTTCTAACGCCCAGTACAATGCCGATTCTTGTTCCGGCTCCATGACTGTCGCCAGTGTCAAGTGGTATCCATGGGGAGACCAGCAGGTCTCTGTCACGACCACTCTTGTACCACCCACCGATAGATGGCCTGACTGGCATGTGAGGATTCATAGAATCAAAGTGCATCAGAAACTACGCTCATTGCGCAGCGTGGAGGGAGGTTTCTCAATACTTGGCCGCCGACAAGTAAACGGAATGGCTCTACCCACTCCCTCGGAACTTCCAGAAAACGCGGTGCCGGGCGTTGTCGAAGGAATTATAGAGACACCCAATTCAACACTCATCATGTCGGCGGCAGGAGTAAGCGGAGTGGTAGCGGGCAGGCAGTCGACTTCTGCGGAAACTACAAGTTCTCATGCCCTCAAGCCTGACTCTAATACCAATTTGGGATGCCAGAGGACGCTCATTCCAGTGATATCCCATGACATTGAGGGTGGCTTGAATGCTGGCGCTGAGATTGTATTTATCGAGGCCTTTTTTGCCATCTCAGGATCGAAAGAGAGTCAGAAAAGCCCTCAAGCTCGTACCCTTCAGGATCGATGGAGCGACCGAACATGGTTTGACTTAGTTGATTGGTCATCTGTGGCAAAACAGAGTAGCATATTGTAGAAAAATTGAAGATGCGGACTGATAAAATCTTGCTAGGCCATTTCTGATATCTCTCAATCCACAGATAGACCGAGTCCAGTCCGAACCACACCTTGGGCTATCTAAATTATACATACTAACATCTATAACCAAAAACAAATCGAAATTACTAGGGGAGTTGCCCCCAGTGGAGAGGGAGGGACCACAAGACTTGCCTTCCCTATTACAGAGTTTGGCTATTGGATCAAGCTTTACGAGCTTGACGCTAGAATCTTGCTTGCTCAAGCCCACAAGCAGTTGGCATAGAACATGGCATATCCAGAACCTCCAGCGTTGAATTTCAACACAATATCAACACAATATCAAAATGTTTAATCAGTAATAAATGAAATATCAAGCTAAGTACTGTAGGATAAACGTATTAATTTTTCTATTATCGTGTTTAGTATTACTGATAAGAAAATTAGGTCCCTGACTTGCATGAACAGAGCTTTGGTGTGCCATGTTTTATGTCATCCGCTTGGCCCTTGATTAAAGGTTCATCCATGACTGCGCTGAAGGTTCTCCCAATGAGTCACCAGACGTGTGTTGGTAGAGGCTTTAGCATCAGCCACACACACGAACGGCATAGCTTGCAGACAAGGCCGAAGATCACCAAAGTTTATAGGCCAGCTATATATGAGTCGCTCTCCCCCACTCTTCACTTTTCTTTCTTCGCTCCTTTTTTACCTCACTCTCGTTTCCTCGCCTTTCTTCACAAGCAAATCCCCTAAGTCAGCCCTCAGCCATGTCGTCGGAACTACTGGACCCATGGGAGTTCGCGCGCATCCCTCCGGTCATTTCCTCCGATGAGCTCCCGGAAGAGGACATCGAATATGTTCTCCGCCAGCGCAAAGATTATTTAAGATTTATGCATCCCATGTACATCTTAGCTTTTGAAAAGCCGAGATATCTTGGCGACCGAATTCCTGACATGATCGATCCTAGTACGTCAGGGGATCACAACGATATTTGGATGATTGAGGCACCCCTCAATACTGTCGAGATCATTGAAGCCATCTTGAAACCAGCCAAGCCATTCACGGTTCACAGGGCACGTCACTTCAGCCCAGGGTGCACTCAGCACTTCGCCAAACTCCCCCTCGATCAACCGCAAAGAAGACAGCAACTGTACGCACGGTATCTTCGGCTGGAGGGTCGGTTAGAGAAAGACCGCGAAATATCCTACATCACGGTACATCCTGATGATGCTAAGACTCTGCGTAACAGATTTCCTGGGGTCCTCGACGCGGTTCGCCTGCAGTACATCTGCATCCCCTGGGTGTTTTCAGACGGAATCAAGAGTCTCGTCAACCCTATGGCGTACCTATTGCACGACGCGCCACGTCCGGGATCAACGCACACATACGAAAGGGGGCTGGCATATGTTCTCAGAACTCTTGGTCTCACTGGCTATACTGTTGATAAGCGGAATTATCTTCAACCCGGAGCGACCCCAATGCCCGAGTGTGTATTGGATTGGTACTGTGGTATTCCGGGGAGAACCCAGGCCCTGCCTTATTATCATAAACTGGAAGAGGTTGTGAATTTAGAGGAGGATCAGAAGAACAACGAGACATCTTCCGATGGATCAAATGCCGGCAGTTCTAAGCCTCGTGATGCCGTTTCAAGGACTCATCTCTGAGAGAAATAAGCATTTGATAAAGATCAACCTGGCCAGTTTAGTTGTAATGCCGAATTAGATGATGGCATTTTTGCTCTTGGAGAAAATCCAAGGCTTAGTTTGACGGGCTGCGGAGCCATGTTCTCTTTTGAGGGAGGGGACTGTTGCTTCCTTATTGACCCAGGTGCTGCTTTCATGCAGTAACTGGATATGTCCAAGATATCCTCATGTTGTAACAACTATTTATTGTTTTTATTAAGTACCTATCTCAATATACCCGAGTTTCTCATTTTGCCAAGTCATCGCCTTCCTCATCAAATCACTGCCTATCTATGCATGTGTGGCTCCCGTCAAGATAATTATTAGCCTCCCCACGCAGTAGGTCGCATTTTGATTGGCGCCTCTCACCTCCTTTTTACAAGATTATTGGCCCGAGTCGACTCATCCGCATCATGGCATTGATGCGGCCCTTGCTAAACATGAGGGGTAGGAAGGGGAAGTAGCCTCATTGCTCTCAGTTTCAGATAAGAGAATTTGATGGCTGATTCACCCCATTCTCATTTTTCAGATGAAAACAACTGTAGAGGCCAAATTGAAGCCACCTGAGATGTAGCTGCACGTTCGTGAGGCCGTGTCAGTTTCTTTGCGCCAAAAGTGTCGTTCAATACTCAGCACCGCACCTGAGGGGATTGTAGGTTACCTGGCTATGTACATATGCTATAGGCCTCTAGTAATAGAAGTCTCTGTAGCTGCCTTGGGTGCAGCTTTCATTCGCGACAAGATTAGGCCAAATGTTATGGAGTCACAAGATGTAGCAGCAGCTCTTGACCATATTATACTAATATCGATTCATGTAGTTTTATCTATTTGCAACTACTTTCTTAAGACTCAGATTGATTAGAGCGCAGTACAGTACCTCTAGCAAGTAGTCGCGACATGATTGACGCGGCTGCAGCATTATACTTATCGATCTTCCCAACCCAGCAGGTCATAGTACCAGTCAAGACACCTTTGCAGCCCAAATCGAGCAGTGCTTTCATATAAACTACGAGGTCAAGAATGGGGGGATCGTCGCCGGACGTCACTTGGGAGCCTCCAGGAGGGGCTCCTGCCTCACTCGACTCGGCACCACTGCCAGTCCCGGGCCCCAAGGAAGGAGCAGAGGAAAGAGCTCGCCACCAAAGATGGAAGTTGTGGCGGCATCGGCTTATCGATCAATCGATAAGCCGCCTATCGTGTGCTTGGGCGAACCTTCCGTCGAACCAGACAATACACAGATTTTCCCTTCCACAATACACAATTACTTCGATCCTTTGCCTGCTTTCGCAACAATACAGCTGCATTCATCCTGCCAACCCACATAAGTACCTCTACCCATCCTATTCTTGTGAAGCGTTGTTAATTAGAAAGTGGCGAAAACCACTGTGAGACAACTATTTGCTTTGCAGGAAATCGATTTCAATGAGTAACCAGACTTGAGCAGTGTCCCTATTGTGACCACGCCGGGCATGGCCCGGATAAGTGCTGGTTTCGACCAGCGGTATGTCCCTACCCTTCGATCCATTGAATGCCTAGGACCCTAGAGTGCTAATCAACGCATATAGGAGGGTGAAACAGTTCGTGGACGCTTTTTTAGAGCTAGGCGATGGTATCGACTGCTGACTGATATCATTTTCGCGGGTTTAGGTCCCAGTGTTGGAGGTATGTGAATCACACGTGGGTATATTGGATTTTCTAAAGACGAATTTAGGGGTCCGAACAAGTGAGTCTTTGATCAAGAAAACATACACATTGGGATTCTGGCTGAATGTGATTTCAGTTTTTTTTGAACAAGCGAGACGTAAGTGAACCTTCCTGGTTGACCTTATATTATAAGTGCACGCTGACTGGAGATCGATCTTAGAACATGCTTGCAAGGGGCAAGGTATGTTTGGGTCTCTGGCCCCCCATGGCGAATTTTTACTAATAGATTTGTGCTTGTTCAGGCCAAAGAAAGGGACTTTCGAGTCCTTCAGAAGGTATGAAAGTGTCGCTCTGGTCGAAGGGGAGGTATGCTAACTAGTGACTACCTTAGGCCTATCTGGCCGAAGAAAAGGTCAGTGCTGACATGAAAGCTCGAGTGATTAATATTGTCTGACAGCAGAATCATTCAGAGGATCCTGGCTAAGGCCATGGTAGGTATTGCCGCTTCTGCATTTGAATTCTCCGTCACTGACATGCCGCACTGGAAAGGAATACGAACAAAAGGCCGAAGTAAGTGGTCAAATACTCTTTCGTTGATAATTAGTCATGGCTGATGGATATCCGAAACCAATAGGAGGCAAAGAAGGCCACTGCGCCTGTAAGTGTCCCTGGGAAATGTGACAATATTGCAATAATCTGACAAAGAACATTTAGGATGATGACCAAAGTTTTCTTGTGAGCAATGAATCATTCTCTTAGGTATTCATAGTTAACATATTTGGCAGGCGAAGTGGAAAAAACTCGTAAGGAGCTGTCCTTCTTGAGGCTTGCAGAAACTTGACTAACCTTAGCATTCTTATAGCAAGAAGAGAAGAATGGGGTGAAGGAGGAAGAGGAGAAGGAGGTGAAGGAGGAGACCGAAGAATGATTGTACGTACATCTACCCAATTTGTATTTGTGGACACTAACTTACCCCCAGTGAGTTAGACTGGGGTTTTTTTTTGTGTTGTTTTCTTCTTTCTTTCCTTGTTGTAATTTTCTTTTGCTATGAAGGATCGGTCTTGTAAGCAGATTCATCCTTGCGTCTTTGTGGCTAACCGCTGACTCCTATTAGGCCGTCTTCAGTAATGGTTGGTCAGAAGAGCGGTACACGAGCTGGAGCCATCGCTGATCGTCTCAGTAGACATCTCTCCCAGGGACTCGTTGTCCCTGATGTTACGATTTTTGAAGGACTGTCCCCGACTTTCCATATGTTATGAATACATTGCGTGTTACTTCTGTCTAATGCTACAATATGCAGGTTCTTCATTTCGCATAACACCGACGAGCTTATACAGTAACTATGGTTCAAACCCTGTCTTGGTCCGCAAGCCTATGCAGAGACTGTGTAAGTATTCACCAGAGAACATTCTCTTATGTATTCATACCTAGTTAACATATTCAGCAGGCGAAGTGGAAGAGACTTATATAGAGCTGTCCTTCTTGGGGCTTGCAGAAACGTGCTGACCTTAAGCATTCTAATAGCAAGAAGAGGAGAAGGATAAGGAGGGAGAGCAGGAAGGAGAGCAGGAGAAGAAAAAGGAAAGGAAAGGAAAGGAAAGGGAAAGGAAAGGGAGAAGGGGGAGTAAACGAGACCAAAGAATGATTATAAGTTAACCTCGTCCGCCAAATCCTTCCAATTCGTCGCGCCTGCCACCGTTTTTCTCCCTTTCCCTCCATGCGTAATCTCGGCCTTGGCTGACTACGTTGGCTTACGACTGCACTTTTTCTTTCCCTTCTTTTGCCTCTTTAGGGGAGGCTTTGGCATGTTTTGTGAATCATCTTGTGGTTTGACAAGCAGCTGTACAGCAAAGCAAATGAAGCAATTGAACGAATGTGATGATGATTGAGAAGAAAAAGCTATCTGTTGTGTACTTGGAAGGAAGGTTCGTCTAAGTATGCGATAGGCGGCTTATCGATAAATCGATAAGCCGGTGTGACGTATCAACACATCTGTCGGATCCTCCGTCATTGTCTTTTCCGCCGGACGCGTCTGATGTCTGGGAGAGGTTTTTATGGTTCCCACTGATTTCTCAGGTATGGATTCAGCTTGTATATCTAACCAATTTGTAATTGGGATACTAAAAAATTAGACTTATTTCTTGTTCTTATTGTTTTTTTGTGTTATTTTTTTTGTAATATTATTAATTCTTTTTGTTTGCTAGTTATTGTGTTTATTTATTATTATTATTATTATTATTATTATTATTTTGAAGGACTGGCCCCTGACTTTCGCATCCTTGATACTTCGTTGATCCCCTCTCTCGCTGCATTTAGGTGAAGCCAATCCTTCTCCGGTTAGATATTATCCATGGCGTAGACTCGTGTGATTTGCTGGAAGGCGAGTATGTCTACTGTTGGCTGAAAGAGCTTGGCAGCACTCTCAAATCCGGCTGTATTGGCTCTATTGACCAAGCCACTTTGATCTCTTACAAGCTATAGAGAGCCGTTGAGCCGGGTCCAGCCTAGGTTAACCCGGATATAACTTTCTCGGCGGAATCGGCCATCACTCCAGGCCTTCGGACTTGTCTCCGGTGGGGGTGGCGTGGTGGATTCCGTTTTGCGGAGTTGTCGACATTAACCACCGCTTTCTCAGTCAGGGGTTATAAAGTTGGAGCATGTTGTTCCTGCTATTGGTATCTCGCCTGATCTTGCGTCCGTTAATACAGCAAATTCACAGATACCCCAAGGCACTATCCCTAATATGGCTACCGACACCAGGCCAGTGGTACTCCGCATTGGCGAGGACATCAAATACAACCATGACTTCTACAACGATGTCTTCACCAAGCGCTTCAAGGTTGTGGCAAATGAGGAGCCTGACAGAGCGTCATTTATTGCGGCGCTGAAAGCAAAAAAGTGAGTCAGCGTATGGCTTTGGGCTGATCAGCGACTGTTCGTTTGTGGCACTAACACGCAGTTGCAACACAGATATGGCGACTTTTCAGCCATTTACCGTCCCCATTTTCAAACTGGCGGTGAAATGGGGCAGTGGGATGATGAACTAATCTCCTTGCTCCCCGCGTCCGTCCGTATATTTGCCTCCGCTGGGGCTGGGTTCAATTGGGCCGATGTGGACGCTCTGGGACGCCGCGGCATCTGGTATGCTAACGGTGCCGGCGCGTCAGACGAGGCGGTCTCTGACATGGGCCTGTTTATGATTCTCTCCGTCTTCCGCAATTTCTGGCGTTGCCAACGTGCCGCTCGCACGTGTGACCCTGATGAGTTCATCGCCATGCACAAGCTCGTGGGTAGCATTTCGTGGAACCCCCGCGGTCACATTCTGGGCATCGTGGGGCTTGGTAACATTTCCAAAAATCTCGCTAGAAAGGCAAAGCTGGGCCTTGGGATGGAGGTCCACTACTATGATGTTGTGAGATCATCGCCCGAGGTCGAAGCGGAACTTGGCGTTACATTCCACCCGACGCTGCATGAGCTTCTGGCTGTCGCTGACTGCGTGAGCCTGCACACTCCGCTGAACAAGCACACACAGGATCTGATGAACAGGGAATCATTCTCAAAAATGAAGGAAGGAGCGAGACTTATTAACACCTCTCGTGGCGAAGTTGTAAATGAGGAGGCTCTAATAGAGGCATTGAAGAGTGGCCGCCTTTCTGCCGCTGGCTTAGACGTCCACTATCATGAGCCCCAGGTTTCAAAAGAGCTGGCTGCGATGGATAATGTGACCTTGACCACACATAACGGCGGTGCTGCCATCTCCACAAGAGTCAATTTTGAACTAAACGCCATGAAGAACATCCTGCAGGTGGTGGGTGACGATGGTGGTTATCAAGGTGATCCGATCACACCGGTGAATAAGAATAGCTTCAAACCATTATAGAGAGCATAACTAGAGCATCAATATAAACACATGCTGGTCGATCATCTGTTGTGTTCAAGCACAATAATCATCCGATTGATTTAATTTTACGTCCATATGTATATGTTAGATTTAGTTCCATCACCGATATCAATCATTAGCGAGCACAGGGCACGCTTGAACCGTGGTGACTCTCGAACAGGTAAGGAATGAAGGCCCACGTGGAAATCGGTGCCCTTGCCGTCATGGAAGCGTTGTTTAATGAGTGGACTGGATATTATTATTTCTCTCAACCCCCTGGAGCCGGTAACAAGACCGAGCACACTATTCCTATCCATCTTGGTGGACATTTTCCTCGCCGGCATTCTTGCCGATTCATACATGTTGCTTCACAGGCGTGAGAGTCTGGGGTTCCCCGCAGTTCTGGTTGGGGTTCCATTGCTCCCCACAATCTCTGCTCTGTATAAAGCGCCCCACAACTCATGGTTTTCCTATCTCCTGTTTCTTCAGTCTCTTCCAGGCACGCCTCCAATAACGACAACGAAGATGGTCAGCGTCACAGAATTCTTCAAGCCCAAGGCGGCGAAGAGTCCTCGCTTTGCACACTTGACCAACAACACCAACCCGGTATGGTACAAAGACGCCGGTCTTCGAAAGAATGTGTATCACTGCGTTGGTCTTTACCTCTGCGTCTTCTACTTGGGATACGATGCCTCTCTCATGAACGGTCTCCAAGCGATTCCTGAATGGGAAAAATATTTCAACAACCCGTCAGGGGCCATTCTCGGTTTCATCTCTGCCAGTTTGTTCCTCCCAGCAATCTTCACCCCATTCGCCGCTTCTTGGATCAACGGCCGATGGGGTCGAAAGGTGTGTCTTGGCGTAGGGTCACTTCTTCTTATCCTCGGTGCCTTCCTGAATGCCTTTGCTACCAACATTGGAACATTCATCGGCGGCCGAGTAATCATCGGTGCCGCTGGTCCCTTTGGAAAGATTACGGGTATCGCTCTCCTCCAAGAGTTGGCTCACCCTCGCCTACGCCCGTACGTTGCTACAGCCTACTACAGTAACTACTACTTTGGCCAGATTGCTGCCTCCTGGTTCTGCTTCGGCGTACTGTCTTGGACATCTTCAGATTGGCGATGGCGCGTGCCTTGCCTTTTCCAGGCTGTGGCACCTCTCTTGGTCATTATCCATCTTTTCTTCATGCCCGAAAGCCCCCGGTGGCTAGTCGATCACGACCGAACCGAAGAGGCCCTCAAAATCCTCGCAGACGAGCACGCCAACGGTGACTTGAACGACGAGCTTGTCAGGTTCGAATACGAAGAGATCTGCCAAGCACTCCAGGCCGAGAAAGACAATAAGAATAGCAAGTACTCTGACTTGGTCAAGACACCTGGTAACAGGCGACGACTCCTCGTCCTCGTCGCCATGGGTACTGGTTCTAACTGGGTCGGCAATGTCATCATCGCTTACTACCTGTCTCCTGCTCTCAAGCTCGTCGGCATCAAAAAGGCAGACCAGATTGCTGGAATCAATGGAGGTCTTGCCATCTGGTCTTTGATTTGGGCATACATAGGTGCTATGAGTGCCGAACGAGTTGGTCGCCGATTTCTTTGGCTTGCAGGCACTATTGGCATGCTCGTTTCGTACGTCATCATCACTGGGCTGAGCGGTTCATTTGCCAACAGTCCCTCACACGGCGTGGGACTTGCGGTGGTCCTAATGATGTTCGTCTACAAGACATTCTACTGCATGAGTTGGTCACCATTGCCCTTTGCCTACGGTGCTGAGATTATGCCCTACCATCTGAGACTCAAGGGATTGAGTATCATGCTGAGTGTGCAGAGTGTGGCCTTGACCTTCAACCAATGGGTCAATCCAGTGGCAATGGAAGCCATCGGTTGGAAATAGTAAGTCTCAAAATCACTGAAGCAAGAATTCCATGGAATGCTGACTAGCAATAGCTATCTTATGTACATTGCCTTGATCGCCTTCTACCTTGTTCTTATTATTTTCTTCTTCCCAGAGACAAGGTGAGTGTCTATCTCGATGTCTATTAATAGGAAATGAAGCTAATTTTAAATCTAGGAACATGACCATCGAAGCAGTATCAGTTCTCTTTGACACCGGCCGAAAAGGCGATGCCGAAGAAGCGTCCCGAAAGCTCAACCATGACATCATGGGCAAAGATGATGATGCGGTTGTCCATGTCCATGTTGATGATGTTAGAAAATAGAGACGCGATGATGCGATTCATGAATAATGATTCCAGCTGGCTTTGCGTTGGGTTTTGGTCTCTCCTGCCATCGAAAGTCAGAAGTGACTGTCCATCTGACTAGAATAGAAATTTAAAACAAGGCCATTGAACTCGTCCGTTGCGTTGGGTTAGAGTGTAGGTCAAATATATGATGACAATTCAACGCATAGCATTGCAAGATCAAAACTAGTCGAAGTTTTGACAATTGATCATGCGTTTGATCGGTCTGGTTAAATACAAAGAATCTAGTTTCTTGTGAATAATCTATGATGTGGAAGGTCGCAGTACCGCACACGTGACATATAGTGACACAAGACATATCTTGTGTGAAGGTGTACAGGTCCGACAAGGCCAATCTCGAAAGCCATTATCAGTATTGACAGACTATGTTCCCAGTTCCTTTCAAGTACGCAGCATCAACCAAACCAGGGCCATTGCTCACAATCCATCTCCGAACTAATTCTTACAAAGCCATATGAGACATAGTCTTGCACACCGAGCGAAATGCTGTGTTAAACTTCCGTCGTAAAGAATAGACGACAGTGTGCGACGATGCCTCTCGTCGTCCTACCCCAATGCACTAGAACAGAGACAATGGAGGATAATTGGCGAGCTGAGTGCTTCATCGCATAGATTTACAAGCTCATATCCCCGCTGCAGAAGCGTGGCATATACATTTGACTGACTGTGTGGATATGAATCTGACAGATGAAAATTAAGATGCTCTTGGGGAATGGATCAGATTTGCGAAACGAATTATCTGAAGACATAATTGTTGCCGTCTGTATACCAAATCTGTTACGATCTACCGTAATGAAGGCTCCATTTGCTGGAAAAACCTGCCTGCCCGCGATAGCCGATGCACTAAAACTCTTTAGAAATTCATCAATGAACAGGACCGCAGCGTCTCTCAAGTAAGTTCTAGATTGCTGATTACTCTCCCTTTTCTGTGGTGGGCTTCTCCTGACATAAATGAGCAGCAATGCAACGGCATTAGAGAGGCGTGAATCACCAAATTAAACTTCTACGGCGGGAGTCAAGACAAGGCGAAGTGCTCTAGGGTCAATGGAAAGCGACACTGTATTATCTGCGGCAGCGCGGAGACAGTTGCTCGTCCGATGATGGATGCTGCGCTGGATCCTGATGCTTACATGGGTCATGCACCAATTGTAGGGCCTTTTAGTGTCCATACTACAGAAAGACTGGCTCACTATTAATTCCAGTATCGATAATTCAATGAGTCTCTATCTTATCATGTTGATTCTTATCAATTCCAGCCCATATGTCGGCGTCTGTTGACATGTTCGCGTGGCTATGGGTCATCGAGAGTGCCGAGCTCCGAATTTCCGGAGTCATTGACGTCAATGACCATCGCATTCGGACTTACACGCAAGACGACTACCTACGTCGTTTACATTCCTCGTATAAATTGAAGACGCGCCGTCAAGCTCGTCATTTCATTTTCACGGGGAAAAGAAGTGCCCCAATCATAAAACACTCCACCTCGAACCTCATCATCACGCCTACAAATCTCCGGCCCAATTATTAGATACTTCAGTCATCATGCCTTTCCTGGGTGGTGGAATATCCCAGCTCAGGGATTTTATTTCCTTCCTTGGCACAGTAAAGGGCGATTTGTCTAATATCACTGCTCCTCCATTCATACTGGCCCCCAAGTCTGCAATCGAGCTACCGTCCATCTGGGCGTCTTGCCACGGCCTGTTCCTGCAGCCAGCACGAGAACCCGACCCAACCGAACGAGCTCTGTTGGTGCTGAAGAACTATCTATGCAGTCTCCATTATCTTGTCGACCAGGAAGGTTCTGCAAAGAAGCCATTGAACCCGTTTCTAGGCGAATTGTTTCTTGGGTCCTACTTGAACCCGCGGCTGTCAGCATCAGGCACCCGATTTATCGCGGAGCAAGTGTCGCATCACCCTCCCGTGACAGCGTGCTTCATCCACAATAAAGAACTTGGAATTTCATCCACCGGGTTCGTCGCACAGGAGACTACGTTCGGCTTTACGGAAGGCGTGACAGTACGACAGCAGGGCTATGCCATGATTGGTGACGAGAAGCATGGGGAGAAGCACTTGATGACGATGCCCACCCTGAAAATAAAGGGATTCAGCTCAGGGCACACGTATGTAGATCTAGAGGGCCCGTGCTACATCAGCAGTTCGAGTGGGCTTTTGTCGACCATCGATTTCAAAGATTCCAGTATGCTCGGCCTGGGAAGCCGGGGGCGAGTGACTGCAGAGCTGTGTCGTACGTCTGTCGATTATCAGAAAGAGCGAGTATTGCAGGTTGAAGGAAACGTGGGTGGAAGTTTTGTTGTGCGAGACAATATGGGCAGAGTAACTGAAGAGTTTCATGTGGACGACATGGAAGTCACACCATTGTCTGTCAAGCCCATCGAGGAACAGTCGCAGTGGGAGTCTCGCAAAGCTTGGGACCAAGTAGTTGCTGGAATTCGCCAAGGCGACTTTGAGAAGGTAATTCGACATAAACAAGCATTAGAGGATGAGCAGAGAAAGCGAAGAGCGGAAGAACTCGAGGATGGTACGGCATGGCAAACGAAGTTTTTCTGGAGATGTGAGAAAGATGAGCAGGCCTTATCCTTGCTGCAGAGTATCCCAGGGAGCCAATTTGATCCTGAAAGGACTAATGGCTTTTGGAAGGTCAAGGGCAGTGAATAAGATGGTGTATTAGAATTGTTGGAAGAGATGTGATGGTAGACAGCATAAGCAGCATACAATTGTGGTTTTGCGCAGGCGGAATGGATACTGTCTAGACTTAATAAGTGCACAAGAAATGTAAAGCCGAGTAATTTATATTGGTATGCCTTCCTTTTGCCTAGTTTCCACTATATAGTATTGGACTTGAGGATACAAGGTTATGAAAGTTCCATAGTATAAAATCTGTAGGGACTGAATAATGAATAGTACCATCCACTGCTTGAATGCTGGGGAAAACAACCGTCCTTGCTCCGATATACAGAAAGAAAATATTAACAAGTGAATGACGGGAAAAAAACAATTAAGGAACTAAGGCAACGAGCTTCGCGATTGTTGTGTCAAGAATTTCTTGAACCTCGTCTCTGCTTATGATGCTCTCTTCGAACACAGCATTGATAATGGTGTCTCCGCCCTTCAAACCAGATACATTGAAAATGGGCCCCTGGCTGCCCTGCAAGCCATTTGTAGCGGCTGCTGAGAATTGAACCTCAGAGATACTCCAACCTGAGCCGCCTGAACTTGGACTTGAGGAAGTGACAGCGGCTCCGGGGCGGAACATCCCCAGATTGGAAACCAAGGTTGTACTTGAGAGTACAGTCCCGGCGAATGGCATAATTCTATGCAAGACATGCTCAAGATCGGAATTCATATTGATGCTGGCGCGCACTGCTCTCACAGCCGGCTCGGTCTGCGCGGTCATCCACTGCTTGTATTTTCTGGTGAGCTCCCATAGCTTTTCCTCGTCTATGTCGTATACTCTCTTTTCGCTTCGAATATCAAGTTTGCTTAGGTCTTTGGCTATGCTACGATATTTTCGTATGCGTGAAGCACGAGCCATGCCAGATGTGCAGTTGAAGATCGTGCCATGTCTGGTCCCACCACCAAGTTCCTCTGCTGCGAGTGGTAGATGAGGTCGCATATCCAATGCAAAGCGAGTGCTACCGATGCGGGCGTCGGAGTTGTAGTCCGTAGACATGACCAGCATCAGCATGGTCATAAGAAGCGGGGTGAAAGTCGTCCCCTGTTTTCGACAGGCATCCAGAATTGTTGAGATTTGAGGGGCGGTTATGCGGCCACTTATAACCGCCGTGACTGTTCTGTTGGCGGTGTCTGCCACTCTGGTCACCGATTTTAAGTAGGGCTTGGACGAAGACAGTTTGCTGAAGATGAATCCACTTGAGCAGAAGATTTGTGCCAAGAAGAATGAGGACTGGTTCAAGATGATTTGTAATAATGAGGGATGCCAACGCTTGTCTCGAGAAGCATTCTCGTTTGGCATCAAGCTCCAGTCCTTGGGGACGTGTGACAGATGAGGATCCGAGCGGACAATGTGTGACGGGGAGCTGTTGTAATCTGGCGGAGGGGAGGTCGTATTGAGAGCTGCTAGAAACTCGCGATGGAAGACGTACCCGGAAATCCCATCGGCCATCATATGATGGTATACTAGCATGACATCCTGGTTACCAACAACGAATAATTTGAACAGTGGTCGGTGTGGAATGTCGGATGTGTGTTCCCATTCATTGTGTGCACGCTCAAGTAAGGCAGGCGTTATGCCGACCCCTTTTGGATCGTCCACGAACTCCACGCAGTTCCGCAAATCAATTTCATGCAGCATGGCAATATTGAGGGTGTGCCGGTCTTTATTCTTTGGGGAGGGTTGTACCACGCCTACCATTCTCATCATAGGATGTGCTTCCACCACCTGACGGAGGGCGTTCAACACAAGAGCCTCATCGAGCAGCTCGTGAGGATTGTCGTATGTGGCAGTAACAATCACATTCGACTGGATTCCAAGACGGTGGTAGAGGTAGAATATCCGTTCCCCGCAGGCTTTATGCTCAGATGTCAGGTTAGCTTGTAAATAGATACCGACAAAGACACGAACGGATCTCTGTTTACCTGACTCACGAATGATCGTGTAATTATTCTCTGATGAGATAGACATTCTGTGAGATGCTTAATTCACAATGTTTCCAATCAATTTTGGAGGCTAAATAGCGAACACGAGAGAAAGGTATGTTATATAGCAGCTATCGTGCCAAGAATCCTCAGGGGCTAATATTTAAAAGTTCGAGGCAGTGCATCTTGACGCGTCCTCGAGACCCTAGCCCAGTTTATAAAACAGTTTGGGGGGATGATCAACTTAATCATGAGCGATTGCATTTCTCTTGGTTAGGTACTGATCACATCATTTTGGATCCCGCTCACTATTCTAACAAGTTACAAACTCACCGTTAAATTCAACGCAGAAAGTTATTGTTCTTTTCTGGTACACTATTCAACTACATATTACATCGACCAGGAATAAAATCAATATTTTAGGAATATTTACCAATATGAGGCCATAAAGGGGAGCTGGCCTGAGGCAACGGTAAGTCTCATGAATGCTTCTCTCCGTCGGGATTTTCGGAGTTGATCGGCCCCGGCATGGGAATTGGCCTCCTTGCTCCGCAGTCTCTTACAATAACTCTGGACAAGGACTTCCAATCACAGCCCCGAAATTCCGTCTTGCATCTCATGCTCAAGTGTAAAAGCCAAGAAAATGTTTGAGTGGCCCTGACGCATTGGTCCTCGTTCCTTGCTGATCGCCTCCTGCCCTCACTACTACTTCCTATCTTTCATCCTCATTCCACCCATTCCCCTGCCTCTTCTTCAAGCTCATAATAAGTCCCACACAACCCCTTGTCAATTTCGCACCAGGTGATGAGAAGAACTATTTCCCCAGGAGTTTGCTTGAGCTTTGTTTGTTGCTTACTGATTAATAAGTCCTCTGATCTCGGCTACATGGTCACAGGATCTTTGGTACTATGCATCTCAGTGCATGACATGTTCAATCTAAGTATAGACTCCAAAAAGAGTACGTTTCACACTCTGCTTAGCTCTCTCTTGATGTTCCCATTTGGCTTGTTCATCATCCGCTAATGGATCCAGCCCCGTTCCGACACCTCAGCTTCGGGGCGCACGGGAATGAACCCACCTCTTGGTCTCGTCTTAATTGCACTTGAATCGGCACTGACTCCTGTTGGGGTGGGAAGCCCGCTGACACTATCCAACGTGCCGGAGAAGTTTCTCAAGTACGCATTTCTCACCGGGTCGTTTCCTATTGTTTAATCGAGGTCAGACCCATAAGTTTCTTACGGTGTCTACGCCCCAAAAGCCCATTACAACCCTCAGGAAGGTTTCACCAACAGATGGATACCTCCATGTCTCAACATTCACGGGACTGGCCGTACCTTGTCAAGTGGTCGAACAAGTGACCAACTGGCGCTGCTAGCCGACGAGGTTGGATTTGCCGTCTTAAAAGCACCGTTTACGGCGGGGTTTGGCAATGATAAAGAGATGAGCCCAGGACGTGATCTGTTCCACAGGCTTAGGAGCTGCTAGACGAGTTACGTATCCCGCTACCTGGCAGGACTGGCCTCAATATATCGCAAATTGAATTGATAAAATACGGCATACTTCAATCCAATTCGTTGTCAGCTTGTCAGCGAGACCGACAAGGACATTGGAATCTTGACGCTTGTATTTGTCTGCCAAGCCAGTACTTGTACTGACGGCTGAGATCGCCCCTCTGTTGAATAGTGCAATCAGGCGACCAAGCAACAGAAGAACCTTCCCAAAGCTGAATACGAGCGTCATGAAGTCCAGAAGATGGTCACACTGTCAGCATGCATTTGGTGTTGATGATGTGTTGATGATCTTGCCTGTTTCCATAAACACCAACATAGCTGACCTAGATATTCCAGCTGTTTTGACACTGCGCATGACATAGGTCTGACCTGGGCAACGGCTGGCTTTGCTAAGAGGCACAGCATCACATTCATTTTTATTTTTTTTTTGGTTTCTTTATTCGAGCTCATACACACTCACTCCTCTTTGCAGCCCCCAACCATCCCCAGATTTGGCGTATAAGCAAAACAAAAAATAAGCAGCGTCATGAGGCGAGCTTCAGCCAATGCCGTTGGTTGTATTTTTCGATGTCAGTGTCGGATAACATACCGGGAAGAGAAATACCAGGTTTTCTATTCGCTTATGGCTAATTCCTGTGGTCTCGTGGCACCAATGGCAATGGACCTTGTCCTGCTCGGAACTACCGCCACACATGCTCTTCTAAGAGAATGCCTGGGTGGCAGTATATCGTGGCACATGACTGCACTCTTAGTTTGCAATCAAAGAAAGAAACGTAATATACGCCATGCAACAGAAGAAAAATAGAAGCCCACCTTCAATCTATGCATTGGAAATAAGCTGAGCCACCCAGTTTAGAGAAGGAACCCAACAAACCATAGTGTTTAATTAGAAGCTTCAAATAGCAGTAATAAAAATATTCCAACGCCACCTGCTATGCTACCACCGGACTGTTTTTCAAACAGGGCGCAGCCCCCAAACTAACATAAGCAGGCTCAGGACAGATGATGATGGTGGTGGTGGTCTGCTAACCACAACTGGTCTTGAGCATAAGCAGTAACATCAACTCACCAATCACATATCGCGCACATCATCCTGCCAAAGCAAGGCTAAATTTAGTGCTGCCAATGTCAGACCCTCGCTTGCGTGCGGCTGACCTCCGAGAGATGATCAATCCGGGGGCTGTGAGACTCTCCAGTCCCTTCCCTGCGGTTTTGGCACCGGCGCTGTGGCTCACTCGGGATAATTGTTGCTTGGACCTATTTTGAGCACCCACTTTTCGAGAGAGGGCTGTCATCACTGCTGACCACTAGAGGATGACGATGGAGATGCGAGGTACCGGCAAGTCTGGCATCCGGATGGCTTAGATGAAGTATGAGATTGATAATTGCTTACCAGTGTACTAATTCCATTTAGAAGAAAATGGAGGTTACAATGATTGTATGTGATTGAAATTGTATATAAGAAGACCTTGGTTCTGGCCAATGTCCAACTTCCATCCTCACCATCACAACAATCTACAGCTTCACAGTCACTTCAACAAACAGCCACTTGCTTCTTTCTTTGATTCTTTTGCTCACAGCTCTTCAACTTAATCACAAATAACTTCTATTCAATAACTTTCAACCAGCCTTCAAAATGATCTCCATCACTTCCGCCGTTGCTCTTGCCGCCTTCTTCGGCCTCTCTGCCGCTGCTCCTACGGAGACCATCCGGGATACCCAGACCCCTACTGTTCCCCTCACCGGTGTCACACACTCCGTCGTCGCCGGTCTTGGTGGTCTGCGCTTCGAGCCTGACAATGTCGTCGCCCAAGTCGGTGATATTGTCCAGTACGAGTTCCTCCCCGTGAACCACGCTGTTGCCCAGTCATCCTTCGGCGAGCCCTGCAAGCCCCTCGCCGACGGCACCGGCTTCTACTCCGGCTTCAACTTCCCCTCCCAGCAGGGCAAGAACCCCAACGTCTTCCAGATCGTCGTCAACGACACCAAGCCCATCTGGTACTACTGCCCTCAGCAGAACGGCAACCACTGCCAGAAGGGCATGGTCGGTGTCATTAACCAGAACTTCAATGACCCCAACTTCAGCCTCGCCAAGCACCGCGACCTGGCTGCTCTTACTGGCTCTTCTGTTATCCCCCCTGTTGTCCAGGGTGGTGCCATCAAGCCCAACCCCAACCCATAAATCAAGTGTGTTGAGTGGCCGTATTTGATGAAAGGTCATGTTTGCGAGCGGATTATGAGATAAGTGGCGATTGATTGTGAGAGCGATGGATGGTGGTTTTAGTTTTCATAATGACAGGGGTTTCCCGTCCTCTTCTTTCGTTACTGGGTTTCAACAATACTTAGATTTAGACGGCTAAGTGTTTTTATTATTACTTTATAGATTTACCATATAGGACGCTCCTTTTCAAAATTCAAACACTTCTATATACTGGAAAGATCTTTTGATTCTGGTGCCACAATACGGGTGAATAGACTCCAAGAAGCAACAACCCACTCGAACCTCTCTATACGGAAATAGTTTGATCTGATAAACATTGGCAAAGGCGGACTTATTCCAAGACCATAAGCACAGCGGAATAGTTTCAGAGTAAGTTTTCTATTTAGTTAGATATTTTAGTATATTGCTAATTTGACAGGGGAAAAGACGAATAGGGTTCTTTTGACATGGAAGTTGGCTTGTAGCTCCAGGGGCAAAGACAAGAGGGACTTTTGTAGGCCCACAAAGGTTGCAGTGGATATCTGTTGGTTACAGTCCGACAGTCAGGTTCAAACCCAAAACAATCTTTTCCTACACCGTCTTCACCTCATACGCCTCAGACGACAAGTGCACAAGAACGAACATACGCGCAATTGCCAAGACTCGAGCATCTACCAATGCCAGGAATCCCGAAATCCACGGCCTGTCGCACCTGCAAAGTCCGCCGAACCAAAGTACGCCTTCACATTTTCCGCCTTCATTTTGGAGTCTTAGGACTTGTCGAGCTAACGCCCATATTTGGAGCAGTGCGACAGGAAGTGGCCAACGTGCTCGCAATGCGTAAGAAAAGGGGTCGCATGTCCAGGGCCATCTTCATTAGTCAAGTACGTTCACCTTGGTTCCGACGGAAGCGGCCACAAGCATGCTTGGTCAGAGAGCGCTGAGCGTTGGTCCGGGGTTGTGTCAGTATCATCATCATCAATGAGCGAGGGACAAGAGAGACGAGCTGCTCAGCGCTTGAACAAGGAGGGGTTGCTTGCCCATTTCTACCGTTATTCCGTTCCCAGCCCTGGCCAGGAACTGACAACAGACGGGGATCGCGTTGCTGCTCGCCTGGTCACACACCTTCAAAGTGCGCCGAACAGAGGCTTGGTTCTGCAGACCAAGTACCTGAAGGATCCTCCCAGGTGTATGGAGGCTTGCCCTGCTCTTCGTGACTCAATAGACCTATTTTGTTCAGTCTGGCATAAATATCGCCGCAGCGAGAGAACAGATAATCTTGCCCACTTAGCAGAATACGGACGGGCTATACGGAGTCTCAGGTGTACCTTGGCCCTGGGAGACGAGGGTACAACTGTTGAAACTCTAGCCGCCATCACCATTTTGGGGCGGACGGAGTCGTTGTTTGATTCCAGAAATAACGCCTCTTACATTCACGAGCTAGGCATAACCAGTCTCAATGAGCGACTGGGGCCACCCAAAGCTGGAGACGAGCTACATTCTGCCCTCGTTGCAGAAAACTATATTGTACTAGTAATATGCCCCCTTCTCCCTTTCCCTTTACTTTCCCTTTTCTCTTCCCCTCTCCTCCTAGCAAGTTCGACGAGACAGTTCGGCTGATGGGTTTCTTAAAGGTTCCCTACTGGATGCGGAGGAAGGATTGCGATTTCTTCATGAACAAAGGCTCCTGGGACGAAGCCTCAGCGAATGCAACAGCAGACTTATTTCAAAATCAGGCTCTCAGAACCCATGGGAAAGCGGCATTTAAAGCCTCCCAGGCAGTATGCGGCAAACTAACGTCGTTTTACCGTGATTGTCACATCATCCATTCCAACACCGACAGAGACAACCCAAGAGTTATGTGCCTAGCCCGAAAGTTGATGGCTGACCTCAAACAAAGGCTTGATACCATCACGAATGCGAATGTCAAGCTATTTGAGAAGGCCAAAGAACTAGGGGTTATAAGAGAGATCGAGGATCCTAGTTCTATTACCGGGAAAAGCTACCAGATCGCCGACGTCAGCTTGTTCCAAGTAAACATGTGCTGGATGGCGGCTCAGATGCTTGTTCTAAAAATGCTCTTTGACTGCAGCGTCGTCTACCCCGAGTATGCAGACCCGGCTACACTGCAGGTCCTCCTCAGGAAAGAGTCTGTCCATGTGTGGAATTTTATACCAGCTCTCTTGGAGCTGGAATCTTTTGTCGCCGTCACATCACTAGATGTGATCTACCCCACGATCGAAGTCTCCACGAGGGAAGAAAAGGAATATCTTCTGGATGTCCTTGCTTCCTTGGATCGATATCGGCAGGCTCTGCCCACGGACAGAGTCTCGTTGGACAAGGCCATTGTGTCTTACTCGGCACTCTTTTCAGGACGCCTGTCTCCCCATGCTCCCCTAGACTTCGAAACTTGCAAGTGGTGGAAGCAGAAAAAGGCATACAAAGATACTGAAGCCCCGCCAACTTTGACTCATTTTATGTCTCCGCCGCCTGGGGCGATGTGACATGTAACTTGGAATCGAGGGCAGCTGCCTATAATTAGAAATCGTAATTAGAAATGATTTTTAAGAAAATATAATAATGCTATCCGTCAATTGTAATTGACAATGTTTGTCAGGTTGCTTTAGTTTACTGATATCTCCACTAGAAGAAAATTACGCATCGTGGTTTCAGACGTTTATAGCAGGAGTGTAGTATCTATACTTGCGTACCGAGAAGCATAACAAGATCGCTATTCTAATGTCTTGAAGATAGCTTGCTCCGATATACCTATTTCATTATAAATTTCTCCTTAAAATGTGTCCGTATTTTGATACTCCACCACAAACTATCAGCACGACGTCTACTAACCTTGATTCTTCTCAATAACAAGAAATAAAACCCCATCTCCAAATGGTATAGGAATGTTCATATTCCTCTTGGGTGCTTTTAGGTAATCCCCCAAAAAATATAAATCACTTCCGCCTCTAACTTCTAGTCGCGTGGTTGGTGGGGACCGAACATACATCGTAGGTAGGGGTTCCGGGGAATCTCTTCTGCCAAAGCTTTGTGCTGACATCAGACGAACACATAGCATTAACCTTTAAACTGCCCTTGTGACTAGAGACTCAGATCAACCACGGTACACAACTGGTTCGAAACGGTTCCAATACAATAGAGAAGCCGGTCCTAACTCTATGGCTTGCATGGCATCGTCAAACCTGCTGCCTGAATTCTTTTCGTCCGTCCTTCGCATCTCTTCAGCTCCGAGTTCGCTTCGGAAGAGGAATGGCTGCCATCTTTGTTATTATCACATGGTTGTCTCTCTGCGTGTAGCAAGAGAATTGAGCACTAGTATGCTTTACAACCTATGTGTTTGAGGAAGACGAATACGCTTGGCTCAATAATCTCGACTACGCAAACATAACAGGATATAGCAGCACAAAAACATCGGTAGAAACGAAGCAAGAGCATGAGCACATACGCGAAGTCTAAACTCAGGACCAAACAGGGTTGAAAGTCTTATATATCCAGGAAAAGGGGGGAATGGGGCGCGATTGTTCACATGATGCTTCTTTTAATTGGGATATAATCAAGAGAATTTATATTCAAAGATTCATCATTAGCGCTATTGAAGAAGGTACTACCGCTATAATGCATTACGGCGAATCTTGGACCGACTCTTAGAAGGCAAAGACGCTTATTTGATCTTGGCACCGAAGTACCAGCAGCTGAACTTGGCGTTGCTTCCGGTGAAGGGCTCAGTACCGAATTGGAGGGCTGTACGAGTAGCATTAGCTTTTGAGGTCCTTTTAGACTTCTCATTGTTGGAATGAACCTACTAAGCAGGTACTGCTTGTCCATGGGGTAGCCTTGCATGTCGCGCATAACATAGAAGAAGTCCATGATGTTTCCGTCGAATCGAGTAACCGGGCTGGGGGCGACGAAGCTGAAGACCTTCATAGCACCGTTGTAGCCGACGTGGAGGTCCCATTCGCGGTTGGCGGCCTTGACTCTGCCGATGGAGTTTCCGATGGGGTAGATGTCACCGAGCTTTCCGAGCCTAGGACATTGCATTAGCTCCTGAGAAGCCCAATAGAGATTCTTCCTCGACACTTACCAGATCATGAGCTCGTAGTCACCGCTGCTGGTAACATGATTGGGATCGGCAGAAGTGAAGATATCATAAGCGACGTTGGCGCGAATGTTGCTTCCAGAGTAGTCCCAGTCGGCACCACCGTTGATGCTGCCGATAGAGCTCACCTTCTTGCCGCGGCCGAACTCGAGACCAGCGTAGGGGTAAGACTTGACGTTGTTAGCGCTGCCAGACCAACTCCAGTCGGCATGAAAAGCAGCATTTCCATCCCAAGTCTTATCTATGGTGAGACATTGGCTACCAGAGCCGGAGCCCTGTCCCCACTTGTTATTGTTGAAGATGTAACCGCCCTGGGACTGGCTCTGGTACTGGTCGCAAAGAGCGGCCAGAGAAAGAGGCGCAAAAGCGGTCAAGGCGAGTAGCTGGAACTTCATCTTGAACAACAGTAGTGCTTTACTGAATGAGTATCGGTATAGCGAGCGTAGGAGGTGGGAACTACGGTGGATGGAGAACGACGACTCTATATACTAATCGGCAGCCGCGGGCTATCGCCACCAACACGAGGGTGCTCCCTTTCCGGCTTTCATCCCTAAGGATGGCCGACTAACATCCTGTTTAGGCCTAATCCCGGATCGGGAGGCGTCATTCAGCATGCATGATCCTTGGCGTTTCGACGGGCCATCGCCTTTCCGGCAGGTCGGATGCGTGGATCCCCCGTGTTGATTTTAAGATCAAGCCCATCATGGCTGATAGTTCGTGACCGAACTCAGCTCTTACCGGCGCGGTTTTCGTCAATAATTCCCTTTGTCTTCTTCTCCAGACACGTAATTCAGCCTATGGCCTTGCCGAAATGGAGTCGCTGGCCAATGCCACAAAGATGCTCCCAGTCGAAAGGCCTCAAGGGGAGTGGGCGGCTTTTGCCATCGTCAGATATCTTTCAGCCCAAGTCTATTTTTAGAGGCGTCCATGTATTCCGGTCCAAGCGTCCAATCAGTCTCCGAGCCTTTCATCTCTTAATTACTCATGTGCCCCATTCCAGGAGGCAACCCATTAAACCTCAAACAACCTAACCAGTTCAGGAGCCGCATGTCATCCCCGTGCCAGGTAGATTAAAGCCTGGCCACAAGCGACTACCGAAGTCGTTTGATTCGGCAGTATCCGGCCATCTCGTGAGGGATGCTCTTGGCGCTTCCTCTGGACTTCCACTTATCGGCTAACCCGACCCGTGATGCGGCTGCCCTGTTGTCAAGCCCCTTCTTCTCAGCTGACTCGGTAGGAGCCTATCTCCTCCTGCGTTCGTGGACGCAATTCCCACTCCGTGCATGGAAAGAGCATCGACTCGGCTTGGCCTACTGCTAGTATCCTGAGAAAATACTGGATATAACATGACACTGTAACTACCCCTTTGGTCGGCATATCCATTCCGAGAACAAGGAATCTAACTGGCTCGTCAATATTCGCCCTTATGAATACCAAGATCCTCTCGGCACAAATTCGCCTTTGGAACTCCCTGAATACTTGTCACATGGGCTGAAAGGGGGCGGGATTTTCTCGGGCATATATAGGTATACGAACTGCTCACAGTGGTTCTGACTCTAAATGTCCCGCTATGTACATAATCATGCCGTTTTTATATAAGGCCGAGCGGGGGTGGAAGGACGAGTGCCAAGTGAAGAATGACACACATGCACAGTTGCACTGCGGGCGTCTGCATCCCGGTTTCCCCACTACAAGAGAGTCAACTAATTTGTTGGACAATGCAGAACGGCGTGCCGTGTTTCGTTATGTCCTTTGTGACAAGCAGTATAATGGATTGATCGGAGGTTCTGCAACCCCATGAATAGCTGCCCTGTCAGGCTTGGTTTGGCCGTGTTATTAGTTCCACGATAAGACATCATCCAAACCGGCCAGCGAAGGTAAACGGTCCAAAAAGCTACCAATGCATGGCTTTCTAAGTTCGAAGGATTCGGTTTTTAGCTTACCTACGCCATGTGTATAGAGAGTCATCCTGCAATGACTTATTTTCTCCCTCCATGTGACTACCTACGGTGCTGTTCGACCAAGAGAGGCCAATATGTCGTCCACCTCACACCTCCCGTGAGAGGTAGCGGAGAAAAGACCCTTTGTCTCACGCTTTTCTGCGACTGTTTGTCCTAGCCTAATCCGTTCACCTAAAAGTTTCAGTCCATTTATTATTTGCTAGGTCCTTCGGCATGAAGTTGGATGATTCGATGTGGAAGCACACATACTATCCTACACTACCTGGCACTCTCACAACTATTTACTACGGTAAGTCTTGGTTATAAATGGTGATGAATATTTTTATTTATCCGTTAAATATTACTTGTGCAATAAGCACCACTATGTTTTTTCTTCGTAACTGAACAATTGTGACGACGGACTTTCCCAAACCCCTAGATCCTCTGGTTACTCACTCCCTACAATATCTAACTTAGTGCCTTCAAGTATTAAAGTTCCCGCATCCCGCATTCAAGAAACACTTCATTAAAGAGGCCTAATCATCTCTACATTTCACTAAGAGTCATGGTAAGGCTCGGGTACCACTACCCCCGATTTCCCCACGTTCTACCCACCAACAAACGATGCGGGGTGCCGGATATTTTTCTCCATGAATCGATCGTCCTTCTGCGGCCTCCACAACTGACGTTGCTGCATGCTGCATGCTTTGAGATCAAGTATTTCATGGATCTAACCATTTTCATGCCTTTTATATTTGCGTAGCATATCTGCGTAGTAGCAGCACAATCCAGAGCTGACTCCACTCCCATCATGGATCAACAGAGCGAATCCCAGAAGGAGGTTGAGCTACGCCGAAAGCGTGCTCGTGACCGCAAGGCACAGCAGGCAATGCGTGACCGAACCAAGTGGACGATAAACTCTCTTAGCGAACAAGTTTCCGTCCTCACGGCCACCATAGATGAGCGATCGTGTGAGCTTCACTCTCTCAGACTGACAGTCAGCCAGCTGGAAGCCGACAATGCACACCTTCGCACACAAAATGCCGCTCTGCAACTAAGTCTCCTAGGCCGTGTTGTAGACGGGAACGAGACTTCGACAATCTCATCGGGTCTTAGCCCTATCAGTATGGATAGTATACATGTGCCTCCATGGGAGCTCTCTCCGCGAAACACCCCGGCTGGGTGTCTAGCAGACGACATTTTGCAGGATTTCATCAACCAAACACGCACAACAGGGCTAGCCAGCACCCCGCTAGCTATTGAAGATCAAAATTCGACATCTACATGGAAACCAAACCTGTGCAGTCTACTTGACAGGAACCATCGCCCAGATGACAAGATCAGTAATGTGGTAGCTGGCATCGTCAATGCGTACACAGAAATTGAAGACCTACCCAGACAGGTGGCTGTCTTTGTCAACCTTGCCCATCTCCTCAACGTATGTCCTATCTACACTTCCTACTTTCGTCAACTGACCTTTAATTCCTAGTGGATGGTTCTTTTGGACCGAGATAGTTGGGAGTTGCTTCCAGACTGGCTCAGGCCAGTGCCTATCCAGGTGGCCAGTCCGCACGCCGCCTGGATTGACCGTATTCCCTGGTACAGTTGTCTGATTACCATAAACTGGCACATGCTAATGTTCACCAGGCCTCGTGCGCGAGAGTACTTGATCATTCATCCAGAAATTACGTTGGATGACTTTGTCGTTCCTTATAGCAGCAGTTTTAGCTTGAATTGGCCCTACGACCCTACGTCAGTTCTTTTACCTCCGGTGACGAGGGATGACGAGATTACGGAGATCACCGTGAATCCCGTCTTTCAAGAGCATATGAAACAAATAAGCAATTGGACTATCGGGGAAGCATTCCGGAAACGTTTCCCAGATATGTCGCGGCTTATTGACATGGACCTAGGACAGATGTCAGCGCCGTCCACTCCATCTACAAAAGGCGCTTCTGCATCATACTGAAACCAACTTTAACTACCTACGTCATTGTTTGATGAACTATGGCTTTGTTCTACTACCAAGGGGTCTGGCACTAATTGCTTGGTGCGGGGAAACGATCGCACCGAGAAACAATCAGCTGGTAATGCGAGTCGGAGATCGATTACCGAGATACCTGGGAAACCAATTTTTGCCCTCGGCATTTTCAGAGGTATCAGCATTGAATACGGACAGGGATTCCATTTATCTCCCGAAAAGGGCCACTAAGACTGCATGGCCAATGTCCAGGACCATTTTCAAACCAGTACAATATGCCATTGGAAACAGAAGGCCGCCCAATACGTATTGGAGGCGCCTCTGGCGGCTTCACGGACCGTGTTGCAGCCATCTCACGATTGGCTTCTGATCCCGAAGTTGACGCAATTGTTGGTGACTGGCTCTCCGAAAATGTCATGACAGGATATGGTGCTGGCAAGGCGAAGAAGAAGCCACAAGCCGGTCTCTCATTCGAGGAGAGAAAGCAGAGCGCCATGTACGCCAGCACATTTTTACAATGTTTTGAGCCTGCCATTTCTCATCTAGCAAAGAACAACACGAAGCTGGCCGTCAATGCTGGCGCCAGCGATACCGAGCTGCTCGCTGAGGTTGTCAAAGACATGGTCGAGAAAGCAGGATACTCGATGAAAGTTGCCTGGGTAGAGGGTGACGATATCACCGTACCATTCCAGCAGATGGTTGCAGATGGCCACACATTTCATAGCCTGACTGATGGAAAGACTTTGGACGAATGGGGACACAAACCGCTATGCGCACAAGCCTACTTGGGAAGCTTTGGAATAGCCGAAGCCCTACGAAGGGGAGCCGATATTGTCATTTGTGGGAGGTAACAGACATCATACCGAGATCCTGTATATTCTTTCCGCTGATTGTAAGCAGAGTCTCGGATGCAGCGCCAACTATTGGTCTCGCCGCTTGGTGGCACAACTGGGGGCCAGCCCAGCTTGACGAACTGGCCGGCGCTCTGATTGCTGGCCACATCATTGAGTGTTCTGCCTTTGCCACAGGCGGGTATTACAGCAGATTTAAGGATTTGATGAAATCTCGTTCACACATTAACCTAGGTTTCCCTATTGCTGAAGTGTTCCACACCGGAGAGTGTAGAATTACCAAAGAAAAGAACACAAACGGCGTGGTCAACATAGAAACCGTTATATCACAACTGGTATATGAAATTTCAGGACCGCTATACTTCAATTCCGATGTAGTGGCCAATATTCATGACATTCGAGTAGAACAAGTATCAAGTGATCTCGTTCACGTTTCCGGGGTGAAAGGTTTACCACCGCCTCCAACCACCCGCTGTGGTGTGACCGCTCATGGTGGCTATCAAGCTGAGTGGCACTTTTACCTCGTCGGTTTAGACATCGAGGAGAAATGCCAATGGATGGAGGAACAGGCAAGGCATGCCATTGGTGACGAAATCATGAGCCAGTTCACAATGCTCAAGTTTCATGTCCACGGCACCAGCCCACCAGACCCTCAGAATCAGGAGATTGCTACGGTTGATTTTCGAATCTTTGCTCAAGGGCCTACTTCAGACCTGTTTGACGGTACAAAGCCGGACGGCTTCGCTCGGAAGTTATATGAGACTGTCCTGCAATCATGTCCAGTGAGTCCGATAATCCTCAAAATGGGAAAAGATTAATTTGCTAATGACCTGTTAGGGGGTCTCACGCCCAAACGACCTTCGTCAATCCTCCGCAAAGAGCTATTGGGAATATTTCGTCACAAGTATCCCTCAGAGCGCCTGCAACCATCGCGTTCACTTACTATTTGGCGATGAATCTGTTACAGACATACCTCTTCCACCAGAAACACACGTGTACGGCCCTCAGTCATCATACGACCCGTCACAAAGTCGAGATCTATCTTCTTTTGGTCCCACAGAGCGCGCTCCTCTCGGCTGGGTTGCATTGGCCCGCTCCGGTGACAAGGCATCGGATGCCAACGTGGGATTCTTCGTCCGGCATGAGGCGGACGATGAGGAGTGGGAGTGGCTGCGCTCAATACTCACCATCGACAAGATCAAAGAGCTTCTTGGACCACATGAGTACAGCGGTGGTCGGATCGACCGCTTCGAAATGAAGAATATCAGAGCCGTTCATTTTCTCTTAAAGGACCATTTAGACAGGGGATATAACTCTGGGAGTAAGCTGGATACTTTGGCCAAAAATCTAGCGGAGTACTTGAGAGCCAAGTTTGTTCCCATCCCGAAGAAGTTCTTAGAAAACGGGCACATGTAAGTAGTGGGGGTTAGAATAGTTAAGAGGCAGTCACGAATCAAGAGCAGACCGGTCACATAAGTAGAGGTGGTGTTTATTACACCCAAAACATCGCAACGACTGAACTTAGAGCTTATTTATTCATTTCAAGACTTCAAATTTAGGTACCACACCCTTCTTTTGAAATCCAGGGGCCCAAAGTTTTTCTTTCCCCTTTTCACAGTTCTACTAAACGTCAGATGTAATCGAGTAAAGACTTTACTTCTATATTTGAGAACCAGCTACAAGAACATAGAGCTTCTGTCTTAGTCGAAAGCCAAAAGTACAATGAGAACAAGAGTCACTGAAAGAAATTACAGTCAAGTATAAGTCTCAGCAATCAAGCGTTGAAGTTCCTGCGGCTCTTTCCGCACGATGGTCGCTCCACTCCAGAGGTAGGTCTCGATCCGCTGCCAGGAGTCGACTGACCGCCAGTTGACTGGGGTTTAGCAATGGAGGTGGCTTCGGGGTAGCTAGTGGAGTTCGATGCCGCGGGTGTCGTGCGTGTGCGTGTGCGTGTGCGTGTGGAGGCGGTGGAGGTAGCATCTGGCAAGGCGGCCGATGTAGTATCAGGGAAGGCAATGGAGGTGGTATCCGGGGACGCGGCCGAGGTCGTGCCTGGGGTTTGAACTGAAGTTGGGTTCGAGGTGGCTGTAGCGGTAGCAGTTGCGGCCGGGGCGGAAGAGGCGGTGCTCGAGCTGGAGCCAGAGCCGGACTGCCATCCACGGTTGCGGGAGAGCTCATACCACCAGTTTCGAAGCATCCAGCCATCAAAGTCGGTGATAGTTGTCGCGGAGCCAGCAAGCATCACGAAGCTGGAGACGCCAGTGGGGGTCCAGTCTAGCAGTTGTTAGTGAATACTGGATATAGCAGAAGAGAAGGGTTCAATGACTACTTACCGTAGAAGTCATCCAGTCCAAAGGTGTGGCCCATCTCGTGAAGCAGGATATGAACGTTGTCAGAGCCAAGTGCATTAATCATATACTCGCTTCCGATTCTCTGGCCCCAGTCGCCACCAGCACCGCCGCTCATGCCCTCAGTGAGCCACAGAGACTGGTCGTAGTGCTTGTCTGCGCCTGCTGCGCACCCGCTGTAGTCGCCATCCTGGTTGAAAAACCTGCCGCAAGCCTCTGCGCACTGAGGGATTCCCTCGGCGTCCTTATCGGTATAAACTTCGATACCATCGGTTGATCCCTCCAGCTTAGAGGCATCTGAGACGGCCCAGCCGACAACATTAACCTCGACTTTGGAGAAAGGGAAATTGTCGTAGCCATAAAGCCACTCAAACCATTGCTGGTACTGAGTATTGATGGCTGTCGCAATCTGGGTGCGCTGGGCCTCGGTTACTGATGCACTAGATTCCCAACGGACACACATGTTGATTTTTCTAGTCATGTTAGTTATCTGAATATATGAAACTGACAATGAAACAACTTCTCATACCCATCTGTGGCCATGAGCTGGTCCCAGCCATAGTTTTTGAAGCTATAGAGGCCATTTGAGTAGGTGTTAACGCAGTGATCCCAGACTTCCTGAAGAGGTGTGGCAATGTCTGATGGCGGGCTCCAGCCCGACTGCCTCTTGATTGGCCGGTTCCAGACACGGCGGTTTCGAAGAGCAGCTGCGACGTTGTCCTCTGCGAACTTCTCAGTAGAGAAGTCACCCTTATGGTTGTCCGACCATTCCAGGCCAGACGCCAAAGAGGAGATGGACAAGAGTGCTGAGACAAGAGTGGCACGCATTGTGTCAGAGTGAAAGTGAGTGAAAGTGAAGAGTGGGTAATAAGAAAAGAAAGAATGTAGTTAGTTGCACTGCACACAGAACCTGCTGAGAATCTACTGGAGCTAGTTGTCCAAACAGCAGCGTCCGTAGGTTTAAATCTATTCGTATCCTTGCGAGTCCCGCGGGATTGACCGTGTTTCCGGCAGAAGCGATGTCACCATGGCATGGTGTTAATCGCTTACACGTAAAAAATCTCTAACAATCACCGTTCATGGGTCATCAACGGGGTCGAGACGAAACCGACTTGCCGCCGTATGAGTCTGCTAGCATTCAATCAACTTAAGATGCTTTCAGGGAGCCATGTTTCGCACCTGAATTTGCTGGCCTTGGCAAGCTACAAACCAGAAAGCGCTCCAATGGTCTACCGGATAAGTGGAGAGATCAGAGCATCCTCGTATAATTTTAAGCTGCAATCTGCGGTTTCGAAAGCCCCCCGCATGGTAGAATCAGTATGAATAACCTTGTTTCAATGGGCAGATTTCCCTCGCTCGTAAAACCATTGCGAATTGAGCTTCGCAACCCAAGGTCCGTGCCCAAATTCAGAAGGTGGGTAGCGTTAGCTGAAGCTGAAACACATTTGGCAGTGAAACAACCTAGGGGAGGCAACCCTAACGAGGCTCGGAGAATTCTTCCGCTATACTCTCACTCTCATAGCGGCCTGTATTAATTACCTGTTTAAGCTATCCAGCCCGTTGGTACATTTCGCGGATGGTTCACACGTCCCCTTGGCTGGTCCCATAACAGAGCGTTTCCCCTAGCAGTAAGTGTTCAAGGGGACCGCTTTAACCTTACCAGCAACCTTAACTTTCTCCGTGATGGTTTCAGACTTTGAGAGTGTTTCTTTTCTGCGCTAGTTTTCCACCTGGAACAACATCTTACCCCAAGAGGTCCTTGTCCGAGGCTTTCTCCACAGATGCATTGAGATCATGAGGTCATCACACAAGCAGACTTAAGAAATGTGCGTGAGTCCTCTTTTCAAATTGGAAAAGGTGATCCAAGTATGGTCTCCAAACCAAGACTTCATAAATCGGATTGCAATTATACGTACCTCGTTGAGTTGGTAAACAAACTCAGCTGATCACAAGGTACCTTATGAAACATAAACTGTTTTTGGTTCATCATGATTCTGTATTTATTGCCTGTTGAATACGCCTAACATAAAGAAAAAATGGACATGGCCGTCTCAACCTCTGTCCCAAGGATATATATACCCATTAAATACCCGCTAATACCATATAAAAAAAGAGAAAAAAAGAGGCATTTCCAAACCAGGCAGTCATCATTCAGTCATTACAGCAAGAGAGTCGCAGCGATCGCCACAACAGCTAGGGGCATGCCAACTCTGTAGGAAGAGGCGGCCGAGTCCTCGGTGCTGTTGGAGCTGGTCTCGTCCGTCTTCACGTTCGGCACGTCGGTCGAGTTGGCACGCGACCACAGCTCGCTGTAGCCGAAGCCCGGGCTGTCGGTGATGAATGTAAGGGGCTTGGAACCGACGGCGTTCTGGGAGCCGGAAACGCAGGTGCTGTTGTCGCCGCCGGCGATGGTACCGGCAGCCTGCCACAGCTTGCTGACGTCGCGGATCATCTCTCCGGTGTAGAAGATGCGGCACGCGGATGCCTCGTAGAGGAACTGGCGGGGGGTGTCCTGGTTGCCGGCCTGGAGGGTGTCGAACATGTTGATGGCGCCGTCGACGGTCCAAGGGGAGTCGGCAAGGGCCTTGGGGAGGTTGTCGATGTCGCTGGAGCTGATGCCGATCTTGGAGTAGGTGGCCTCCTTGTCGCTCTCGTCGATTGCCTCCAGGACGCTGCGGATGTAGGTGATGGCGTCGCCAAAGTAGTTCCACTCGCGCATCATGCTGCCTCGAGTACTTGCCACGCCCTGCATGGGTCCGTACTCGGGGATACCGCCGACGGCGACGGTGCGAACGTTGGCGACGTGCTTCATGAGAGTAGAGAAGGAAGAGCAGGTGCTGCCGCATCCGCCATCGACAAGAAGAACAATGTTCTCGGCGGGGAAGGCCTCGTCGTAGTCAGGGATGTTATCACCATAACCAGCGAGGTAGAAACCTAGTTCGCCAGCAAGCTTCTTATCGGTGAAGTCATAGGTGGCAGTGCTAGTGAACTTGTCGTTCTTGAGCTCACGGGGGCCGTAGAATTCCTTCCACGAGGAGAACTTGGTCAGATCGGGCTTGGAGCCGTACTGGTAGTTGATATCAGGCACATCCTCGTAGGATGTGTTCTGTGCGCCACTCCAACCAAGGACGGAGCCGAGGACATTGAGGGCACTGTGAGCACGTGTACGCCACAACAGATTTGGCACCTTCTTGGGGAAGAAGTGTCGGAAGGTGTCGTAGCCCATCCACAGAGTACCACCACCGTTGCCAGTCAAGTCAATGACGATCCTCTTGGCGCCGCGCGAGCGTGTTTGGTTGATGAATGAGGCGACGGCAAGATCGAAAGTTTCACTGCTGTTCTCATCAGTGTCGAAGCTGGGGATGCTCAGAACACCGAGTTGGTTCTCATCGAAGTAATATCCAGACACCGTGCCACCAAACGTGAAGTTATCTTGGACAACGATGGGGTTCGTGGGCCAGGCGGCGTACGGAACAGCAACTTCGTCGTCCGATGAGTCGGCGCGCTTAACGAGCTTAACATCAGGGTTGTAGCTGCGCTTCTTCCTCCTCTTAGTCTCAACTGTCGAGTCGTCGGACTGAGTGCTATTGGCCTTGACAACCTTCAAGTCGTAGATGTCCTGACCGCTGAAGTACTGGTTGAGAGTCAAGTTGGCGTTGGAGCCGGCCTTGTAGGCCCACTCAAAGTCGGAGCCATTGGCGAACTTGCCCTTGAGAGACTTGCCATTGTAAATAGGGGTGGTCTTGAAGGCGGTCGGAGCCATGGAGGCATCGCTCGACTGAGCCCAGCTGGCGAACTCAAGGCCAGTATTGTACATCAAGGCATTGAAATCGGCATGTGGTTCGATGAGTCCGTTCGCTGTAAAGTTTTTGAGGTAGCCCTGAAGGTAGCTATATACAGGCTGGCCTGCAAGCTCTACGATGGCGGAGGGCGAATTGACATTGTTGCTGATATCGCTGGCTGCGTAAACCTGGGGAAGAGCCTTTCCATCGGTGGAGACCGACACGATGGTATCATCTAGAGTCCATCGGAAGAGACCGATGAGATGGCTGTCCTTGGAAAAGTGACTTTCGTGGGTGGCCTGGGCGAGGCGGTAGAAGTCGACGTCAAACTCGTAAAGGTTCTTGTATTCGCCGTTCTTTGCCTTGGTGGTGAACTCGTCCAACTTCGACATCACATCAACAGACTCCTGCTGGTAGGATGCAGGTGGGTCCTTGAGGTAGGCCAGGGTAGAGTGGAACTGGAAGTAGGACTTGGAGATCTCGAGGACCTTGACAGCGGCGTCCTTGTTGAATGGAACAGAAGTGATGCACTTGTAGGCGGTCTCGGCGTCGAACTGAACTAGATAAGCAGCATCATAAGGTCGGGGAACCTCAACACCCTTGGCAGCCTTCTCCTGCAGCTTGGCGACGGCCAGACATGGCTCGTCGGCAGCGCGGACTGAGGGAGTGAGCAGATTGAGAGCCGTCAAGGCTCCCAATACAAGCTTGTTCTGCATTGCGAAAGCAAGAGAAAAGGAAAAAAGAATAATCCTCAAAAATAATGATGAACCAAACACTCAAAGAAGAGAAGAAGAAGACAAGGAAAAGAGAAACAAAAGAAAAAGAAGAAAAGAATTCTCAAAAACTATTCGACTCTATCTTCTCGTCTACTGCTGATGGAATGGGGAGGAAGAGGAGGAGGAGTAGGGGGTCAGCCGGTACACGCCAAGTATATCAATGAATTTGCCAATTGCGCTTCACGACGGTGAAACCAAGGACGAGACAGGAAAGGGTGCGTGGCCTAGCCACCACTTGCGCTCCGCCTTTCTCTCGCCTGAAGAGTTCGCCGCCGTCTAGCCATTCAGATACCCTTGCCATTGCCAAAGCCCAGACTGGGGGCGGACCCTACCAAGGATTTGCTGCTAGGTAGACCCTTGCTTACAGCCAGAATGAGTGGTGGTCATGACAGGAAACGTAATTTCATGCTTACTTGCCGTAGTCTCCGTCGTGCTTAAGCGCCCTTGAGCTCTGGGCGGTTTCGCATGCACCACGATCACAAAGCAACGTCTGGTGCCGGACTCATCCTCGATCTATGCTAGCCTTCGAAGCATCGCCTTGACCTGCGACTCTAGAGAGAGGTCGTGGAGCTGCAGTGATTCACTCACTCACTCACTTGTTCATCTGGGTCCCGCCAGCCCCATTGTCAAAGGCCAACGTCTCGCCGGCTCTTACTGTCAGAAATTGTGCTACTAAAAATAAGCAGTGGTCTCGTCCTACTCGTCTGCACCAGCGAATCAGTCGAGGGGAGAGCCATGTCTTACGGCCCACTCCCAGAGACTGCTGAAGATCCATCTGCGCGTCCAGAAACTGACCTAAGAATAATACCAACACATCTGCACGCAGCTTCCCTAAGAAGATGAAGTCTTTAGAATGGGACCATGGCCATCCATATTTGAGCAGGTGATGACGACGACTATTTGAAATGGTATGTTCCTCGGCCTGTTGTCCCTTCATCCATCGATTCAACCTCAGTCCTGCGACGTGTCAGCACAGATGGTGGACACCTGAGACCTGCAACTGGTTCGTTTGTGTCCATAAAATTACAGAGGATATGAGCCTACAGCGAACTGTGCCGCCTCCATGCCAAAACTCTCAGCTCTCCAGGCTGGCAGCTCCGTGCATGTCTCTCGGCTTCCTCAACCAGCCCGACAATATCGCTAGACATAAGTAATACTGCATTTCAATAGACTTCTGCGCGACTCGTCATCGCACGTTGGAATGCAGAAGGATCACCTGCAGCCACCCGTCCTGCAGCAACCAACAAGTTGGTCAATAAAAAAGCCACCCGCGCATCCGAAATGCACTCATCTCGCCTGTTGATTTGATGCGAGGACCGCATGCAGCTTTTTTCAATCCCTCGTCCATCATGATGCCACACCCATGCCACCGATTATATTGGTTTTGTTCTTCAGTTGTAGGAGGCATGCATGTCTGGGAGACCAACATCGCAAATGCTGTGGTGACTGGCCCCCAATGTCGTATCACTTTTGCAGCCAGACGCCAGCAGGTCATGCCGCTTATTAACATCCCAGACATTTGATGTTGGTCTTCCCCAAAGTCCAATTCAGCTCCGTTAGCTCGCGGGAATGCCTGCGTCATCGCGTCTTACACGGCAAACGCGGCCAGCTTCCCTTCCCCGTCCATGAGACTGTGACCGCGGATGATCTCCCTCGAGTTTCATTGTTTTCTGAAACGCTCTCTCGCAGTGATAATTGACAGATTGATTTCTTCCATTCTTGCGCACGGCTTCATCCGCCCAACGAACCAATCGGCTCGAGATCACCATCCCTTGGCTACCTACTCGCCGCTGAAATTGTACCAACCCACTTGCACTCCTCTCTATCTAGCCTTTGTTGGGCATGGCCAAAGTGTGTCTCGGACGGCTGATTCAACTTTCCAGGACACGCATCGGCTCCCACGCATCTGTCCCTCCATTGATGTTATATTCAGCCAAAGAGTTGCCCATTGTCACAATTCCTGCATGAAATCCATTGCCTTGATTAAGTTGCTCCAGCTTCCCCTGTAGTGCGCGCCAACTCGTAGTATTTGTAGGACTAAGAGGCAATGAAGGGTAGAAGGGCCCAGGCTCATCCTACCCTAGAGAGAGTCTACATCCCAGCATAGGTAGTCAGTCCAGACATAGCTATATTCACAATTCGGGTTCATTTAAATATCTCTAAAATGAAAAGAAAGAAAAAATAGATAATAGCTCCATTCATTCTTTGAACAAGCGAGAATAAAGAAAGGGGGTTGTGAAGGCACTGTGTCAAGATAAGATCCCCTTTGGTTTCAGTTCATGGGCTAAAGACTAACCATGTGTTTGATCAGACTTGGGGCCATCGTTCACCTTTATCAATTTTGAAACGTTATTCTAAAGATATCATCCCGTTTCATGCTTAATACTCCGTTAATTACGAAGATCCGGATGTTCCAAGAATCGCTCAGCACGCAGTCAAGCAGTGTAGTCTTGGGCTTGACACACCACGTCGTTGGACAACCTTAAAAATACCAATTGCTCAATAATGTTGCTGATCACGATTTGCATACGAATGAGAACCCATTACTGCTTATGCTTTTTTGTGAGTCAATAACTCGGCCTGGACAAGCCCTTATGCCCAGACATACTGAGCACCAGTATGATTCTTGGGCAGCCTCTTTGCCCCGGACGTGAATGTGTAATTTTCTCTCATGGTCCCTCCAGGCGTTGTGTAATCTTCCCAAAATAAACCTCTCTTTCTCAACTCAGGCAGCAGGAATTTTATGATATCGTCAAAAGTCCCCGGCACGGTCGCATAGCTGAAATTGAATCCATCCACATCAGCAACCTCAACCCAGCGCTCCAGCTCATCAGCCACAGTTTTGGCATCTCCAATAATCTTGGGCGACGTGCTACCCAAAATCAACGTATCGGCAATCGCAGCCTTGTCCCACTTCCTGCCCTCGTATCCCGGCACTGATTCGGACCAGCTAGTCACCATGCTTCTGATGGCGGGCTGGTCGACGAACCGGAAATCCTGATCATCCGAGTATGAGGAGAGGTCGAAACCGGACCAGCCGCCAAAGAGTGCGAGGGCCCCTTCACGATCGCCGTACTTTGAATATTCGGCAAACTTCGCCTGGGCAGCCCCTGTTGTCTCCGCAACCACAACAAAGACACCGGCGATGATCTTTATGTCTTGAGGGTCTCTGCCAAACTCCTTTGCTTGGCGTCGGAGGCTATCTGAAGATGGCCGGATGGCCTCGGGGTGGAAGGCATTTACAAAAACTGCCTCCGCATGCTTTGCAGCGAACGCTTTGCCAGCACCAGACGTTCCGGCTTGAAGCAAGAATGGCGTCCTTTGAGGCGATGGCTCGGTCAACGCGGGACCTGGAACATCGAAGTACGTCCCTTTGTGGTTGATTTGGCGAACCCTGGATGGATCTGTGAATACCCCTCCACTTTGCACCACGGCATCTTCTTTCCAGGAACCCTCCCAGAGTTTGTATGTCACTTGCAGAAACTCATCCGCTCTGTCGTACCGTTTATCATGCTCAATCTGCTCGGTCAAGCCGAAATTTCTCGCTGCCGAGTCCAAGAAGGACGTCACGATGTTCCATCCAATTCTTCCATTGGTTAAATGATCGAGGGTGGAGTAACGGCGGGCTAGGGAGTATGGCGATTCATAAGTTGTTGAGGCTGTGACGCCAAACGATATGCTCTCTGTAGCAGCAGCCATGGCTGGGACGGCATAAGAGGGATCAATCATCGGCAGTTGCGCTCCGGCGGAGAGTGTTGCGTCCAGATTCTGGGGTCCCTTGTATACATCGTAGCCTCCAAGCGCGTCTGCGAAGAAGAAGCCATGGAACTTGGCCGCCTCCAGTTTCTTCGCAAGTTCAATCCAATGGTTCAAGTTCTTGTAGTTTTTCTGTTGGTCGTTGGGGTGTTTCCATAAGCCTGGATTTAAATGACCTGGGACCTGCATTGCGAATGCATTTATAATTAGTTGTTTCTTCTCTGCCATTGTGGGTGACAGTGTAATTCAAGCAGGTTGGCCCGTATTGGTGGAACATGTGTTTCCTGGTTTATATTTGGTGTCAACTATTTAGAGATTCAACATTGAATTAAGGGATCATCATTCGTGTCTCTATATAATTCTCCCATAAGGCTAATGGAAGTGGGAGTGCATTTGGCATGAACGAGGCAAGCCAGCATCAGGTTGCAATTGCTCATTGTGGACCTAGGATTGTGTCAGACCTCCGATGAAACTCACGACCCATGACAAATTCCCTATCTCATTTGCATAGGGCTGCATTGTCTGTGTTCGGCTCCTGAAAGACGACCGAAGTCGGGATGGGATGGGGTAACACACCACTTCTTACTGCCAAGGTAGACCCAGTGTTGCGCCTTTTTCATAACTGGCCAGGTTGAAGGTGATAAGCACGCAAGAGCTCCTCGGAGAGAAGGCGGATATAAGAACTAATATTAAGACGGTACTTGAAAGGAAAAGCAGAAGTATCATGACAATAGAATCTCGAGATTCTATCCCTGGCTGTTGATAGTCGCATAGAGCTCATATATAGTCTCATAGATACAACTAATCGTTGTACTTGGCTCTCATATGATTCATTTTGTACGCCACTGGAATGAACGTCGTTTGGAAGGGCTACAGATACTTCGGGTTTCTCGTTCGGGTAATGGGGTCTAGCATATTGCGTGATAGACTGGCATGTTCACGTAATAAGCACGATCTACGTAGAGCAATCCCTATCGCTGTCACGAACTACACTTGTTTGAGAGAAGATTTATTTCACAACGGATGGACTGGTAGGGATGCTGCCCCATGGTGATTGATCCAGGAAGATAAAAGTCCACATTACTTCCGAAACTCCTTTAGGGATAGTGATGGCTCTCGGTGTGTATATATGTGCGCGTATGGGTAGATGCCAAGTTGAGAAGAAGATCGACCGACAAAAGCAAAGTCATTCAAACAGTATTCACTATGGCTGATCCCAAACCTGCACTTGAAGCAAATGTCGCTGCTCCGCGGGAGCACAACACCCATAAAGGTTCGTGAATTCGTATGTGAGCATAGTCGAGTTCCAGCTAAGTTCTCATTGTTAAACAGTGACCTGGTACAGATCGACGTACTGGAATTGCTTCATCCTGGGCCTCTGCAATTTCCTGGCACCTGGGATATGGGGCGCAATGAACTCATTGGGCGCAGGAGGCATGCAGCGTCCGTATTTGGTGAATGCCGCGAACGCCATATCTTTCAGCCTCATGGTTCTTTCCTGCTTCTTCTCCAGCACTGTCGTTCATTACATTGGAGTCAAGTATACATTGATCTTAGGTGCAATGGGATACGCGCCATATGCCGCTGGACTGTACACAAATAACAAATTCGGCACGGAGTGGTCTGTATTGTTAGGGGCGGTTCTTTGTGGGCTAGGAGCAGGATTGTTTTGGATGTCCGAAGCAGCCATTGCGCTCTCTTATCCGGAGCCGTACAACAAAGGGCGATTCCTAGGTTTCTGGCTCAGCTTCAGACTTGCTGGCCAGGTTCTTGGTGGCGCTATCAATCTTGGAATAAATGCTGATAGGAGAGAGGCCGGCAGTGTCTCATACGCTGTGTACCTGGTATTCATCGCACTTCAGTCACTTGGCCCGTTTATTGGACTCCTGATAAGCAAGCCCGAGAACGTCCAGCGAACCGATGGACTGAAAGTGAAGTTATCAGTTGACCATTCCCCTTGGAGCGAACTCAAGTCTACCGCCAAACTCTTTATCACCAAGAAGTACCTCCTCACAATCCCATTCATAGCCCAAGGAATTTATACTGAGGCGGTCATGTTCACGTTTTCTTCTCGTAAGGTCAATACCTTCTCCGGAGCTTCGGAAACCATACTGATTACATTTAGTTTGGTTCTCAGTTCGTGTGAGAGCCCTTGGCTCTTTTCTGTCAGGTGTTGTGGCTATCATTTCTGGTAATCTTCTTGGGGTGAGTTAATACCACTTGAAATCAAATATGTTACGCATCTAACTTGGCAAAGGCATTTCTTGATTACAGCAACATCTCAATAAAAAAACGAGCCAGATATGCATTTGTAGTTGTGGCTACTTTGCAGGGTGGCTGGTTTATTTGGGCGACAATCCTAGTGACTGGCTACAGAAAGAGTCTTCCCACCTTTGACTGGTTGGATAGCGCATTCGGATCGCCATTCGCCTGCTTTCTGTTCTTGATCATTGGCTTCCAGCTAAACTACATGTTCTTGTAAGCCGAAGTTTAAATCAACGGAAATCCCTGAGCTGACTCTATCTAGCTACTTCATTGTTGGTAATCTCGCAGAATCCCCGGAAGAGGTTGTTAGAATCTCAGCACTGCTTCGGGGAACAGAGTCCGCAGTGCAAGCTGTCAGCTATGGATTGAACTCCTTGGAGTCTTTTGCTGCAGTTGGAGGGTTCTACTTGAACTTTGGCCTTTGGGGTATCAGCTTATACCCAGCATGGCTTGTAATTAGGCAAATTGGAATCATTTACAATGGGCCCAAAGAGTTCCAAGCAGGCTCGGAGACGGACAGCCCAGAAAGTTCAGGGCAACCATCAGCACCAGTGACGGTTGAAGTTGGGAATAAATAGAGACTTTCCCTTGGGTAATTGTAAGGCCGTCGAACAATGACATTGGACGTCAGAAACATTGGACGTCAGAAATATAACTATATTCTACTATGTTATTCCTGGTATGGGTATGGGATATCTTGCTAGGTCAATTAACTTGGTCATAAACTCTTTCTTAGCAGGTTATAAGTGACTTCATTTTCCTTCTGAGACTGGTATAATTCTGCTTAATCTATGAGAAACTAAATCTGGAGAAACACATTAAATACGATGTGAAGGGATCAGCCTTGTATCTTCATTGACTAAACAGTGGCTACTATCGCTACGTCTGCTTGCCATGGGCTGGAGTTCATCAGCTAGACCTCTCGCCAGCGGCATCTCCAATTTCGCTTTCCTTTCTTGCTGCTTCCTTCTGGTCCTGTCTATTCGAGAACCAGACAATGAAAGCAGTCCATCCAACGTAGGTAACCTGGAAGACTGCCTCCATAACATAGCCTCTGAAAAATCGTGGTGCCTGCACAGTTGGAAATGCGACGTAGCTTACCCAAGAATTGAAGGCTGTGGATAGTGCCAGCATAGAGCTTACAACAAATGCGCGCTCTTCAGCGTCTCCAGCACAGGCCAAGTTGGCAACGCTGTAGTTGATGGGAGACAAAGAGACTTCGATGTAGTTTATGGCCGTAGCGAACCTTGTGAACTGTTAATATGATGAGATGCGGGAGAGTGTCCTAGAGACAATCTACTTACCATTTATATTCGAAGCTCGTTGTATCGTAAAGAATCCAGGCAAACTTGCTAACAAAATGGATTCCGCATGCCACAGCAATGACAGGCAAGATGGCGTTTCGCCCTTTCTTATCAACGATCCAAGAGAAGGACATGATGAGAACTATACCTATGCTGGGAGATATCGCCTGCGACATCAGGCCTTTAGTATGCATTTGACCATAAGGCCTTTTCGGAATTACGATCAATGAAATAGACTTACGGTAAAGTTGTTGACTTGCACCGTCGAATACTGAGGCTGAGCTCGTAGCCATAAAGTAGGTCCACCGGTGCCCATGCTCAGATAACCCATAAGCCATTGGATGTTCCAGGGGACCAACACCCAGAAATGCCATCTTCCAAGAAATCGCTTCAAAGTAGCTTTGGAGAGCGTGAAGCCTTTGGGATTGCTGCGACCCTGCAGTGCCATGCGCTCCGTCGCGATTCCGAACTCCTCTTCTGTGAAGAACCAACGCTTTCCGTCTCTGGGAGTTCCGGGCAGTGAGAAGAAGCCCCAGATGGCGATAGGGAATGTAATACAAGAGGCAACCAGATACATCCACCGCCAGCCTGGGTATCCAAGAGCTCCGTGCAGCGACTGGTAGATTCTAGCAGCTAGAAGGCCAGTGGTCATGGTTCCAACGCTGGAAGAGACGTAAAAGACTCCTGCTCGGCGGACGAGCTCATCTTTGCGGTACCAACTTCCGAGGATGTAATGAATAGAGCAGAAGTAAGGTCCTGTAAATTCCCATGTGTTAGTAAAGTACAAGAAAGAAGTAATTGATTGTGATGTAATACCAACCTTGCAACAATGCAATGCAGAAGCGATATCCAGCTAATTCTCCATAGCTCTGAGCACGAAAGCAAAGAATGGTGAACACGCCCCAGCCCAGAATGGTTGTAGGGATGACGTACTGAGCAGGAAACTTGGTCAAAAACAGTGTGGCAGGGATCATAGAGCTGATTGAGAGGAAATATCAGTATCGGTTATGAGAGATCAGGAAAATATGGCCCTGAGCCGAGTGACCTACATGCAGTATCCTGCTGAATAAATCGAGCTAAGCGAAACAAGCTCATTGCCGAACAGGCCCAGGTCCTCTCTCATTCCGCTGATGTAGGCATTGGTTAATAAGCCACGATCAATGTAAAGTACCTTTTCAAGTGATTAGCTACTTGCCTCAAGACCTTGAATGAAACCCTAAAGAGGAGAATGGAAATAGAAAACTTTATCTCTTACCCAAAAGCCGATGAATGCATAGGAGAGAATGAAAAAGTCAAGCTTTGTAATGGTACGGCGTTCGAGTGGCCCGTCATTGGCATCAAACCATGCGAGGAACCTCTTTTCCGAACTCGGATTGCGGTTGGCACCGTATGTGGTAGGTTGGTTTGGATTCGAGGAGTCGTCGGCCTCCTGGGCTGCAACGATGATTTGCTCCTTGGACGCCATCATAGAGAGTGTTCCAGAAGCACTGAAACTCAGACAAAGGCCTCAACCGAGTACGGAAGGCAGATGTATTTCTGATTCTTCCTGACTCAAGTTCCATTCAGCTCGCCACCTTTATAGTGTAACCCGAGAACCAGGTGGCTGAGTCGACCTCTGCAACAAACGTGTGGAGTCTCTCAAGGCGTCATGGTCCATATCTATCGTAAAAGACTAGTAAACTGCACTACACACATATACTTTGTATCCAACTAGGCATGATCACTCTAAAATGACGATCGTGCTGGGGCTTTTCGCGTGCTCTGTGCTGTGGTTCGCTTGTATCACGAAAGACCCGCAGAGTGGCGTCTCAGCCAAGAAAAAAGTGAAAACTCACGCGGACTTATCATAACGGTTTTGAGCCCGGCTAAATCCTTAATTTGACAGACGGATTGGTCTACCAATTCAGCGCTTCTGTTAGCCTCATTAAGGTTGCGGAGCTGCTGGTTGTGATGGTTATCGATGCCACCATGAACCCCGGCGATGGTATCATATGGCCAAGTGCGATACCGGCTTACGACTTAGAAGTCGTTGAAGATGTCCCGAAAAACCAACTGACGAATCCAGACGAGACTTATCATTAAAACGTGTAGCGGGGTAGATATATCAATATAATCTACTGAAAGTTCCAGTCTATTGTATAGCCGTCACTTTGCCGTGTGACCCATCGACAACATGGTTGCCGATTCGAGCAGAATTCCTTTCCATCTAGAGTCTCCAAAGGAGGCATCTAGGTCAGCTGCTAGGTATCATCCAGAGCATAAACCATGGAACCAATACCGAGATGTGAAGGCATGAATATCCTTGCCCAAACTTTGATTCATCGGCTTTCGATCTCACCTGGTTGACATTTGTTAGGTGATTGTCGTGGGGCTTGGTATTTCCGGTATATCAACAGCTGTGCTTCTCTCCCACAAGGTACCGAACGCAAAGATTACAGCATATGAAAAGTTTTCCAAAGTGGTAGGTGGCTCGTCAACACTCGCCGGAAACTAGATATGGAGATCTAATAGAATTGCTTTTGCTAGGGCGGAACGTGGGCGGCCAATGTGTACCCCGGTGTTCGCTGCGATGTTCCCTCACATGTGTATCGTAAGTCTGGACCATTCGATACGCTTGACTTGTAATTGCCTACTGAGATATATCTAGAGCTTAGCTTTGAGCCCAACCCCAATTGGTCTGAATATTATCCCAAAGGCGCCGAGATCCAACAGTATTATGGGCGAGTGCTTGAGAAGCATGGCTTGACCGAAAGTGTCAAGATAGAGCATCAAGTCGTTCGCGCCACATGGCTTAAAGACGCGTCGAAATGGGCTGTTGAAGTCCGTGAACTTCAATCTGGCAACGTATTCGTGGATACGGCAGATTTCTTGATCAATGCTCAAGGGCGAATCAGCGATCCCAACTATCCAGACATCCCAGGACTGCGTGACATATACCAAGGCCCCGTCATTCATACTGCGAGATGGCCTTCCCAGTTCGACATTGCAGGAAAAAGAGTTGCTATTATTGGAAATGGAGCATCAGGGCAGCAGCTTCTTCCCAATATTGCCCCCGTGGTAGGAAAGATCGATCACTATGTCAGGAATAAAACCTGGGTTACACCGACATTTGTCAGAGACTTGCATCAAGCTACTGCAGATGCCCCCGGTGGACCTGTTTATTCTGAAGAGCAGCAGGCTCGCTTTAGAGAGGACCCTACCGTCCTTCTTGAGCACAGACGTGAACTTGAAAGCAAGTTTCACCACCCTCCTGGTGGCGACCGCCTTGGCAGTGAGAAAAATAACGCCCTGAGAGAAAGGATCATCGAAGTTATGCGAGAGAGGCTCGATGGCGATGAGGAGTGGCTGGAGAGAGTCCTTCCAGATTATGCTCCTGGATGCAAGAGGCTAACACCTGCCCCTGGATACCTCGAAACAGTCAAGAGTGACAAAGTTGAGTATATCACTGAGGGAATCAAATCTTTCACACCTACGGGAATTCTTGCTGCAGATGGCACCGAGCGCGAGGTGGATATCGTCATTCTTGCTACTGGTTTCGAGCCCAGCTTCAACTCCCGGTTTCCTGTCATTGGTACTGATGGGACTGACCTCCGTGACAAATGGTCAATTGACGGTCCTATTGGCTATCCGGAAACCTACCTCGGAATTATGGCGCCTGGCTACCCGAATTATTTCTTCGTGCTCCAAGCGCAAGGGAATGCTCGTGGCGGAAGTGTCCCACTCCAAACCGAGCTCTCAGCTACTTATATTGCCAGAGCCATCCGCAAGGTGCAGTCGCAATCTTATTCGTCTCTGGACCCGAAAGAAGATGCTGCTCAAGAGTTCAATGACATATGCGCTGCCGCTTTCGAGAACAGCGTTTTGACTGACAAGTGTATCTCGTGGTTCAAGCAAGGAAAGGGAGCGACTCGAGTCGTTATTAGCTGGCCGGGAACTTTTCATCATCGCGCGCAGGCTTTGCGGGAGCCAAGGTGGGAAGATTTTAACTTCGCTCGTAGACATGGCGCGGAGAAGAATAGATTTGAGTATTTTGGAGATGGGTCGACTGTCTTTGAAAACAGTGGGAACCCCGAGGACTTGATCCGATATGTCGTCGACTCTAATAAAGTTGATATTGCTACATTGCATGAGACCTGGACTGAATGACCGCGTCAGCGGGGTAGTTAGTATTGTTTGCTTGAATTCATAATTATATTCACAATAGTCGTCTGGGTCTCCGTCAGCAAGCTTGGGAGCTACGCTCCGCCTGAAATTAGGGTATTGTGATTGGCTTTTCTTGACTGCTGGGTAAGTTTTTCACAGTTGAGAATGCTCACTTGATTACATCAGATGTTTAAGCTTAGAGAGAGTTCCATGCCTGGCAACACTATAGGTAAGCTGGCCTAGAGGACGAACTTCTCTCTCTAATCTAACCAAGGGCTATACACTCAAAGCTCTAGAATGTCTTGGTTCAAGGAACAAAATTTATTCTCAAAAAAGTAAAATTTGAATCTCAACATTGTAATGAATTGAACTCCAGTTTACTTCTAATCTACCACTCCTTCTTTTCGACTTCAGAGTTATTTTTTATCCTACAAGCCTTCTTGAAATGCTGCCAACTATCCCATACCTAAACCCTACTGAATATATCGTAATAAGGAGCAAAAACATCATTTTTCGAGCTTCTGTATGTGATGTTCTTATCGAAGCTTCTACGCTTATGCCCGTCCCTTGCTAGCCCAGTATGCTTTGGTGTCAATCTCCTTAGGAGGAGGAGGGATAGGCCGGTTCTTCTTGATGCCAGTGATTCTCTGCTCCTTCAGGTTGATTGAGGCACCTCCACGAACACCAAGGCCCCGCTTCCGTCCCTTGCTAGCCCAGTACGCCTTGGTATCGATTTCCTTAGGAGGAGGAGGGATAGGCCTGTTGGCCTTGATGCCCGTAATCCTCTGCTCCTTCAGGTTGATTGAGGCACCCCCACGAGTATTGAGACCTCGCTTCCTTCCCTTGCTAGCCCAGTATGCCTTGGTATCGATTTCCTTAGGAGGGGGAGGGATAGGTCTGTTGGCTTTGATGCCAGTGATTCTCTGCTCCTTGAGGTTGATTGAGGCACCGCCACGAGCATTGAGACTTCGCTTTCGCCCCTTGCTAGCCCAGTATGCCTTGGTATCAATCTCCTTGGGAGGTGGAGGAATAGGTCTGTTAGCCTTGATACCCGTAATTCTCTGCTCCTTCAGGTTGATTGAGGCACCTCCACGAACACCGAGGCCCCGTTTCCGTCCCTTGCTAGCCCAGTATGCCTTTGTATCAATCTCCTTGGGAGGGGGAGGAATAGGCCTGTTGGCTTTAATGCCAGTGATTCTTTGTTCTTTGAGATTGATGCTTGCACCTCCGCGGACCTCGAGATGCTCGTCATCGAAATCTCGCTCTTCGAGATCATCATCAAGGTCACGCTCATCAAGTTCGTCATCCAAATCGCGCTCGTCGAGTTCGTCATCAAAGTCTCGCTCATAAATCGCGTCATCAAAGTCGCGAAGATTTAGCTCCTCGGCGATATCTCTCTCCACAAGGGTGAGATCGTTGGTGGCTTCATCAACTCCAAGAGCGAGTCCCTGAGCGGCGAGGCAGAGCCAGACAAGTCCTGCAAGGCCGAGGTCCTTAGTGGCAACCATTTTGACTGTTTGGAAAAGTGCTGAATTGAGAGAAAGATAAACGTGGAGAGAGTAGTAATGAAGATCAGAAATAAAATATTCCTTGAAGGAGAGTGTAGAGAAGGGAAGTGAGTAGGAAAAGCTAAGGAAAAACTAGGAGACCAGCGCCTAAGAGTTGTTATGTTTTTTGAGGATGTGTGTTGATACTTGGAAATGGAGAGTAGAAGCCAGAGTTTATATAATAAACAGCTTGACATCCAGAAACCAAGAGAAGATCAACACCTTGGCGATATTGATTTGATGCCGGTAGTTCAAGCATGGGGACAAGGGTGCCGAGAATAGATAGCGTAGGATTCGCGGTCTATGCTTTCAGACAAGGTGAAATTCCCAGCGGCCAAAACGAGAGGCTACGACATGATGGTTTACGAAAGCGAGCCCCTGTCCACCATTTCTGAAAGGCGTCCCCACATTCGTAATCCCGCAGGATGGTTAAACTCGCCTTGCGATTGGGATGTTTCCGATATTCGCAACTTTAGCTTCCTGGGAGGGCTCAATAAACAGGGCCTCGTCCGGACTTTATGCGATCTGGTTCACGCCAGTAAATCCCCTATTTCTTGCAAAACCACCTCAAAATAGATGAGATGTCTGTGTGCTAGTGCTATATTTAACCGACATCCTGCAACAGGTAAAGAGCATCTCGAGATGGATCTCTAGCTTCGAGGATGGCGAAATTAATAGAGGCGAAAGGAATGTGGGAAGAATATGCCCGATAGTAGGCCAGAACTAGATCGGCATGGTGAGTTTCAGCTTCAGTGGCAACATTTTAAGGCCAATCAGAAAGAATAACAATAGGAGTTGGGCGTCGCTAAGAAGAAATCCTGGGGTGAGAGGAGGTACCTCCTGACGCTGGGGCTGGGAAGGCTGCTGTGGCTAAGTCCATAAGAACCGGTATCTAAGATAATTCTGAAAGACCGTCTGTCCTCAGATCGTCATGTGTAGTGATATCGAGTGTGTCATATCGTGGCTGTGATCCTCTAGAGATGGCATATTCCGTGGCCAGTCAGGCCGGTGGAAACCTCCACAAAAAATGGCGACACGGCAGGGAATAATAAGGCTGCAGATGCGTTTCTTGGAGATCTAGTACGGTTGCAAGGGGTAGCTCCTCCAACGAGGGCGCATTATGATGCCATTAATCATGAAGGTGGAAAGGGAAGATGCAGCGCTGGATATCGCTCGGGCGATTTTGTCCAGTGATGAATAATTTGAGGCCCGACTTCGAATAAGCCCCCAGAAGGGCAAGTAGAGAAAAGGTCTTCCTATTGAGTCGCAATCAATGAATATGAACGGCATAGCCTACAACTAGCAGTACAGAGGGACCTTTGTTCCTTTTTTTCTGGGGTTTTACAGTTGTAACCTAAGGATCGTTGTTGAAAGGACATCCACGAATCTTCGCTTCGTTTCAGCGAAAGATTGCTCAGCCACTACAGACTTCCGAGAACTTCCCTTCCTGGGAGGTTCTTTTGCATGCCCCCAACTGGTTCCTTGCTTGCCCCTGTTAGTTTCCTTCGGCACCTAATCTTACTTTGAAATATTAGTCTAAAAGGTTTTCTTCTACACTTTCAATATCCGACTATTTTCTTTAATCACTGCCTCTCTGTTCCTTCTTTCTGCAGCCGCCTCTGCTGATACTCGATTGGCGGATGTCTGAAAGAGAGCGCCTCGTTGATAGAGGGAAGTATCTCGTAACTTTGGGAGAGCGTTTTATTGTAAGAGCAGCCTTGCCCCCTAAGCCAGCACCGTGATACTGGCCGCATGGCCGTTATCATTATGACACTAAGAGAGCTTGTATTCTACAGTAGCTCTCCAAAGCCGGAGAGGCTGATGGCGATACTTGTTATACTGCTAATAAGCACTTCTAGTTGCCGTGTGAGTTGATTTCTTCAGATTGTCGGTGCAAAATACCACAAGAATAATGGAGCCTTGGTGACTATCTATCTGCTGGTCAGCCAACCATCTATCAATACGATATCATCCTACAACAATTGGTCGCGGATAATAGCGATGATTAATTGTCGTAATCGCAATGGAGATGCGCCGTATTTCACTGCCCCATTGGACCAGATGCATCACAACCTCCAGCTTGCCCCGCGCGCCAAGATTCTGAGGTTTGGACAACGGGCAGCTCCCGCAATGCTTATCTGCGTAACATTGATGACAAATGGCTTAAATGAGGTAATCGTGTTGCTCTTCGGGTAGAGATAGACCGCACTTTATACCTAACAAATCCACCCCCTCCTGGTTCATCGAGTCAGTTGAGGACGCCACCACCACAGCGTTTAATTACCAGAGCTGCTCCAAGATACTAACAAGATGGCATGGGAAGACGTTGCAGCAGAGAAGAAGAGCCGTATCGATGGGTCTATTCCGCAGGAATGGCTCATCAAGGGCCTTCAAGGTGATGACAATGCCATGGATTACCCCGCTAGAAGTGGGATATTGAGCCCCAAGGAGCTTCAACTTACCAATAGCTCAGCTGTTGATCTTGTCAATAAAATGGCAGCAGGCGAGTTGACCTCTGTATCGGTTACGACTGCCTTTTGCAAGAGGGCCGCTATTGCGCACCAGACGGTAAGAGAACTCCAATTTCACCACCAAAGGTGCTTTTATTAAGTGAATGTAGGTTAATTGCTGCCATGAATTTTTCCCAGACGTCGCACTCGCCAGGGCCAAGGAGTTGGACGATTATTTTGATAAAACGAAGAAGCCAATTGGCCCACTGCATGGGCTCCCAATCTCACTTAAAGATCAATTCCGAATCAAAGTAAATCAAATGATCGGTTCCTTTTGGAGATCCGTCAAAGACTAATTTTGATCAGGGCCTAGAAACTACTATGGGTTACGTCGGATGGATTGGAAAGTATGATACCGAGGACTCTGTCCTGGTGACCCTACTTCACAAAGCAGGCGCCGTGTTTTACGTCAAGACCAGCGTTCCTCAGACACTGATGACTGGCGAGACGTTTAACAACATAAATGGGCGAACAGTCAACCCTCGGAACAAGAATTGGTCCTGTGGTGGCAGCTCGGGTGGTGAAGGTGCTCTCGTAAGCTTCCGAGGCAGTATTATTGGCGTTGGAACTGATATTGGTGAGTCAAATTTTTGAGCACGGTGTACAGATTCTACCTCACGCAATGGATAATAACTTATGGCCCCAGGTGGATCAATCCGTATTCCTTCTGCTTTTAACTTCCTCTATGGTCTTCGACCAAGTCATGGAAGGCTTCCATACGCTGGGATGGCGAACAGTATGGAAGGTCAGGAGACAATTCACAGCGTTTGTGGTCCTCTCTGCCACTCAATCCAGGATATGAAATTATTTGTCACCTCTGTCTTGGCTGAGAAGCCCTGGAACCATGATTCCAAAGTGGTGCCCCTGCCATGGAGGCAGACCGAGGAAGACGAAGTCAAGGCCAAAATCAAATCAGGAGACTTGGTTCTAGGATTTTATAACTGCGATGGGAATGTGTGTTTGATATCTCCACTCTTTGCCTACTTGTATTTGCTAACTTTGTAGGTTACTCCTCATCCCCCGGTCTTGCGAGCAGTGCAGACAGTCGTGGACCAGGTTAAGGGAGCCGGCCACACCGTAGTTCCTTGGGAGCCCTACAAACATCCTCGTATCGTGGATTTGACCAACATGATTTACGGCTCTGATGGTGGAACCGTAAGTGTTTCATTTCTTTCTCTATTTACCATCCTTTAGCAGACTTTAGCATGCTGATAAATATCAACAGGATGTGCTCACGGCCATGGGCCAGTCAGGCGAGCCGCCCATTCCTAACATTGATCAACTTCTCCATCCATCTTCATCAAAAAAGGTGGATATGAACCAACTATGGGATGTTCAGCTAGAGAAGTGGAACATCCAGCGCGAATATCTGTCGAGGATCAGAGAGTTCGAAGTCAAGACTGGTAAAGAACTTGATGCGATTATCGCTCCCGTCACGGCAACAGCTGCAATCCGGCATAATCAATTAAGATACTATGGATACAGCACTGTTACCAATTTCCTCGACTTTTCCAGCGTTGCCGTCCCCGTTACATTTGCAGACAAGAGCATCGATACCAAAAAGGGCGATTTTCAACCACTAACAGACATTGATAAAGAGGTTCAGGCTGAGTGTAAGTTGAGACTTCTCCGGAGCCAATGTGGCTCCGTACATGTATTCATGCGCAACTGCTTGGACAATACTGACCATTCGACCTGAAATAGATGATCCTGAAGCATACCACGGTGCGCCAGTCGCTATACAAGTTATTGGTCGTCGGTTGACCGAAGAGAAGGTCATGGCCATTGCGGAAGAAATTGGTAGATTGCTGGGCAACGCTGTAGCCTCTTAGGTGAACTCTGGGACAGGTATGATATTTGAAGATCGAGGACTCATCAAACTGATGTCTGCTTGTAATCAGCGTGAATTCAAGGGAAGATTTGGGTGATGTTACCCTACATTTTAACAATGTTGCGACCCAACTGTGTCTATGATTCTCTTGGAGGCTGTGATAAGCTTTCAAGTGCGTTAGTTCTCAATGATGTGGGCGTCTGTTTCTTTAGACTCCCTGCAGAGCTGGCCTAATGAAAATAACGGTGTTGGTGCATATTCTCCTAGGCGTCTACCTCGTTGCCAATATTAGGTGATCTGGAGAGAACCCCTTCTCGTTTTAGGCTGCTGGAGGATGCATATAGGTGTAGGTATTTCCTCTAACCATGGCTGATCCTCCCTGATTCGCTCTCGGAACGTGACCAGCATTGGAGAGAAGACGAGCTACTGTCCCCAAGATAGGTGTAAAGGGTGCTTAATAAACGAGATTCGGATGAGACGTGGACGCAACCGATGCTGTATATAGCCTTGGCGTGGAATATGTCCACACAGTCTGGAGTAAGGTGTATCCAAAATCTAATTATGATTCCAGTGAGCCACAGTACAGCGAAAAGACAAGCATCGTCTATGGTACGGATTAAAACAATGCCGCCAACACTGTTAACAATACCTCCATCCGAACCAGCCGGGCCTTGGAGACTCGTAGCTTCACGTATGAGGGGCTACCTCCCCTCTTCCAGGTCGAACGGGCGAAGGCATCTACCTTTTCCCTGCCCTCTGACGATAGCGTCGCTATCCTGCCGAGAATCATGGGTTTTGCATCGATGTCTGGAGTATTCTCCGTCTCGGCTCTAGGTTGGGACCAGGAGGCAACCAAGGAAAAGCTGCTTGAAATCTTTGGAACCTTCAGCGGTGAACCGAGACGGAGGACAGCCCAGACATTGATGCACAACCCATGACTCTCAGCAGGATAGCGACGCTGTCGTCAGAGGGTAGGAAAATAGCCAATAAAGAACGGGTGGATTGTTTTCGGTTGTCATTGACCAGTGTCTAACGATATCACCGATATCTGCGAAATAACTGTGGCAGAGGACGTATATGACGCAAACAAGAGCGGGGAACACACTTGGTGATAAGCAAGATCGCGGATGCTGACTGGGAATGAGAGCACCCACACCCGGCGTTTAACACAATGTCCGTTTGAGCCGGCTCGGCTGAACGTTACCCGCTGTGGGGAGACGTATTCGATGAGTCAGTGAGTGGCATACTTCGGTTTTATCTTAAGCTATAAAAGGAGTGACAGATGCTCGTCTGATTCCGTTTCTAGTATCAACAGTCTTTCGGAGAATTGACAGTCCTTCCGAGAATCAGCAAGCATATACAAGCTCCTGGTATCGCTAAAAAATGTCTTTCCCACAGCGCAAGATCGGAGATGACCTCGTGTCAGCCATGGGGCTTGGCTGTATGGGCATGAGCTACAGCTACACCTCATTCGGCGGGATGGACGACGAAGAGTCGTTGCGGGTGCTTACGCGGGCTGCCGACATGGGATTGAACATGTGGGACACGGCCGACATCTACGGCAATGGAAAGAATGAGGAGCTGCTCGGACGCTGGTTCAAGGAGACCGGCCGCCGCAAGGAAATCTTCTTGTGCACCAAGTTTGGGCACGTGGTGAAGGATGGTGTGCTAGAGGTGAAAGGAGACAAGGAGCATGTCCTCAAGTCATGCGAGGCGAGCTTGCAGCGGCTTGGAGTCGACTACATCGACCTGTATTATCAGCATCGTGTGGATGATAAGGTGCCCATCGAGGAGACGGTGGCAGCCATGAGTGAGCTGAAGAAGGCTGGAAAGATCCGCTACCTTGGTCTGTCGGAGTGTTCCTCCAAGTCGCTGCGCCGCGCACACAAGGTGCATCCTATCACGGCTGTGCAGATGGAGTTCTCGCCTTTCGCGCTCGAGATCGAGAGCGATCAGACCGGCTTTTTGAAGACTGCCCGGGAGCTTGGTGTCAAGGTTGTAGCGTATTCGCCTCTGGGGCGCGGTTTTCTGACAGGCTCCATTCGCAGCCGAGCGGATCTGGATCCCACGGATAACCGGCTGAATCACCCACGATTCTCGGAGGAAAACTTCCCCGCCAACCTGAAGCTTACTGACACGCTGGCCACGATGGCGAAAGAAAAGGGCGTGACAGCAGGACAGCTGGTTATCGCGTGGGTGCTGGCTCAGGGGTAAGTCCAACAGTCTGAGGCCTCCTGCTAGAAGGAGCTGTATAATGAAAAGTCCGCGGTGCTGACGCCTTAACAGTGAAGACTTTTTCCCAATCCCGGGTACGAAGCGAGTGAAGTACTTGGAGGAGAACGCCAAGGCTGCTACGATCCAGCTTTCAAAAGAAGAAGAGCAGGCAATCCGAGCAGCGGTTGAGAGTGTAGGTGGGAGCAAGGGAGCTCGTTATCCCGCAGCCATGATGGCGAAGTTGTTTGGTGACTCTCCGGAGTTGCCAGCTTAGTCTCTCCTTGCGTTTAGAGCAGCTGAATAGTATAAGAGCTGATACTGCCGATTACATGTCGTCCTGTGATTGGTTTCCGGTCTTTCCCCTCGTATTAATTGTCAAATCAACATTTGACTTTGCCCAGGAACAAGTAAACAAGCTCGGACCGGTGTCAACCCTCGCCCTATTTCTCGCCCATAACAATCCGCAAGGTTATCATACCGAGGACAATGATCTCATTCGTCCAGTCTCTTATGTTCCTCAGGATAATAGTCGAATGCTTGTAGCTGCCCTGATCACTAGTCATTCTATGAGTCCACTCCTCATGAATTATATATGTGTCTCCTTTATGTTGAACGAACGACTTGGGATCGAAGTCGCAGGTTTCGCCGATTGTGCCCTTCCATCGACCGAGTATTGCGATCATGCTATTATTCCCGTTGGTATTGTGGGTTGCTGCGTAGAAGGACCATCCCCTCGTGGGGCTTTGGAGGAGCTCCTCACTGGTTTGGGAGGAGGAGGACGATAATGCAAAAGAGCTCATTAGCGACCAAATAAATGTTTTCGGCTGGAATAAACACTTATCGCCTTCCCACACATCGTGGATGAAGTAATTTTCTTACCTCTTTCTTTATTCTCGTCCTTGCCGTCATTGGTCCTTTCTGCCCCTGGTTTCCCCAACGTCTTTCTCTACCCCCCAAATCAAGACCTCAATCAATAACATCAGCCATGGTTGGCGAAAAAAGAAATAGAGCGCTCGCAATTGTAGATGCTGCCGCTGCCGGCGGCTACGCCGTCCCTGCAATGTGCTGCTACAACATCGAGGGAATCATCGCTTCAGTCAGGGCGGCCGAGGCCAAGAAGTCCCCAGTCATTATTCAACTGTTCCCCTGGGCAATTGAGTTCGCAGACGGACTGCTCCTTCATGCGGCAAAAGAGGCGGCCGACAAGGCCAAAGTTCCCGTGGCGGTTCACATGGACCACGCCCAATCACCCGAGATTATCAAGCGAGCTGCGGAACTGGGCGGATTCGACGGAATCATGGTCGATATGAGCCACTATGAGAAGGAGGAGAACTACGCTAAAACCAAGGAACTGGTCGAGTACCTCCACGCGAGAGGCATCATTGCGGAAGCGGAGCCGGGAAGGATCAATGGTGGGGAGGATGGCGTGCAGGACACCGGTGACCTGGAGGGTATTCTTACCACGCCTGAACAAGCTTCCGAGTTTCTGGATCTGGGGGTCGACTGGCTCGCCCCGGCGTTTGGAAACGTTCACGGGAAATACGGCCCCAAGGGCCCACAGCTAGATTACGACCGCCTGAGCAGAGTTCATGCTACAACGAGCAAGCGTGGAGTGAACCTCGTCCTGCATGGGGCGGGTGACTTTGGCGAGGAGCTGTTCCAGTCTGTGATCAAGCGGGGCATTACCAAGTGCAATGTCAACGACGCCATGAATGATGAGTTCACAAAGGTCATGAAGGAGAGGAAAGCCCCCCTGACTACACTTCTGGAGGAGGGAACGTTGGCGATGCAAAAGGCGGTCGAGCTGCATATGGACTGGATGGGATCCACAGGAAAGGCTTAGACGATAACAATGAACTTATTTATGTGCATGTTTCTTCCCGTGAGCTAGATCAGAGTTGAATGCAGGGGACTGCGTCGATCTGATGAGACTAACCGGTACAGCACCACCCACTGTGAATCCGGGGAAGATTTCTCCACGTAGGAGTATCCCTAGTTTGCGCACGCCATCATTGTGGGAACGGAGAAACATGCGGATTGGCTTCATCAACTTTTGAATATGCAATGATAAGTAAAGGTAGCTATTTCACCTATGACGCCAAGCGAGCCGTTTTTCTTTGTTTGTCTATCTTAGTTCGAATCCAAAGTTGCCTTGAAATCTCGCACAATGTCATCAAAAGAGTCATCTTTTTGGAATCCCAGACCAAAGCCCTTTGTGTTGTCAAACGTAGTGGGCCAAGAGTAGAGGATGGGCTTGACAAGAGGATCCTCCTTCTCGGAGAGATATTTGAGCTTGTCCTCTCCTCCAACACGTGCCAGGGAGTCCATCATATCCTGAACAGTGACTCCAATACCTGGCAAGTTGACGACCCGATCATAGTCAGGCAACGAATCCCTAGCAACGCTCAACGCATGGACGAGGTTCTGAATAAGCATACGCGGGGAGCATAGCCAATGCTTAAATGCCCGGTTCTCAATGGGAATGACGCACGGCAGACCCTGCATGGGCTCGCGGATCATGCCAGAAAGGAAAGACGAGGCGGCAGCGGTAGGCTTGCCAGCTCGGACTGAGATTGTGGGGAGACGGAAGATGAGGGCGTCGAGCCAGCTGCGACGGTGATATTCGTTGATCAGATACTCGCACATCATCTTCTCACATCCGTAGGAGCTCTGGGGGGTTGGGCGCATGTCTTCCGTCATGGGCTCGACGAACTCGCCACCGTAGACGGCCTGGCTGGAGGTGTATAGGAGCTTCACGCCGGGGCAAGTCTGGCGGAGTGTTTCCACAAGAGCCCGAGTGGCGTCAAAGTTGACCTTCATACCTGTTCAAAGTCAGACACGGGGGAAAAGAAAATCCAAGACCCTCATCCTTCGTCACTCGTACGTACCAAGATCAAAGTTGGCCTCGGACCCTGATGACATGATTCCATGGAAGGCGTAGACAGCATTCAGATCTTTGCTGACGACATCTTGTGATTGGCTGATGAGATCAGCCTTGATCGTCTGGGCCTGCTTGGGCCACTTGACATTCTGGGGCACGGGTGGCTCGATCACGTCTGTCAAGACAACAGAGTACTTTCCGGTCTCGTCGTTTAGTAAAGCCTTGGCCAGATTTTGGCCCACAAAGCCCGCAGCGCCAGTAATGAGGACCTTCATCGTGATGTGATGGATTAAATGGCTTATCTCTATTGAGAGTGGTATAAGATGCAGTAATGAACGGCGTGGGGGGATAGGCTGGCCCCTGGTCTTGGTACAATCACAGATATGATTCTTATACAAAGACAGCCGAAGGTCTAGTGCAACCGGAGGTTAGAACAAGAAACTATGTCTTGCCTCGAATCCACTCGTGTACGAGGGGTGTTCGGGGATTGTGCGAAGGAGACACAGGAGAGAGTGGAGAGGTGGGTACGGAGGTTTCTCCGACTGCGGGGAATAGCTTTGGCCTTGAGGCGTATGAGGATAGTTTTGGTGTAATTCGGCGAGTCGCCGTATTGGGACTTCCGGACGGTAGAGCGAGAGAGGGGCTGACGAATTGTAGCTGTGTCGATTGGTCCGGTGAGAAAGGGGGACGGGAACCGGTGAGTAACCCCCCATCTTGTATTGTCACCAACGCGGCCTTCAATCCGGAGGGACCGGACTAAATACCGACGCCGAGTACATCTTCTTTCAACAAAGAATGGCTCCCGATAATAAGAAGAAGGTCTCAGTCGATGAGCTCCAGCTGCATGCGTCGCCCGAGAAATGCTGGCTGTTGGTCAACGGAGCTGTCTGGGATCTTTCAGAATTCGCACCGGAGCATCCAGGTGGTGTAGACGGCAAGTCTCAAGATCTCGTCACTTGGAGAAGTTGGTGGTCTAATAACTAAATCAGTTATCCACCGCCATGCCGGACGTGACGCATCTGCCGTATACAATAGCATTCATGCGTCTTCTCTCCTTGAGAATGAGCTGGATGGTTCCAAGATGATTGGCTATATTGCCAAAGACGACTCTGGCAGTTCATCGAAGATATTGATACCATCAGAGGAATCTGTAGGGCTAACCACAGTAACCCCCAAAGACAAACCCAAGGGTAGGCGGCCATTACAGAGCATCATTAGCACTCATGATTTCGAGGAAGCTGCGTCGGAGAACCTCTCTGCAAAAGCCTGGGCTTTTTTCTCCTCGGCTGCGACCGACTGTATTACAAAGCGAGCCAACGAGGCCTACTTTGATCGAATATGGCTCCGCCCTCGAATCATGAAAGATGTCAAGGAGATTCGCTACGACACCAAGATGCTCGGCGTCTCCATTCCCATGCCTCTATTTGCAAGCCCAACAGCAATGGCGAAGCTAACACACCAGGATGGAGAACTGGCGATTGCAAAGGGTTGCTCCAAGTTTGGAATTCCTCAGACGGTAGGGCCACGAACATGAGTAACAGATACTAGAGATGCAGTAGAGACTGACAAGATTGCTTAGATATCCACCAATGCCTCGTTTCCCATGGCCGAAATCACCTCCGCTGTCGACAACACCTTCTTCTTCCAATTATACGTCAACAAAGACCGCACCGCGTCGGAGAAGCTCTTACGACAAGCCGAAGCCTGCGGTATGCGCGCCGTCTTCGTGACAGTGGACCAGCCAACCCCGGGGAAACGCGAGGCAGATGAGCGCGTCAAGGCAGAAGGGACAGTCCTCGCACCCACGCCGAACGGAGCGACAGCGAGTAACGACAGGAAGGGAAGTAGTCTGGGGCGCACCATGGCTGGTTTCATCGACCCGACGCTCAATTGGGAAGACATCAAATGGATACGCAAATCAACAACACTGCCTCTTGTGCTGAAAGGGGTACAGGCCGCCGAGGACGTCCTGCTTGCTGTCAAGCACGGCATAGATGGCGTGTTGCTGGGCAATCACGGGGGCCGCAGCCTGGACACGTCTCCGCCCTCGATCATGATTCTCCTGGAGCTACATCAGAAATGCCCCGACGTGTTCAGCCATATCGAGATCTTCTTGGACGGCGGCATCCGTCGGGGGACGGACGTGTTCAAGGCACTCTGCTTGGGTGCGCGTGCTGTGGGCATGGGACGCCATTTTCTCTACGCTGCCAATTACGGGCCAGAAGGGGTTGAGCAATTGATCGAGAGTATGTCACACCAGAGACTTGGCAGGAGATCATTCGCTAACTAGATGTGCAGTCATGCAGGATGAGTTCGAAACGACGATGCGCATGATGGGTTGCATCAACCTCTCGCAACTGCATCCCGGGCTGTTGAATCTGTGTGACGTAGAACATTGGGGCAACGGCTTGCGGCCAGTATCTAGACCGAAGCTTTGAATGGACGTTGAGAAGACAAGGGCTCGCTGTTGTGTCCGGGGTGAGAACGTAGACTTTTAGCTGAGGGTATCCAACGAGCATCGAGCGTCTCAATTGATCAGCAATCCCAATTCTCCATCAGTTCAGCCATTATTACCCTTGATGGCGATGTGCGTGGTGACGTTTCTCATGCCGATACCGCACCGTGTAACCAAGAAACTTTGCTATTTGCATGCCAATTCCGGACCCAGTTGTCCAACCGTCGGTTAAAGCCAGTTGGATCGTAGCCAAGAGCCAATGAAGGCGCCAACATTAATATCCACCAGGTCCCAGGACATCTCTCCGCTTGCTCGAACGAGGTCTAGTCAGAGAGAATAGTGTGGGCTTGTGGAGCGAGTCGTGTCAGGCGACCGTCAAACTCCAAATTGTCTGCTCCGGTCTGAGCCCCCACGCACTCTCTTATTATGTACGACCTCCACAGCAGTTGAGCTAACCCGCTTCTCCGCATGTCACGAATCGAGCTTGGGCCTGCCAGTCATTGGGGTTTCTCCCTTCGCTGCCCCATCCTAGCCCAAACTTCCCCAGACTCATCATCGGTCGCCGTTGAGCTTGCCCACTGCCTCTGCCTGTTGGCTATTTGATTGCTGAAGATACAAGCTGCTTGCGGCCATCATGGGGAACAGCCCTCACTCGCAAGACGGAGCAACTGTCTCCAGCTACAGACACCGCGGCCAGCGTGGGCCTCGAGCAAGAGCCTGTAGGTTGGACTCGTCACCCCGACTGACCCTCTCTAAAGCACACCCCCCTGGACCTGCAAGACATTGACTCACGCAAAACCTGCTCGCATAGGTGCTGAATGCAAGAGACATAAGATAAGATGCGAAGTAAGAAGAGGGGAACACGCCTGCGTGCGGTGTCTTCGAACTGGCATCGAGTGTTCACCTCATGATCCAGTCCAGCGTTTACTCGACGATAACGAAGCGTGAGTCGCGTCACCCTTTCATAACTCATCAAGATTGTCCTGTATGTATCCGGTAGGCTAACTAGGCTACCGTCCAGATGGAAAGCCCAGGCAACGACCCAGATCCATCAATTGCAAGCTGCGGTGGCTGCACTCCTTCAGCGCACCCAACTACCAGATCTGCCCAACTTTCATGAATTTCACCCAAACACCACAAGTCCCACAGATTCAGCGATCGGCAATGTGTCCACCACGGAGTCTGTCATCGCCCCATACGACATGAGGGAGTCCTCTCCCGACCGTCAGGCTGATGACCCAGGGCTCGTCCAAGCCCCCATGAGCAACCTGTATGAGCTGACCAAGGCCACTCATCCCGTCGGTCCCCCGTCGGTCCCCAGACACATCAGACTGGCCTCAGAACAGGACCTTATTGCCAGCGGCGTCCTGTCCATATCCTGCGCAGAGCAGCTCCTGTCCCGATTCCTCACCAACCAGAACCCACTTCTCTGGGGCGGCATCATCTTCCCCTACCAGTCACTCGATGCCCTCCGCTGCACCTCCGTCTTGCTATCCACCGCCATCTTCACCATCGCCTCTCTGCATTCTCCGGGCGGCGGTGGTGGCGACGTCCTCCAGAAATGCTATGACACCTACATCTCCCTCGTCAGTAGGTCAAGCCTGTCGCGCAACCACTCCCTCGATGACATCCGCGCCCTCATCCTGGGCGCCTTCTACCTCCCCAACCTCAGCTGGAGGCTCTCTGGCCAGGCCGCCCGCATGGCCGCCGAGATGAACATCCATCAGTCCTTTCACAAGGTCATGAACGGCGACATGCGCCACGCCGAGCGTGTCCGCCTCTGGTACGCCCTCTTCGTCTGCGACCGCCACTTCAGCATGGCCTACCTGCGCCCCTCGGCCATGGCCGACGACGCCGCCGTCAAGGGCGTCGAGCGCTTCCTCGAGTGCACGTCCTCGGTCCCCGGCGACGTCCGCGTCTGCGCCCAGGTCGCCCTCTTCAAGATCCTCTCCGAGGCGCACATGGAGTACGGCAGCGACCAGGCGGCGCCCCTAACCGAGGCCGACCTCGACAAGCTGCGCGCGTACAACACCGCCATCGAGCAGTGGCGCATGCTCTGGCAGCCGCGCTCCTTCGACGTCGCGGGCATCGGCTCCTACCCGTCCAAGGGCGTCGTGCTCTACTACCACTTCGCGCGCTTCCAGCTCAACTCGCTCGCCCTGCGCGGCGTGCGCTGGCCGAGCGACGAGCCGCTGTGCCTGAACCGCCGCGAGGCCGCCATGGCCGCCATCTCGGCCGCCATGAGCACGCTGCTGCACATCACCGGCGAGGAGGACATGCGCAGGGCGCTCAACGGGGTGCCCCTGTTCACGCACACCATGATCGCTTTCTGCGCGACCTTCCTGCTCAAGGTGGCGGCCATCTGGGCGAGGGGCGGGGACCACCTCTCGCAGTCGCTCGGGCTCGGGTTCAACCTCGCGGAGATTGTGTCGCTGGCGCGCAGGACCGCGGACCTGCTGGCGCGGGTCGCCGAGGAGGAGGTGAGCGAGAAGCACCTGATGCGGCTCATTGTCGCGGGCATCAGGGAGATGCTGCAGCGGCTCGCGCTGGCGGTTGGGGACGACGCGATGGAGGCGAGGCCGGCGGGCAAGGAGGCTGGGCGGGAGCAGAGGGCCGACGGCACGGGCGCGGCGGTGGACTTTGCTACTGTCCAGATGGGTGATGGGATCGACGGGATGATATATAACATGGATCTGCACAGCCTGGCCGGGTTGCTCGAGTACGGGTCGGATCAGTTCCTGGATACGTTCGTTTCGTCGAATGAGTTGGACACGTGGGATGCGCCGTCGTGAGGTAATGAATATAATGAAGCGATGATGTGATTGATAACAGGCTTTTTCATTTTCGTGCGTCGTGTTTGTCGTCTTGGGCGCCGGCGAGGAATATCAGTCTGGTGTGAGGATCGTTCTTTGGGATGAGAGGCCTGACTATCCCGTCGTGAGTCAGTTAGATTAATCATGACCAAATGGGTTGAAAGACAGTGAGCTTGTGTCCTACTGTCACATCTGTCTAGATGTGCTTCGAACTTATACATTCTCTGGGAAAATACCTACCATATTCTAATCAGTTCTAGAAATATTGATGGAACTACTCGGCCCTTCTTGGATATCTCTCCCACAGGAAACAGGTAGTGACGAAGCCCACTCCTGTCAACGCCGTCATGAAAATGTTTTGTTGGTTGTATCCCTCCGCGAAGGCCCGTCTGACCTGTATCTGCTGCAGCTTCGTGAGGGTTTGAATCTCCGAAAGGGACTCCAAAACCGCTGCCGCCTCGGCGGGGTCGATCAACTCGTTGAGTTTGGGTTTGACGTAATTGTTGAGCATCGTCGCACTGAACACGGTCAGGTCAGGTCAGGCAAGGTTGGGATGGGGAGATGAGCAGGGTTAACTCTTGTGATTGCTTACCAGATTGCCAACGAAATGGTGCCCCCGAGTACACGGACCTGGGTTGCCGCACCCATCATCACCGCTACTCAACCGGTCAGTCTGCGCCATCAGTGAAGGCACGCTTGATTCACTCACGAAGGTTCTCCTTGGAAACGACAAGCCGGGCCAAGATGAGCAGAGTCGAGAGGCCAAGACCGAAACCGAAACCCATGATGGCCTCATAGGCGTAAAGCTCTTTGGGAAACGTCGTCGTGTTGGTGGGTAGGCCGCAGGTAAGCCCGACCCCGACGAGCTGAAATACACCAGACACAACGAGAATGTAGAAAAGGGGGACTTTAGCCCTCCCTGTCAGGAACCCAGCCAGTGCCGTCGCGACCGGAGACGCGAGGAGCAGAGGGAGCATGCTGATTCCGGCCTCGAATGCCGACTTGCCGTACACGGCCTGCGCTCGCTGCGGCAGGTTGACGATGATGGACACAAAAGGGAAGCCGATAAAGAAGGCAGACCTATGCAACACTTGTCAGCTCTCGATGTCTACATCCCGGGTAGTAAGAGGCAATGGGACGGACAGAAGCAATGCAGCAGGCAACCTGTCCTTGCAGATGCTGGGAGGGAAGACAGGCTCCTGTCTGGAAGCCGATCTCTCGACGTAAATCTCCCAGAGGACGAACCCGATCGTCAATGCCACCGCCAGTGCGAGAGGGGCGATGATGGCGGGGCTGCGCCAGGGATATCTCGTGCCAGCTTCCTCCAGGGCGAATATTAAAAGGACGGAGAAGGCGAGCAGCAGCGACATGCCCAGTAGATCGAGCCGGGCCCAAACAGACAGCCGGAACTTGGAGCGGACAATCTGTTTCATCGAGAGCTGGGAGGATTCGTCCGACATCGGCAGGAAAACGGCGAGTGTTATGAAGGCGACCGCGCCGCCGGGTATGCTGGGCGTTCAGAGTGTCAGCGGCACAATTCATCGACAACGAGGAGGGAGGGACAGGGGAGGGGGAGATCTTACTTTAGCAGAAAGACCCAGCGCCAGGAGGAGTGGGCGTTGATGACGCCGCCGAGGACGGGACCGAGGACGCTGGCGATGAGGAAGACGGTGGCGACGATGGCCATGTATTTGCCGTACTTGTGGACCGGCACCAAGGTTGGGGCGAGGACGAGAACCATGGAGTAGATGCCCGAGGCGCCAATCCCCTGGAATGCGCGGAAGATGATTCTGCGACCGAGTGCGCGCGCGTCAGTTGACTGGTTCTGTTGAGGGGATGTGAGGGGCTGATGCGAAGACTCACAGGGTAACGATGTCATTCGACGCGCCGCAGAGGGCGGAGAAGACAGTGAAGATGGCAAGAGCCACGAGGAGCATGGTCTTTTTGCCAAAGAGATCGCTGACCTTGGCGAAGATGGTCAAGAAGCCTCGAGGGAGAGCGTTAGCAGGGGCGGTTGGATCGATGAGACCCTGCCGCGGAGTAGGCTTGTCACTTACCAGTGTATGTCAAGAGATATGCGGTGACAACCCAATCTCTGAGAAGGAAACCGCTCAGGGCATCGGTGATGGAGATGAGGGAAGTGCTCACAATAGTCGTCTCGAGCGTGGAGAGGAACAAGCTGATCCACATACTGCAGAGTGTCAGCGGCGTACAGCAGGAACTGAGTGGTGATGATCAAGCCAAGTACCCAGCGGTCACAATCCATAGCCTCCATCCTCTGAGATACTTCTCGTCGTCATCGTCGTCGCCGTCCGTGTCAGTTGTGCCAGTGACTGTCTGGTCCGGCTCTGTCTTGGAAGGGCTGATTTGGGCGTCTTTGCCCTCGACAAGGCCGCCAGCGCCCTGCTGGGCTTCTTCTGGTGTGACGGAGGGTGACTCGGCCATCATTTTCGTCAACTCGGGTCCCGATCACGTTCGGCTTGCCTCTCTAGTGAACACTCAAGAAGCACACACAATGAAGAGAGGAAAGCGAAGGCAAAACAACCGCTAGCTTGCTCAGGCGGGCTGGCCGAGGGGCTGGTTCGAATCTACGGTTGCAAACCTACACTAGAGGTAATCAATCCGATGAGCCGCAGAACGTGGCATCATGGCTCGTGTTTCGGGGTTGGCACGTAAGCGCGCACCCCCCAACAGGCTGCCGCGAAGACCCTTGGCAATCTAATTCGTCCAAGCCCGAGCGATGGATCCTTGCTTCCCGTATAGCAACAGCTATGGCGGATGGAACCAGACTGAAATTATTCCCACTATTTCCGCCAGCGAGCAGCCGGCGGGATGTGAAAGTGTGTTTCTCCCGCCCGTGCAAACGGCGGCAATGCAGGCTCTCGCCTGAATTCCGATGATCTGTTGCTTGCCCCTACCGGTAGCTTGTACCGGCCCCTGAAGCAAGGCCGTACCTTCGTGGATAAGCAAGTGTTTGATCGGGGTGGTGCAAGCCATACCATCCCCGTCTCTACCGCATTATGCATACGACCTAAACAACTCCGTCATGCGTTTATCCTTTGCCTTACGAGAAAGAAGGCCTGCGTGCTGGAGAAGGAAACCCTCCAAGAAACCTTCTGACGCATGTGCTCTAAACCTTTCGAGATCGACCCTATCTTCCCTTGACAGTGATAGTTGGGAGAAGCAACTTCCGCATGTTCCCAGGCCGGTGTGACTCAATCTTGGCACAGGGATACCTACGATCAGCGCAGGCATGCCCAGGTTCTCGGAGATGCTGCTACTGTACAGTGCGACCCATAGATAGGCAAGCAACATAGCCTATGTCCGAGTGCGTAACAAATTCCCGTCCCGACACTGTGGCTTCACCGGTGTGTCTGAAACTGGCCTGCATGATGCCGCCAGAACCTGGTGCTCTAACCAATAGCCGTCGGGCTCACTTCTCGCCGCATGCTGCTCGTACTCAGTAGCCTATCAGTAATTGCCCGACGGGAACACACAAACCTGACGCGAGCCACAGGCCCACGCCACGCCGCATAGTTTGTTTCGCTCGCTCGGGGGATTGCAGTGCTTTCATTCCCGCCGTCTCAGGATCCCGAGCTCCCTAGGAAGTTTGCTGATTATCCAGGCATAGGTATGGTTTTGGGGGTCTTCCGGTGTTCAAACAGTTGTTGCAAAGAGGCACCGTACAAACATCCACAAACACCCCCTTCCAAGGCTCTTTGAAGCCTCTTCTAAATGGATATTTTTGACGGAAATTCGGCAAGCTAAAAATTGCTGGTCTCACTTTCTAGTTACATCGTCAGGCCGCCCATGGAACGAATCGTTCTCAACCCATCAAGCCGGCCCAGGATGCGGATGCCGTTCGCTTAATTTGTTGGAAGCTGGGAGATAATTGGTTGGAGGCTGGGAGACTGTGCTACCTGCTCACGGGCATGATGGCTCAAACTGGAAATGGAAGACCGAGGTCTCCTCCCGTAGCCAGCCTGGAGGATGCGTGAAGCCATCGATAGGTTGGTGTCGGCGTTAAGGGCACCGGACACGGCGTAAACCACCGTCTTGCAGCCGTCGGACCAGCACCAGCAGCGGACTACGATGCATTAACCATCCACCCGTGCCAAGTGCCATGGCGAACGCCACCGGGTACATCTCAATTATGCCTTCTGGTACGTACAATGCAGTTTGTGCCAAAGGTTTGGCTGTGACGGATGCTCCGACCACGCGGGCGGCCTTGCAGAGCAGCGGCGGATTGGGTGTCATCAATTTCCCACTGCGGATCTATACAACTCCTTTGGACAGCCATTCAGCATGGCACACGTAGAGCATGGAGCGTTGGCTTGTGGACAGATATGTGTGGCGTCAATGGCAGTGGCAAGGCGTATGAATCATGTCCCATTGATTGTGAAGTCAGCCTGGAGAGACAGTTGGCTTACTGGATCAGATTACCGGCCCGCGCTGGAACCAGTACCTACATACTGCGTCATCAAGCCGCTTGCTTGAATGTTAAGGGCGCAATGGGCCTGCACAGGGCATCTCGGCATTGTTGGTAGGCAAGTGGGTGAAATAAAACATAGCACATCGAGATAGTTCAGCACCGAAATTCAATACAATATCACAATGGATAACCTAGTACTGGATATAGTATCAAGCTAAGTATTATAGATCAGTTTGTTATTCTCTTATTACTCTCTTCTTGTTGTGTTTATTTTTTTTTTTTAAAAAAAAAGGAGGTTCCTGTCTCACGCGGAAAGAGTTTTGGTGTACCACGTTTTGTTTCATCCACTTGGTACCTTAAGGAAGAGTGAGCGACGTGGGTAGCAAGTGCCACGGTTCGCTGCCAGGTTACTGTTCATTATCTCATTATCTAGATCTAATACCATGAAAATAGCAACAATTTCTGACGCGAGTCTAATCCTTGTATACACACCCCAGACGCAAGTCTAATCCCTCTATACACATCCCAGGTATGTTGAGTCAGTTCCCCCTCTTCCTTTTGGCCGGTCGTTGCTCTGCAATCGACAACGTCCTCATGTCATTCGCGGCGCCTTGGTCTACTTGATCGACCAAGGGCTGAGCTTGGCCTACCACAGTGTTAGGCTCCGTAGCCGTAGCTGTAGCCGTAGCTGGAACTGTAGCTGGAACTGTAGCCGTAGCTGGAACTGTAGTCGTAGCTGGAACTGTAGCCGTAGCTGGAACTGTAGCTGTAGCCGTAGCCGTAGCCGTAGCAACGACAGTTTGCGCCGCTGTGAACGCGGAGATGTCCATCCCCTCAGCCAGTCTGTGGGCCACCTCGGCGCTGATCCGATCGTCAGGATTGATAGCGAGCATCTTCTTGAGAATTGTGAAGTCGCCTTGGTTGTTATTGTCGGCAAATCGGTGTAGGTCCCCCACTATCTTGTCGTGCATCGGCTTTCCCATCCTGATGCCGACTTGTTTCTTTTTGTACACTTCCGCAGTGTGGACAGGCTTAATGCCACTGACAAGTTCAAAGGTCACGAGCCCTAGGCACCATATGTCTATCATCACGCCAAGCGACGGTTGACAGCCACCCACTGGATGATACTCCGGCGGTTCATATGGCAGCGAACCTGGCTTCGACGTGATTTTTTCACGCGGCATCTCGCGGGCGAGGCCAAAGTCGCACAACTTGACCACAATGTGGCCATTTGGTCCTCCTTCACCTCTCTGTTGAACAAGGATATTATGGGGTTTGATATCCCTGTGGATGATAGCAGGTTGGTGGCCGTGGAGGAACGACAACGCTGACGTGCATTGTCGAAGAATTATCAGGGCTTCGATACGTGTGATGCCTGTATGGCCTCGCAATGCGCCAAGCGCCACGTGCTCCATGGCGATGCACGGAGTCGTGTCGAAGTCTGCGCCGCCCATGAACTCGACAATGTGAGGCTATCATCTGGTCAGTGTGTGTCTGCGCTGGTAGCAAATGGGGAGTAACAAACATGTCGAGCCAGGTCCATAACCCGCGCCTCCTGCTTCCACTGCCCCCTATTAAACGTCCACTCCGGATCCGGACGCTTCACCACATATTGTTTGCTTGTGAAGGGGTTCCAGCAGTGCTTCACGACACCGAAGCCGCCTTTTCCAACATCGGTCTCGATCGATCGCCCGTCATTCAAGTACCTTGGGACTGTAATAGGCACTTGCCGCGACAATGGACCGTTGGGGTCCTTCCCTTGCCTGAACAGTTGTGCCTGCATGTCTCGCGCCTGAAGGCCCTGAAGGGCCTTGCCAGGGAGTATATCGAAAATCGTTTCGTCTTGAACAACGATTCTCAACCGCCACGGCTCGAGTTGGCTTTCTCTGTACCTGACCGGGACACCAGGCCCTGCCAGTATCCACTCGGCATTGTGGACGTCGGTCGTATTTTCACATTTGCCGTATATTACTCGTATGCCCTGGCCATCGGTCAAGTCTCGGGCAACAAGACGGTACTTGTGATCCAGTCCAATTGAAAAGTGAACTTGCCTAAGAGCGACTGGCAGAGGTCTTTTTGGGAAAGATTTAGCATCCTGAGAAACCGCCTTCACCTCTTTCGCGATGACCACTTCACAATCTTTGCCCCTTCCAAAGACGACTCCAGCGGAGGTGAAGGGCCTTTCATGTAGGGTGATGACAATACATTTGTCAACGAGCCCTGGAGTCTTCCATTCTGGTCCGACTTGAAGAACGTTGTCCAGCCAGAATATTGTCTCGTTATTTGGGCGCACTATTGCTAGTACGTTCTCGTTGTCTAGATGCTCCATGTTGATATTGTTCCTGGAGAGGATTCGCAGAAGAAGGAACGCGTTCAAGGCCGAGTGTCGGTGTCTTGGAAGAAGGAGAATGAAGCTACGAGACAAAGAGAAGCGAGAAGAGAGAAGTGAGAGCCTGGACAGATCGAGGAGATTTAAGAGAAGGAGAGACGCAACAAGACAGGCTAAAGCGAGCGACCGACAGCTGACGGGTAGAAGCATCAGTGCTATTCCACCTCATGATGGATGCGTGCCTGGCTCCCACACACCCTCACCCCCCTCCCTTTGTGCTACTATCATCACTTATCTCCAGAAGTGAGCAATCGACGGCCGACCGGTACAAGTACCAGTACCATCCCGCCTCATGATACGTACGTGTTTGCCCCCGTATACACCCTCAATCCCCACGTCCACCTTTGTACTACGGTTTACCATCAATGAAACCCTCCTCCCCCAGTTCTTCTCCTTCTTGTTTTGTTGCAGCACAGACTCACACTAACCAAACAATAAGCCTCATATTTTCGAGTTCATGCTTGTCGAAATACTAGCTCGAGGGGGATTCTTGTATGCTTAGCCTTGCCCTGCCCTGGGATGTTCTTGGAGCCTTTCTCTCCCACGTCGCAAGCTGGACAAGGATTTTATGCGCCAATGGGCTATATAGAGCCGCTCACCTGTCGCCCGTCCCATCTTCTCAAGTCAATTTCATTTTGTCCCCTTCCTTTTTTTTCTCCTTCTGTCGCCTCTAAACGCAAGAGCATCAAAAGGGAGAATTTTACAGTCAATCTGTCCTGTGGCCTGCCATGGCTTCCTCGCCGCAATCCGCGCAGCCCATCTTCTTCCGACAAGTTGTCGATGCGACCGATGAAGAGCTCACTCAATTGATTCTGCATCATCCATGGTACATTAAACCCAAGAATGAATGGTCTGAGCCCCCAGAGTTCGAGCTCAAGCCGGGAGAAAATCGCCCAAGCCACAAAGAAAGGGAAAATCTCCGTAAGAGATTCTGGTAAGCCAACTCATTCAATCATTACCCCCGGCACGAACACGCGTCAACGAGATATGACATAACACCCCTTCCCAGCCAAAATGAGGCGAAGGCTAACTTGACTTCGTGCTATTGACAGGCGCTTGAGGAAGGAGGCGCTGGCACCGCCTTACCCCATCACCGAAGAACGCCTCGAGCTCGCCGGCCGCTGGCGCAGGGTGCTCAAGAGCATTCCTCCTGGGCCTCTCGTCTATGACTCGCCTCTCGTCTATGACACACCTCGCGAGCCGTTCATTGGACCTCACAATCACAGGGATGTTCTCGCAAGAAGCAGGGAAAAGACGGGCTACGAGCTCCTGCTTGAGCTTGGTGGTCGGCCCGTATATCCTCTCGATCGTTTATTCAACGATGACACCAACTATCATGGTCGCCGCAACCCTACCGAGGAAAGCCTACAACCGTGGAAGCACTTTCATGAACACTCGGTACCGAGACCGTACAGTCTGAGATGGTGGGAGTCATCTATCCTGCAATTGAAGAACTGGGAACGCTTCCGCACATGGCAGCGCGATCACCGCGGCCCGAACGATCAGGACAACTTCGAGGCCTTTGTCCAGGAGCAGCACCGAGACCGGAAGCTATTGCGCGCCCCTGATTACTCGGATTGGTGTTTGGAAATGGAGGACCAGCCGACAAGTCTATGGGGCGCCTGGGAGAAGAGACAGCACGACCGGGAGACACACCGGGAACAGGGCTGCGGGAGCTTCACAGATTATTCCGAGGCAGCGCGGCGCCGTCTGGAAAAGAACGGATTTCACCATCCCTTCCAGCTTCACCCAGATCCCATGCAACAAGACCCTCTGACCACCTGGATTGAGTACCTCGCCTATGAATACTGGTGGCTGGATCATTACACCGAGGCGCTTCATGGCACGCAGGAAAAACTGCTGGGGGTATGGGAAAGGGTTGATTCCCATGAGCTGTTCAAGACGGACGAAGCACTCGTGGAAGAGAAACCATTCAAATGGGTGGATGCGTTCAATCTGCAATATCGTGTGTTTACTTACTCCCCTGTGCTTTACTTCACGGCGACATTGCCACCATCTAGATTGGAGGAAGATTTTCTCTGGGCAGAGGAGGTATTCAAAGACGCCGAAGCATTTTCGGACATCGCAAAAAAGCAGGTCGAGCAGGAACGAGGAAGGGAGAAACCTTTCTATTACAAAAGACCCCCGGCCGCCCTCAAGCTGGACCAGTTGCGCAGGGATTGCACCCAGGCCAAAAACGAGGCTTACGAAGAGTTCAAGCATTTCCACTTTCGGAGGAAGTATTACCACGTCCTGACGGACTTGACCACCAAGACGTTGGAGCAGGTCGAACCGAGGCATTGGCAGCGGCGGATCGTGAACTGGGCCCTCGATGAGCTTCGCCTGGTCGAGGAGGAAGTCCGGAAGCTGCCCGGGTCGTCTGAAATTCCCATGATTGCTGCCAAGCGAGGGCGCAAAAGGGCGCGATTCACAACCGCCGAGCCAGCCATTCGCCTTATACCAACGCGCGCTGATGAAGCAAAGTCCTCTAAGCGCTGGAGCGACAAGGAGCGCAAGGCGAAGCGGCTAAAACTGACACTCGATGAGTACCCCTTCCCGCCGGGAGATAGGTCGATGTCGTCGACCTCGTCGATAGCTGGTAGACTCGAGTGGGCTTCAGAGAGTGACTCTGATGCTTCGCCGGCACCGACCGACGGCGGGAGCAACGACGAACAAGAGGGAGAGGATGAGAGGCGGATCGTCACAGGCGAGAGCAGTGGACAAGACAAGCAGGCCTCGGCGGAGCCGATTGACGATGGCGGTAGCAATGTCCAACAGGAAGAGGATGATGGCAGGCAGAGTGCCACAGGCGAGAGCAGTGAGCAAGGCGCCGCAGCCGAAACGTCGAGTTCATCCCGGACATCACGCGCCGAGTATCAAGCGGCGCTTTCTCCTATACAGCCAGATGCCGACAAGGACGACCCGACACGCCGACAATGTACACCACCAGCATCAGGCAATGGAGATGAGCAACACCTCCCCCAGGGAGCAGCGGGTGAGCAGCAGGCCATCACGGATAAGGTGCCAGCTCCGCGGGAATCTCAGCCACCACGACGCAGCGCTCGCATCATAGCGAAACTGGCTGAGCAAGCCACTGCTCTGACGGACAAGCTTGCGGCAAGGAATGACGCCGAGCCTCAAGCTCAGCTCAAGGGGAAAGGGAAGGCCAAGCGCCCATTATCAACGCCCGCAACACTTGATGCAGACGAACCTCGGCCAAAGCGGCGGAGAACGCATACCGCCAAGCAGACGACCACAGCTCACGGCTCAGCAGCGGGACAGGGCACTTTGTCGAGCGATGGCCCCGGGCAACACGTGCCGCAAGAGGAGGACACCATTCAGGATTGCATCACAGTCTCGTTGTCAAGCCTCGCCACGGGACCTCCCGCCGCTCACAGGTCTCAGCGAGCAAAGCCCAGGAAGCGTGCCACTTCGCGGGTCAATCGCAGCAAGCGCAAGGCCTAGCCCACGGACACCACGCAATGGCGCGAGCGAAGGGCTCTGGAGTGTGTGGCACAGAGCTTGTCAGACCAAGTAGGCCGGCTAATGGGCAATGGAATGATGCCTGGTCGCCGTGCTGCCACTTGTCGTATTCATTGTGTTGAGGTGCCGGGTCTGGCATCTTTCATCGCTATTTTTGACTTTATACTCGAACTCTCTTCCCCGTGCTGCCACTTGTATGGCTCTTATAATGCATTAATTGACTTTTAGACCTCCGGGAGGGGGTGTTTTATTTTTCTTTCTTCATATTCAAGTTTATTAGCTGCTTCTCTGGCTGGACTAATCAGCCTTCTTCTCTCGCTGATCCTGTCTGGAGAGATAGCTCTCACAGGAATGGCCTTGTCGTGCCCTGAGATGGGCTTCTGGTCAATGCTCATGTCGTTTCTAATCTCTTGCTCTCCGCATTTGTTCCCAATAGCACGCCTACGGCCTCAAGTTCCAGGACTTTGGACGGATGGTCTTGGTGGGCTTGGGCCTCAAGCTATGGTCGTCACGACATCTTCTATCACAAGGACAGGCTTGACTTGGCGCTTGGGGACATGTTTTGCAATTTGATACGGCCGGATTGGCAGCTTTCAGGAAGGGACAAAGGGCAACGGGTGCTTGTCAGGGGAGCCTCGCCTACGGACCCCCGATACTGAACCGAACGAAAGCTGGTCCATCCCGAGGCCTTGCTAGGATTAGCCCTAACGTTAACTCTATTGCTCGGTTGGAATGAAGGGAGGCCTTGGCCCAAGCACCACTGGCGACTAGCCTTGTTAAACAGGTCCGACCATTTGTCGACATCATGTCTCGCCCCGTTTTAGCTGCCAGGTCATGGTGGTTGCTATTGTTCCATTCTTTGTGATCGTCACTAGCCTTGATCCTTGAAATAGAGACGACGGGCATGGCTGCTCGCTGGATGAAGCATTGTATTGCGGCGAAGTGGCAGGTCGTTCGTGTGACGCTCTGGCTTCTGTGCTTCTCGTCGCCATCGCAACCGCAGAGTAATACATCACAATGGACGAGGCACCGGCGAGCAGTCTGCTTCAGCATATTCCCACCAATGTCTACCTTCTCTCCACTCAGTCGGGCGCTTCCGACAGCCGCTCAGCACATGAACAACAAAGCACCTTGACCTTGACACAACGCCACCATCCTTCCCTTCAGCTCGTCATCATCCCAGGGCGTGACAAAGCCCTTCGCTGCCGGCCATTTGATCGCTTCGACTTTCGGGATAGTTGACATGTCCGTAGCCTCGACTTTTGACATGTCCCAGAGACAAATCTCCCTTCCCCTGGTTTAGCGAGGCCCGCGTCTAAGTGACCCTCACGCCCACCAACTGATCGACCAATGTGACGCCGAACGTCACTTCATTCTCCTACTATGATGTGTCGCATACGACTTATCATCTTCTTTGCGCGCTGCTGGAGCCAGGGCCAATTGATAATGTCACACCTGTCGATTGAATACATGCTCCAAGATGTTTCCATTCTTCACGGGGGGTCTTGTACGAGAACCTGACTGGGGCTACAATGGTATGCGAGATCGATCACACAAACTGGTTGCTTAAGTTAGTTTCACACAGCACTAGCTTCCCGCCTGGCCGATGCTCTCACCTCTCATTGTCTCTCCATTGCTCAACCATAAGCGAGTCGGCACGCCCATACACGACAACTGCAATTGTTAATTCAACCCACCCTCGCAAAGCGTGCCTGCATCGACAAGACCCTTTCTTACGCGAAGTCTGTGTCCTTTCTTTTCTATCACCATTATTACATCTCGCCTAGTGATCTGCTCATGCTTTGTTTCACAGCAAGAGCATTCCGTATGCTTGTTGCATATGCCTCATTTGTCCTCCTAACTTGCCTTCATCCTTCTTTCATCTCGTGTCAGTTCCGTCACCACCGTTCATTGTATCATCGTCGGCGGGCAGTGGTGTCATTAAGGCGCTACCCGTTTGCGTGTGTGCTTAAAGTGGCCACACGGACTCCCTCGCCGGAAGAAAGGCAAAGGAAGATAAGGTCGCTGGGCTTTATCAGAACGCTTCCGAAGCCAACTGAAAAACCGACCACGCCAACAACGACACCCTTTCGTGGAGCCCAAGCGTCCTGGGAGAGGACCAGGCTCAAGGTTATCACGCCACCCTCTTCTACTCGGATCCCTCCGTTCCCTCCCGTCGAGGCGTCCCTCGGCCAAAGACAGCTGTCACTATAGGTACTACTATTCATTGTGTTGAACTGTCGGGTCTGGCACCTTCTATTGTTGTTTAACTTCATACTCGAACTCTTTCCCCCCGTCACTATGGGTACGAACTATGGCAGCAAAAACCTCACCATCGAGACCATCGAATTTACGCGTCGTTTCAGAGATTGACAGAAGACGGCGGAAATAGCAAGCGGTCAATTGTATCCCGACAAGGCCCTGGCAGCTTCATTGCTGTTGCACTTTATTCTGTTTCTCTTCCGTATCCCGACAAACCACACAACCACACAACAATGCCACCAAAATAAAGGGTTGTAGAATGGCAACCTCAGATAGATAGCACGTACGAGGGCGTCTAAAGGTTGAGAGACATGTTGGACTGGGTGGCACATTGACCATTGAGAGGTGGAAACGAACAGTCGAGGGCTGTCGTATCGACCCTTTGTTCAGACAACAAGACTAACTCCACTTGTGGCTCGGCGACCCTGGTCAAGGAATTTTGTCATTAGAGACCGCTAGTTCAGACATGTCGGTGCCCACGGTTGCCGGTATCAGAAATTTCAATGTTTACGAGTAGAGTCGGCCTGCCCACTGCCGATGGCGACATCAGCCATCTACCCACCACCAAGGGCAATGCGATTAAACATAATCAATGTGAAGTAATCATCAATCATGACTATCATTTTCCTCTGACCAAGTGAGAAGTGGGCGACAAGAGGCCGTCTCAACTGTTAGAGGATGACGGCATCAACAGCTACCCTAAAGCTGTATGAACTCACGACTGTCGCCGTGACGCAACCATTTGTTATCTTGTGAAGGCTCGTAATGTTTTCCAAGGGGCATGGCTAACTATTCACACAATAGCTTAGTTTTACAGCTGCGATCTTGTCGACACCATTTAGTTATTTCGATGCCTTCTTGGTATGTGGCCTGTTCACGGTACATGGAGTCTTCCTGCATATGCTAAATTACTCACTCATCTTCAAATTGAAGAGCATCATCACATATCGGACCTGAATTGGCCTCCGTGGATTCCTACCGGAGCCCACCTTAGTAAAGGAAGGAATATTAACGATCTGCTCTGGGAGGACGTTTGTTCCTACGCTCTGATACACGTTTGTCCAAGACTGATTACCATTATCTACACTATATATACACATATCCACCATTTTTGGTTTGCCTAGTAGGTTATCGAAACCTCGGTCGTCTTGACTATCGCCTTTTTCCCGTCACTCGCGTGTAAGATCGTCTCTTCGCTGCCATTCCTCTCCCCAGCCGACTCGCCATCCTTGCCGTACATCCCATCCGACTTGGTCGAGTCTCTTGCCTCCGCGCGCGCCACGTAGTTGGTAGCGCCGAGGCTGTCGGGGCGGCGCGCAGACCGCAGCTCAAAGTCGTCGGCGCCGTCGGCCCTGCTGTTCTGTTTGGCGTAGCCCCTCGACGCAGCAGTCCCGCCGATGGTGTACAGCGCGTTGCCTCCGCTTCGTGCGTTGTATCCACCTGAGTTGGTGTATCCGTACCGGGGTGTCCAGCTGGTGAGCGAAAGAAGGTTCTTGACCAGGGGTTTCAGCGATGGGGCGCACGCGGCGGCGATCCCCAGATTGAGTTGCAGACTAAATGGCATCAGTTAGCTTGGAATTGTTTGGTGATGGAGGGCTTGGAGGGAACATACAGGCCCCAGAACTGGATTTCATAGGAGCTGTTGCGGATATCGTCAGTTCTGTTCAAAGGTCATGGTAGGGTGCAATGTTCTGTACTTACTAGGTGCCGTCTCCAAAGGGATTAAAGTTGATCTGGGCCACAGCTTTCAAGATGCCCATGACAACCGCACTGCATGAATGGATGGCAAGTCAGAAATGCGTTCTCCCGCGAGATTCCCTTCTTCTCAATGCACTTACACATAGCCCAAACTGAGGACGCCGATCAGGTAGAGGCGGGTCTTGAGGGGCATCTTCAGGGTCCAAACGATTCCCACAGGCAGGGTAGCGAATGCCACATCGGTAAATATGTTGAAGCCTGCAATCGGCGCACATTAGGATCGGCAATCTTCATGGGTGCAGGCCCCGGCCAAAAATGCAGAACATAGCACTTACCTGTGTTTGCTAGGCCGAATTTGATAAACATGGAGACGGAATAACAGGTGCCCTCGATGCTGTTATCCCAATACTTGGCCATTGGTCGGCAGTAAAGGAAAAAGCTACACCAGGCCATAATGGTGTATGCGGTCACGAATGCTATGGGCGGAATAACGATGTTAGGGAGAGACGGCGGAGGAGGATAGACCAAATTTGCGACTCACCAATTAGACCCCAGAGAACATGATTGTACCAGGCCAGCGCATTGCCCCTCAGCTTCATTAATTCCAGAGCGATGGCGATCTTCAGAAAGCCGATGCCTCCCATGAGTGGGACGATGGACTGGATGAAGCTGAACTTGTTGAATTCTATGAGAAGAGAACGGTCGATCGTGTCGATATGGCGTCCCAGCCCGTATGGGACCTGTAAATAGAGGGTGACTGTTCCCCCCAACAAAGAGCAAAGCTGTGATTTCCATGGACATTAGCCTCCTGATCAAGAAGAATGAGGTAGAACAATCGGGTGTTGATGGATGGGAACGGAAGTCTTACCGTCGCTAAAATCATGAACACATCTTGGGGGCCAAACGAGCCGAGAATTCCAATGCGAGTGTACGATCTGAGGCCGACAACGAGAAGGGCCAAGCAGTGGAAAACCGTCGTGACCGCGAGGATTTGCACCGTATGGCTCTCCGCAGCCCGGGCGGGATCGATGGTCGTTGAGCTCATCTTGTCGACGACGAGGACTTGATTCTCATCGTCTACCTTCTGTCGATCAGGAACAAAAAGTGGGATAAATTTGAGGCGGGGGTTTGCTTCGCGGTCCCACGGGCGATCTTTTACTCTTAAGCATCCATCTATCTCATCTTGCACGCATTTTCCTCTGGTACGGGTTTTTCATTTTCCCTTCTGGCTTAGATCCATATCCAGACCCAGGCCACTCGACCAGTGTGGTTGCCCCTACCGCAGTTAAGGGTGCGGATGCCCGGGTTTTGTGACTATTGTACAGTGTGCAGGGCACCAGGGGAGAGCGACAGGCCTGGCCGGGCCCTGACCCGGATCGCCACCGTTCAGGTTGATTCTGGACAACTTCCGAAGGTGTTCCGAAGGGAAGGTAGCAGCAAATAGGAAACTCGTCAGTGTGATTGTCGACCTGAACGGGCGGCCAAGAGCCCCTGGAACGGCCAAGCTGGCGTGGACAGTGCTGGGGTAGTCATACGATTGCCCCTCGGCGATGTGGTATTTGTTGGTCGTCCTCCTCCGCGCCTGCAGGAGGGTAGCCCTTCCGGCATTAGCCGCATTCCTCATTGGTTCATGCACATCCTGGCTTTCGTCTTGTGTGGCAGCGTGGCTCGGTTGGAAGAAGCCGAGGTGGATGCGCTGAAGCACGGCCTCGAGGCCAGAAATGCAGCTGTGAGACGAACTGGTGGTCGAATAGATAATAGCGTGGGTAGGACTTTGCACGTCGGAGGCTCGGAGATGAGCGGTAAAATGCAGAAACACGGGGTGCGTCCGTATTTCCCGCATTCATGCAGGGGAAAACACGATTAGGCAAATGTATTTACATGTGCGTATCACTACCCCCCAGCCCCCCCAAACCAACAACTCTCACACGGAGGTAACCCTAACGTGCGTCACTTTAACCATTTCCAAGGTGGCTGTCCATGATTCTGGAAGGTCCTTATATGTCACCGGGGAGAGACAGTTCAAACAGAACCTCAGTTCCTTCGCCCTTCGCCACGATTATCCGTCAAGACCAAGCGGAGTAATTCGTAGATTTGGGACTAGATAGACGAGACGAAGTGGATACAAAACAGACTGCGGAACTTCCCTTGCCAGGAATTGGAGAAGCATAGACGAGCCATTTAAGGCAAAGCCGGCAACCGGGCAAAAGCAGTCTATTGGCACTTAAATAGCTTTAGTATAGCTATATACCCCTTCCCCGGTGCTTCTAGTAGCACAGGCCTGTCGATTCCCTGTCGGTTCTTTGGTCTGCATTTAATATGATTCGTCTTCCAGCAGCGCAAATGGAGCCTGCAGATAGACGAGCCTCAACCCCCGATGTAACCCTGACGTCGGTGCGTCGCCGGGGCACACGGACAGAATGAGAAAAAGTAAGCGCGTGGAGTTGCTTTTAAGTCAGATTCGAATTGATTATACCTGCTTGACGCATGAAAATCGATAGACTGCCATTGGAGCAAATTTCGCGTTCGTTGGCGAGCCCTGTCAAATGCTAGCGTACGGTAGAGGAGGAACAATAAACAAGCATGAAGGGATTTAAACGTTGTGGCTCGGCGTCTTTGCATTGGGACGCCAAGTCGATATGAGGCATGTCTCCGAGAGCCAGAACGGGGTCTAAGAGCTGACCGAGAGGCACATCTCCGCGCTCCTGTGCCTCTATCGACTGTTGGCTCTCGTTTTTCATTTCTAATCCTGGTGTAATACATCCAGGTAGGAGATATCCGAACCAGAACTCATTCTACAGATGCCCCCCTAATTTAGTTTCCCACGTGCAGTAGCGTGGCTGTGATATGTGGATAGAACTCCATCCGAACTATTTATCGTGAAACTTATAAGGGGCATGCCAGCCGTGGTGGTGGTGTGCATCCTTCCTCTTCAGCCACGAGGTCATCCTTCCCGCTAATCAACAACCGCCGCCCATTATGCAGATCTCCCTAGTCACCATTCTCGGTCTCTTAAGCGCCTCTAGCTGGGCCCTCGCCGCTCCGGAGGACTCATCTGCTGACACGGCTGCTGACACTCTGCTTGATCTCAACAGCCAGGCGATTTCTGCGCTCCAGGAGAACGAGGACAGCTCAGCTACGGACTCTGCCAAGAGAGGAACTAGCTGCTCGCTCTTCAACGCCTCCGTGCGCCGGGATTGGTAACACTTCACGTCTCACCTGCACCCCTCCAATTAACTAACATTCCTCTGTTAGGCGATACCTTTCGTCCAAGGAGAGGACGAACTACATCGATGCCGTTCTTTGCTTGATGAAGAAGCCTTCCAAGGCTGATCCAGCATTCGCTCCTGGTGCCCGCACTCGATATGATGACTTTGTTGCCGTTCATATCAACCAGACCCTGAGCATTCACGGAACCGTAAGAGCCATAGTCATTCAATTTTATATCTATTCATTGTCAACTAACCGAGACAGGGTAACTTCTTAACCTGGCACCGATACTTCACCTGGGCCTATGAAACCGCTCTCAAGGAGGAGTGCGGTTACAAGGGCACTCAACCTGTAAGTCGTCGCCTGTCAACATACTTGCTTTTCGCCACTAATGCCTGTTAGTACTGGAACTGGTTCGATGGTTCCGACTTTGCCTCCTCGCCGCTTTTTGACGGCAGCGCAACCAGCATGAGCGGAGATGGTTCCTACGTGGAGCACGACGGCGCTCTGTCTGGCACCAACAACATTTACATTCCTTCCGGAAATGGCGGAGGCTGTCTCAAGAGCGGACCTTTCAAGGAGTATGTATTCCAACACTCGTGTCCCCGGACATCTAGCAGAACAAGAGCTAACGCTGAAACAGTATGGTCACCAACCTTGGTCCCGTGTCCCCGGGCATGAACGGTATGACTGCTAGCCCAACTGGTGCCCTGGGTTATAACCCTCGATGCCTCCGTCGTGACTTGAGCAAGTACCCCGTCGACACGTGGTTCACGGCCCGCAACCTCTTCAATATCACCCTCGGTGCCGCCTCGGGCTCCATCGCTGCCTTCCAGAGCGAGCTCCAAGGTCGCTTCGGTGATCAGTTCCTTGGCATGCACGCCGCTGGTCACTTCACCATGGGCGGTGACTCATCCGACCTCTTCTCTTCTCCCAACGACCCCATCTTCTTCCTGCACCACGCTATGGTTGACCGCCTGTACTGGCTGTGGCAGGCGCTCCATCCTCGCATTGCTAAGGATATTGCTGGCACCATCACCATTCTCAACTTGCCTCCTAGTCGCGATGCTGTGAAGTCTGACATCTTGAACATGGGCGTCAACGCACCTGATCTTACCATTTCGGATGCTCTCAACACTCTGGGCAACGCTCCTTTCTGCTACATCTATCTGTAGATACCATTGATGATCTTTGGCAGGAATGATAGCCAGATTTCAGCATGTACATAGGAAACATTCCAATCAGATCACATATCTTAATGTAATGTCGATAATATATAATATATGGTACCTTTGAAGTAATACTTGCTCTTGACTTACTCATATGGACTGGATCTCTCATCTCCACTGACAAAACTCTCCTCCCACTTCTTACCACCAGTCTTATACTGATATCCAGGATGAGTTTGGCGCAAATGCGGATGTCCTGGAGTCGAGTATAGATTCTCACACGCTGTACCGCCCGGGACATTGTAATCGCCAGTGCCAAGCCAACCACGACGCTCCAGTTCTGGGGTAAGATACTTGGTAACATCCTCCCAAGCACCTGGGACAACGATATGCCCAATATTGAAACCATCAACATCCGCCTCGGTGACCCATCTCTCTATTTCATCCGCGACTGTGGCACCGCTACCAACCTTGAACATAGCACTTCCACCAATTGACTGGTACTCGGCCAGGATTCGGGGAGTCCACTTATCATACCCCCTGGGCCTTGCGAGCAGTCTGTTTCGCTGAGCTGGCGTGAACCCTTGGAGCAGTGGATGATCCGGGTCTGTAGGAAACTCCTCGTCCGGCGGAAACTTGCTAATGTCAATGCCCGACGTCCCGCCAAAGAGGGAAAGGCCGCCATCACCGATCGCATACTGCCTATAGCGCTCAAACTTCTCCTGCGCCTCCTAGTCCGTGGCGCCCAACACAGGCGTGAGCTGAACAAAGAACTTGATGTCGTATGGGTCACGGCCGTTTGCCGCAGCCTGGGCACGCGTCCTCTGGACGTTCAGCGCAACAATGGCAGGGCTCGCGCCGCCGACAAAGACGCATTCTGCATGGCGGGACGCAAAGGCGGAACCGGCGGGGGACATGCCTGCTTGGAAGAGCAAAGGAGTTCTCTGCGGGCTGGGGTCGACTTGGTGTGCTGACTCGGACTTGAAATGCTTGCCTTTGTGGACAACCTTTCGGACCTTGGTAGGCTGTGTGTACGTGTGGGTTGAGGGGTCCTTGACAACGGCGTCATCTTCCCAGGAGGACTCCCATAGTCTTGACATAGGTTAGCTGGATAATGAGCGAAGGGGAAAATTTCTTTTGGCTACAAAGGTCTACATGTCGTCGTGTGGGTTGCTTACTTGTAGGCTAAGTTCAGATACTCCTCCGCAATCTCGTAACGCGTATCGTGTTCTGGCAATTGTGGTAGGCCAAACGCCCGGGCAGCATTGTCACTCCAAGACGTAACAATGTTCTAAGACGAACGGACGTTAGCAACCGTGTAGTTAGCAAAACAAGGCCACACTATATTCACCCATGCAACTCTTCCCTCAGTGAGGTGGTCTAGAGTAGAGAAGCGCTTTGCTAAGCTGAAAGGGGGCTCAAAGGTTGTACACGCCGTAATCCCGAAAGCAAGACTCTTTGTCGCTGTCGCCATTGCTGAAATTACCTAACCCACGTTAACCTTCTGGATGTTCAATGAATTGCGGTGTGTCTATATCACTATCAATGTTGACGTACTGTGAACGGGTCGTACAAGGGCCATTGCGTTCCTGACTGGATAGCTGGCGCGTGGCTGCTCTTGTAAACATCATGCGATCCAAAGTTGTCCGCTAAATGGCGGTTATCAGTACCTATGATAGAGTAGTAGGCAACGGGAATGAGCTGCTTACCAAGAAACAGAGCATTGAATTTACCCTTCTCCAAGAGCTTTGCCAATTCAATCCAGTACGGAAGACGGTTCTTCTGTGAGCTCTTGTCCTCAGGGTTCTGCCATTGCCCAATACTAGGAACCGTCAATTTATTAGCTTGATTGGTGCCATTATGCTAGAAACTGCCCATTACCTTATGTGGCCAACGCCGTTCATGTCAAATGCATTCAAGAGGATGCGCTTCTTCTTGCCATCTTTCGTATAGCCATATTTTCGCTCACCATCAACCTTTCCTTGCAATAAATCCAAAGGCAGCGGATCTACAGACCCATAGCCAACGTGTGATCTTGAAGCCGTGCTACTGGTCATTTTTGGTGTGTTTCTTGGCACAAGAATATACCTCACTGGTTTATCTCTGGTCACATACGAATTTGCCATGAACATCTAAGTATCGACCCTTCTCCCTATAAGATAAGAAAAATGCCGCTTTGCTTTTTCGCTTCGTCCGATGTCGCAGTGATAATGAACTTACCCGTGATGTCGTGATCAAGGGGCACCGTCACCTCAACTCGCCGCTACACCTATGAGGGGCCGGATTTAACGATCTTATGAGCGACCTCTTGGCAGTCGTGGAGAAATGATAATGATGAAACATATGAACATATAACGTCTTCAAAGCTAAAACTTCAAAATTGACGGCCACAGTTGTTGAATCGATAGTGTCTCGTTAGTCCCGTGTAAGAGTCAGATGATTTGGCATGTGGTCTTGCCATTATGATGGACAGGATATTGATAATTTAGTCGGTAGGCTATAATTTCGAGGATGAGTCTGCAATATGGAGGATTTCCATCGTCTTCTTAGCTGTCACTCCAAGCATGCTATACTGCGATCTGTATTCCCTGTCTTGATGGATGCCTGTAAAAGCTTGGCGTGACGCCGCCAATGGTATTACCTTCCCTCCCATAACCCAGATCTTTAGGAACAGAAGTTGATTAATATTGAACTTGAGTGATTGGCTGAATACTTACATGCATTGTTGCCATCGCGAGCATGAGCGGACTGATGCTCTCCTAACTAGACATTGCCACCCTCAATGCTCTAGGGGAGCAGCCAGTATCATAATGACCTCATTAGTTTACAATTTTGACTAAAGTTGTTTAATATTAAGCTAAATTTTTGTTCACTATGATTTCTAAGTAAGGTTGTATTTAAGGTTGAGTTGCAGCGGATGGAGTTATTTTAGCCCTAGCTACAATACTATTGCTGAAGGATTACATGATTGCATTCAATGTTGACTGTTTGACCCAGTACACCACTTAAAACTTGCTATTCGAACTATGGTTCACTACGATGAATGGAAGCAGCGCTTCGCTATTTGATTTAAACATAGTAAATATTCGGCGGTGGCGGTGTACTCATGCCCGAACCCATAAAGTAATCAACGTGGTTCGACTGCTGGTAGCCCTTGAGCGTCATGCAGTTCCTGTACGCCGGATTATGCGGCAGCGTGTACAACCTGGTGCTTGTGGGGATATCCGTCGAGAAGATGACGAGCTGCGAGTAGTCCGAGTTGGTCAGGATGACCTCCTCGCGCCAGTCGCCAATGATGTCGCCAATCATCTGGGGGTAAACGCCGTTGGAGCTGGTGGCGCCGTAGTTCCAGATGCTCTCGATGCGAGGCAGGCTGTTGGAAGCGCTCGGCTTGAGCCAGTCCCACTTCTCGATCTTGCCATCGTTGTAGAACTCGAGGAGCGTGTCGCCGTCCCACCAGAGACCCAGGGAGGGCCAGGGCGCCTTGGATGTGTCTGGTTCCGCGAGCTTGTTCGAGGGGGCATTGTACACGCCGCTGAAGGACCACTGTGCTCTGTTAGGAATGAATTATCTGATAACATGAGTAAGAAAATGAACGTACCGTCTCCATGCCAGCGCTTCGCGGATCAATGTCACCAGCCATGCCACGGCCGACATCAGAGGCACTCGAGCCAAAGTGCTTCCATAGGATCTTCCCGTCACGGGCGTCGTAGTAATACTCGTAAAGAAAGTCAGGATGGTCCTGCTGCACGCCGTAGCCCTGAAGGCCTGCTCGCGACGGATCTATCTTGGCGACATGGAAGCGATCGCCGTGAATGATGCCAGAGGGGCCAAGCGAGTAGCGCAGAGACCCGTCGCCATTCAGGCAATAGCCGATCTCGACAACTTCATCCGAGCCGTTGGCATCCACGTCGATGATTCTTGTGTTGTGTCCATCCGGTGCGTTCTGAGAGTCGCGCTTCCAGCACCACTTCTGCACGGCGTTGGAGCCTTTGAAGGTATAGGCACACTCGATGAGATTGAATGCGCCACCGTCCTGCCTGTTCTTCATAAACGCCACGAGATGCGGCGTCGTTCCGTCAAGCACACCAACGCCAAACCGCGCTGCGAGCGGCCCGTCGGCGGCGTAGTCTCGTGGCAGGGCAACATAAGCTCGCAAAGCGCCCGTCTGTCCGTTCAAGAAGGCGATCCACTGCTTGTTGTTGTCCGAATTGGACCAGGTAGTGCCGTCACCAAAGACTACACCATTGGCAATCTTGATGGCCACCTCGGCGATGCCATCGTTGTCGAAGTCGTAGACAGTGACACCATCCCAGTTTCCGACGTCGATTGTCGATGAGCCGGGCTCAATGTTGTTTTGATTGGCGCTGTTTGGCCCGAGGTTCACAGACCACAGGAATGTTCCATCGTTCAAGTACGCCTCAATGGTCTGCGGATTGCCCTGACGATCGATAACGTAATCGTATTCGCCATCGCCGTTGAGGTCGCCGACCCAGACAAACTTGATTGAGTTGCCTGCTCGAAGAGGCACACGGAAGACGGGCTCTTCAGCGCTGTTGGCCTTCAACCTGAAGCTCCCACTCGCGGGCTGCTCGGCTCCATTGACAACAGGGCGGACTGCGCTCCGTTAGCATAACAGTGTTGGCGACTCATTGAGAGGATAGCTTCATACCGTAGTACTCATTCTGCTGTCCTATATCGGCAGCAGTGTCGAGGTAATTCGTACCACCAGTCAACACAGCAGAATTGACCTTGACAGCCGCACTTGAACCAGCCTTTCGATACAGATTGAAACCAATACCGCTTGGATCAAGACCAAGCAGTCGCCAAGAGACAAAGACGCCTCCACTTGCACGGAGAGCAACGACACCACGGCCGAGGTTTTCCATGGGCCGGGCGGCACTGGCCGCATTGAACAACAAGACCAGTGAGAGGAGCAACATAGTTGCTCTAAAGAAGCTCAACATCATGAACGGAAGTAGCAAGACGATCTCAAATGTAATCAGACTTATCACGGACTCATATCAGAGGCAAAGATAATAACATACGTTTTTATACTTGGAGATGGGATTCAATTGTGCACTATGTCATAGCGATTAAGCGACGCCGAGTTATTTTCGGAGGTCGGGGTAATTGAAGCGGCATCAGGGGAGTCGACGGAATGACACTTAAATGACATAAAAGCATCGCTAGAAAATTGGTCAAGAGGTTTAATTTGAATTGGAGAATCCTTCTTAGGAACCCGGTCCCTTGTTGATTCTAGTGAGGGGCAAGCACTAGGAGGGTTACCCCTCAAAAGACATTGAGATGTTAAGATAGCGAAGATGCTGCCCAAACTAATAGTGAAGAAGGTTTCTTTTCTCACGTTTATCGGAAATTTTTGAAGGCTGAAAACTGCTTGTAAGATAGCCATATGCATCCAATCTGCTACAGTCTGTCAAATGATTGGGGCAACCGGCGACCCTCGTTGATCAAAATGGAGCTGCGGAAGGAGACAACCCGCGTTGTATAGAGCACTTCTAAAGGCAGCCGAATATTGAAGCCATCCACTAAAAGCCTTCCCCCAGCTGCCGGTTCCAATGATCCGAAGCCCGTTCTGAGTGAATAGTGCGCGTACTCGTGATACTCGGGTAAGAGAGTTCGAAGGCAGTTGTCTATTGTATTATCGGTGTCCGTCCAGTTACGCGCACTAATCACAGGTTCTCGTCTGTGGTCGTTCTGTTCTTACACTACAATCAGCATACGAACCTCTTGGCTCTGGCAAGCGGCTACGGGCTTCGCGCTGCAATACAGTGGCTAGAATGAAGCACGTGATAGACCGAGCGGAGAATTAGCAGAGGCGCTCTCAATATTCTTTCTGTCACGCATTGCATTGTTTTCTACCTTGTTTTGCGCGCTATGATCTCAAAGATGGAACTGTGCCAGCTTTGTGAAGGTGCCATAGCTTTGGTGATACAGTTCATGCTCTAAGCGTTTCCCCTTGACGTCGGTCTTCAATCTACGTGATATCACCTGACAATGAAGCGTTTCTAGCTCTTATTGTACATCTCAGTAGCTTTTTCGTCGCACAGTGTCTACACTCGGCGTGTGTGGAGGGCAGCTGGGAAATGGCCTGGCACTCGCCATAAATGGCCGCATGCGTGTAACTTATTTATTCTCGTGATCTGTACACCTTCCGATCTAGAAGAACTTCATTCGCCGATCATCGAGGACAAGCTTACGTTGAATTCGGTACCCTAGAATTATCCAGCTTTGAATGTCGTCTGACGAAATCTCGACATTCAAGAATTGCTTTTCCTTGAGAGCGCTAAATTCATGAAGTTTCAATGTTCAGCGACTTATGATTTTGCGTCAACTAAAACTTTGTTCGTTATTATCAAGTGCAAACTGTTCCCGTGTCCGCGTTAAAGTATACACTTCATCATTCAAATGCATGACCATCTTCAGTTTGATCTCGTTCAGCAACCCAATGAAGTGATATCAAGCCCACTAGTACAAGAAATTAATTTTTTCCTCCAGATTTGTGAGTCTCTGGTGGTTTGCAACAATTCAAACGGCCATTGTGAACGTATAGATACCAAATGGCCGATGAGCTATTATGATGACCGGATTGGTTGATAACTTCAACTAGCTTTCTTCGGTCTTAAGCCAGCCTATTCTTTACTGTAATTCGTGAGTGAGGTTCATATTTAAGGTTGAGTTACACCGGACGGACTCAGTCCCAGCCAGAATGCCATTGCTGAGGGAGATCACGTGATTGGGTTGAGTATGTAAGCAAAATCCTCATCTCATCCTTCATTCAGCCGCAGATCAGTGATATCATCCTCCCTTCAAACTCATCATACGTCTTTCCATCACATAAACATACGCATATCTACGAATCAATTCAGGTAGACGTGCCCAGGACAACTTACCAAGCCCAGTACCTCATCCCTCTCAAGCGCCATGCAGTTTCGACTGCCCCTCACCGTCGTGGTTTTGGCCACCACCTCAGCATTTGCACAGGTTCTCCCAGATCAGCCGCATGATCAGATAAAGCTGATCCCAGACGCTACAACCACTCTCCCGCCCCCGATCAACACAGGTGTCGGTCATTTCAGTCAGTGGTCCCGTGAGAATAAACGCCAGTTCCTTATCGACTGGCAGCAAGGAAGGTCCTCGGAATGGACTCTAGTCCAGGGCAATGAAGGCGGCGACCTGGACTCTATGACCGCTGCCCTCACTTGGGCCTACCATTTGCAGCATTCCACTCAGAACACGCCCAACCCCATCAAGGCTATTGCACTGCTACAGACCCCCATTGATGCGATTGACCTACGCCCGGAGAACAAGGTTGCTCTCCACAACTCCCTTATGAGATCCGGCCACTCTGATCTTCTGACCATCAACGAGTTGCCTGAGGATCCTCAGACACTGGCTCGGGATATCAAAGGCATCGTCATTGTAGACCATGCTGTGCCCCTGCGCAAGTGGAGCAACGCCCCCATCCTGAGCATCTTTGATCACCACAAGGACCAGGGTGCAGGTCCCGATGCGAAGCCGCGTATTTTCGAGACGGTGTCCAGCTGTACCACCCTCGTCGCCCGCCAGATGCTCGATGAGCTCGAGGCGCTCCCCGAGGAGTACCATCTTCCCCATGAACTTCTGGAGCTCATCTTGGGTGCGATAGCCATTGACTCCAGCGGCCTGAGCGATGCCACGGAGGAGGATCGCAAAGTAGCCCAGCGTGTTCTGGAGAGGAGTAATTGGCGCGACTCTAAGCTTGAAAAGAAGATGGAGGACCTTGACGATGATCTCGGAAAAGCCAAGAAAGACATCGATGATCTTGGAGTCCGTGATCTGCTGAGGAGAGACTGGAAGGGGGACTTGGTCAACACATCATCCCCCGATACACACGCAGTCAGCCTGGGTTTCTCATCAATTCCTTACTCTCTCGAAGAGCAGATTGCAAAGACTGGCTTCAAAGAGCTGTTCGACTGGTTCGCTATCGAAGCTGCCTGGACCGCCCAAGTTGGTGCTGACATTAGCGTCGCGCTTAACAAATACACGGTTAAGAGCAAACATGGGAAGAAGAAGCAGAAGGTCAGAGAAATTGTCCTCTGTGTGCGGAGTGATGTCCGTATCGACGATGATAAAGCAGACGCCCTCTTTCAAACCATCAAAGATGCAATTGAGAATGATGAAAGTCTAAATGCCAAGCCCTGGCACCGGGTTAATGAACTTGGCAGGCGCCAGATGGCATGGACACATGATCTCGAGGACGCCGGTAGGAAAGTGATCCGGCCTATCATTGAAGCTGCTGTTGCGGGATGGACCTAGATGCTGGGCAGATCTGTTTTACTCGTCATACCCGCCAAACCATTGCGAATCAAATCACGAGTGCAACACATGCTGAAGTCGTCTATTGAGTTAGGACCCCTGATTGCTGTAATGAAAAGTTGAGATTTAAATTTTCTTTGCGCCATCAAGTGAGGTTTCCAAGAATCGTCCCGTGGGAGTGATTGCTGCAGTTCTACATGAAGCACCGGATGAAATGGGAAGCAGGCAAGACAGAAGAAACGAAGTAGACAAAGTACTTCAAGCCTTGGCGAGAGGCACCGTTGACGATGACAAGCTAAGATACACGTATAGTGCCATCAATGAAGTTTTAAGATCGCTTTGTCTGATGAATGGGAATAGGCTTGAAATTGCAAACTAGAGTGCGTGATAAAGTTCATCGTCTATGCCTCGAGGTGGCCTATATAGTTTGAATAGAGGCCGATCCTGCCAAAGAAGACAGCCTCTACTGAGTAGCAGGCTTCAAGTTCTGAGTTGCTTCAATTTTTGGGACAACACCAAACCGCTTATTTCCTTGATCCCAAATCTGTTTAGCAGTTAGAATTGCACCACTTTGCTGTCTTGTGATTGTGATTCGATAACTTACCGCGTAGACAGACTTCAAAAAGGTGTCTCCGAGGATATCAAATGACATGTCTCCCCGAGACTGGACCCCGCCGTACCAATTGCCATTACCTGCAGGTGCAAACGCTAGGTCCTCGGCCTGGATCAAAAATTCCTTGTCGCCGACAGCTACCTTGAATTCTGGCATATCCTCTGCCTTGACGCTGGTAGGGAAGACATAACCCTGCTGGCTCGAATCATAGGTAGCTCCGGGAATTGCCTTGTAAAGCGCCTCACAAACCTCATCTGATACCAAAGCCAGTGTGGTACCAGTGTCCGCGATAGCTGTGTTGTTGGATAGCTTAATAGGTTTACCATTGACAGAAGCACTTGTGGATGGGAACTGCCAGAAGCCTTGAGAAGAGTCAATGTTAGTCCACGAGATCTCCTGCCCAGATTTGGAAACAAGATCAGTATCAATGTAGCCGAAAGTGTAGAAAGATTCGGGAGAGTTCTCATCGCGCTCGCTATAGAAGGCAGAAGTGAAGAGCTGAGAGCTCTGAGGGATGTCGCCCTGGCTCATCATGTTGGCAACTGGAGTCTCTGCAGGATCAGATTTGCCATTCGTCATGACGGTATTAATCTGAGGGAAGGCCAGGCCAAGCAGACCATCACCGGTGCCTTGAGCGAACTGCTGGGCCAGCTGGGAGGCGAGCTCGACAGTTTGATTCTCGATTGTCAAGCCACCGATGGTAACATTGTCCGAGCCGCAATCTCCGGAGGCAGAGCTGCCATCGCCATACGAGATTTTCCAGGTTTTGCCGGCGAGCTTCTTGTAGCTAGATGATGCAGAAGGGTTGAATATGGCATGGCCTTTCTGCGTGTCCTTGCTTAATTCATTTGAAAAAACCTTCAGGCATACAAATTAGCGGCGATTTCTTTTTTGAGAGACGTTTGTAGAAATACGAACCCAAAGATCTGAGGAGCCGGTGTCGAAATCTAACTTCAGCTTTTGCGGAGGTGTGCCAATAGATACCTCACATAAATACATGGAATCATTCTGTTGGTCATCGGCAGTCACCTCTCCAGTTTTGGTTCCCTCTGCATCAATCTTCTTGGAGAGAACCCTTTGTACATAGGCACGTCCTCCGCGGGCGGCGTTGAATCTAGGATGAGCGAGTCCACGCTGGTGGAGGGTATGGCTATGGAAGTATGGTCCAGGCTTGGTTGGCTCAAAACCAAATCGGTTGAGGAGATAAACGTATGACTTGGTACCATTCCGCTGATAGTTCTTGTTGGGAACGGCTCTGATCCTGCTTAAACCGCGGTTGAGTTTGAACTTAGATTGAGCCTGAAGAATTGCCTCCATGATGTTGATAGGTTTCTAATTTGAGTAAATCTAGGTGTGGGTAACGTGTTTGGTTATGTGAGTATCGCCAACGCGTGAAGATTAAGTTCTGGCAGAAATCTTTTACGAATGATCATGCATACAAAATCTTATAGAGATTAACGATAGGATTGATTTATATAGTTTCTCGACTTCTTGAACGCGTCATACCCCACCATGAGGAGAAATACGTTTGAATCAAAGGCCAATAGATGGTAAGATGATACACAATGCCATCCATGGAGCTATGGTTGCATTAGATGTTTCCGGTCTTGCTAACCATGTTTAACAGCGTCTAGACATCATTGCATTGAGTTGTGGCAGTGATGAAACAGGGGCGAAGAGAAAACAGGGGAAAGCACTACATGAAGCAGATCCCGGCATTATCAAGGAGAGGCAGTGACATCTCAATGATGTCTTCTTAGCACTTCGGCAAGTTAGGATCCGAGATGTTATTCCCGCTTCGTTATTTACTATGCCCGGAACTTGCAACTATCATAGTCATATGACTTGGGTGATCTGCGGGCGCGTGTCAAAGGCAGCCAACTCTGGAAGCTTGGCTAGGCCAAGCTTTGATGAACTACATATCCGTATTCTCCAGGGATATTCCAAACCCTCAAATGAGGTTCATACCATCCGTTTTGCTCGGCAGTAAATATCTAACAGGTCTATATCATAGGATGCGACGTCACCTGCTTTTATGAGGTCGTTCCCCGGGTTTCGGCACGGCAATATCGGATGCTCGTCCACATTCGAGACGTAATGCACGGTGGTTTTGCCCCTCTTTGGATCAAGACCTGCCGGATTAGATATGAGCACGTACACAATCCACTCTCTAACACGCCCATTCCAGCTCATTTCGACCCTAGGCAAGGGGCCCAGGAACAAGGAAGTAGATAAGGACCGTAATGTGGCAAATGGCAATGCAGCAAAGACCTTTGGCTACGGATAATCGGCGTGAAGAGCCTTACGTCCACACACTCAAAGCACCTTTTCGTGCAATGGAACATGGCCGATGTTAATCGGCACGAATATGGGGTGGGCGATGTCGACTTCCTTTCATACTTGTTTATTGCTTACGAATTTTCATATGGGATTCTACGAGTACTAGTCATGTAATTAGTAGTTGGCCGATTTGACGGTCTGCTGATAAGCAGTTCGTGTAGCTCACTTATCTACTCTCAATTGTTAGGATTTGAATTGAAACTCGGGTGCCTCTCCATCTCTCTGAACTGCCTGATTGGATCAATTGAGCCTGTACTTTGTTGATATTTCTGGTTACAATGTCTTCGTTATCCGAAGAAAAGTACCAGACTCAGATATCACCTCACAATGTGTCACTGGAAGCCGGAGTCGATGGTCACGAGTCGCCTGCCGATAACTATGTCGCCTCCGATTCCCAGTCGGGAATTCTGGCGTCTCTGCGCAGATTCGAGGCCCGAATGGATAACATTCTCGGCGTAGAGTCCCATGCTATTGATCGCAAGACCGCCGCTGATAAGCGTCCGGTCAAGTGGCATGAAGAGCTGAGTATGGCTCTGCTTTGGGCGTCGGGAACCATGGGAATCAGCTGCTTCGCTACCGGTTTTCTGGGATGGGAGTTCCAATTGAGCCTCAAGCAGACGATTCCCATAATCATCTTCGCTTCCATCCTCGGCGGGGCTGTTTCCGCTTACTGTGCAACATTCAGCGCGGCGACTGGTCTCAGGCAGGTCTCCTTCTCACGTTACAGCTTTGGGTGGTATCCGAACAAGCTCATTGCCTTTCTCAACGGCATCGAACAGCTTGGATGGGCTGCTGTCGCAAGTATTTCTGGGGGTCTTGCCCTCACCGGTGTAGCTGACGGCCATATCTCACTCGTGGGTGGTGTTATCATCATCGCCGTTGTCTCCCTTGTCATCAGTCTCCTTGGTCTTAAGTACATTCTTGTCTACGAGCGATATGCGTGGCTCATTTACTTCGTTGTATTTCTCATCATATTCGGCATGGTTGGCCCCCATGCAGACGACAAGACTCCGTCTCCCTTGACCGGTCTTGATCTATCCGGCAACGTGCTTTCACTACTGGCCATCATCTACGGCAGCTCTGCATCCTGGTCAACAATGGTGGGAGATTACTACGTCCACTACCCGGTTAACGTCTCGCGCTTCAAGGTATTCGCTCTCACGACCCTTGGAATTGCAATTCCCACGTCCTTTGGTATGACCGCCGGCGCTGTCGTGGCCAGCTCTCTGAACAAAAACCAGGACTGGGCTGATGCCTATGAGCATCAAGGCATCGGGTTTTTAATCAGAGACATGCTGCATCCTCGAGGTTTCTCAAAATTCATTCTCGTGCTGCTTTCCTTTAGTGGTATCAACACAAACATCATCTCCCTCTACTCATCTGCTATTTCGTTTCAGCAGATGGCGCGCCCACTTGCCAACGTCCCGCGCTTCATCTGGACACTGCTGTGCTTTGGTGTCGTCATGGCTCTTGCGCTCGGTGGCCGCTCTGAGCTTAACACGTACCTGCAGGATTTCTTGAGCTTGCTAGGCTACTGGTGCACAAGCTACTTTGTCATCCTTTTGCTCGAGCATACCATCTTCCGCAAGCGAGACTTTTCCAACTACGACTTGGAAGGCTGGAATGACCCCAGCCGATTACCGCTGGGACTTGGAGCATCAGCAGCGTTCCTGGTGGGCGTTGTGGCGTGGTGCATGGGGATGGTCGAGACGTGGTTTGTTGGACCAGTGGGCGCCTTGATTGGCGCCGAAGGCGGCGATGTAGCCAACGAGTTCACACTAGTTGTCACAGCGCTTGTATACATTCCTGCTCGTTATCTGGAGCTTAAGTGGTTCGGACGGTAGTTACAAAGAGAAAGCAAGTTTACCTGGGCTTTCTCCGCTACATTGATAATAGTTTCGTTTGGAATCTTACAACTAGCCCAGAATTTAGATACTGAAAAAAGAAAATCAGCGCTGATTCAATTCGTGTTCTCATGCTTGTATCTTTTCGGGAGTGGTTGTAATCTAGAGTGTGGCTATGGTTTATGGTTTTCGCGGGAAAATTGGTGAAATAGAAGACTTATTCATCTTACATATAATAAATATCGAACAAACTTGAGTATCACATAATTGACTCTGTCTGGAAATGTCTTAAAAGAATGTAACAAAATCCGGTGAGGTCTAGAGTATAAATTACCATCAAACGGGAGTGCGAGCGTAAGAGAGTAACGGAATAACACGGAGACACTGGGTTCAAACATAATAATGAGAATACTCTCCGTAATAATGCCATGCCACACTTTTTCCTTTCTCCGCCTAAGTATTAACACACTCCATGAGTAGGCTACCTCATTGTTCAGCATTATTGGTCATGCCATCATCAGCTGACTGTTGTTTGCAACAACCAACAAGATTATGATATTTTGGACTTTCGAGCAGCAACCTCGAACGAAGGTTCCTCCTTGTGGAGTCATATCTAATCTTTATGGTTAACTCATTGGTTATTAAACCTGGTTCGTCACCACATGATGTTAGGTAACAACTGACCAACCTTGCCCCTGCTAATTAAACGGAGTTTTGAAGTTCTTTCCGGCCGGCGGTGTGGCTGCTATTTAAACTGTAATCATTCCCAGTCTTTGGCATAGCCATCTTTTGATTTCTTTCACATCATTCCTTGTAGAAGATTTTGATGAGGAAACCCTCGCCTACGACAAAATGCCAACACTCAAGACCCACCTCGCCTCGCTGCAGAAGTCTGCCGCCAAACATCCATCAGCTGCTGCACTCAAAATCCCTCATTGGGCAGAAGACGGTGTGTTTTGTGGTTGGAAAACAATCACATTCTCTCAATTCTTAAACGACGTCGAAAATACGGCTAGGTACTGGGCGAATGAACTTTTGCAGAGGGGCATAAATGAAAGAGGCATTGTTGGCATCTGGTAAGTATTTTCAGGCTGATAATCGCTGTTATTTCTCCTTGTATTTCTCTGACAGTATTCTCAGGGTCAAAGGCGTATCTTATTTGGACGCTGTGCAAATTTGGGGTATTGCCAGAGCGGGATACATCCCACAGCTGATTTCCCTACGGTTGACCCATCTTGACGTGGTTTATGATGTACTCAAATTAGCGGGGGCAAAAGCGGTAGTTTTCGACCCTACATTCCTTCAAACACTTGAGGTGGATATGGTTGCACTTCCCGTCGTTGACACTCGCTCGATGAGCCTCGAGAACTTGCCCCTACCCCAGCCATGGGTTCCGTCTGAACAAAGTGATATTGTGATGATATATCATTCTTCTGGTACAGCCTCAGGGAGGCCAAAAATAGTGCCTCTAACTGCAAGATGGGTAGACCACGCCATTGAAAGTGTGGAGCCCATCTTTAGGGGGCTTGAGGGGCAACAAGTAGTGGCCAGCCAGTAAGTCGAGGAAGCTGGTACTCCTGGCAGCACAGAGCTAACATATGAGTGAAGTGGAAGTTTCTGTCACATCGCTGCGGCGATGTCTCTTATGGGATGCCACGACCTCGGGCATTGCGTGATTTTATCCAAAGATATTCCTCCCTCTCCGGCTGAACTTAAGTCTATGGTCAACGAATACGGATTGACGGTTCTGTTTCTTTTTTCCTCTTTCCTGTCAAAAAGTTTACGGGAGGCTCGCTCAGATCCAGAACTGCTACGTTCACTACAAAGCATACCATCGGTGCTTCACGGCGGTTTGGCTTTAAATCCGGACGATGCCACTTGGGCACGCGCAAATGATCTATATTTGAAAGATGTTTTTGCAAGTACCGAAGTCGGTCTTATGATGTTTGGTGTTGGAGGAAGTGGATCTGATGCTGAGTACCTCCAGCCACCTCCTGGCGTAACATACCGATTTATTCCAGCCTCAGGTTCTTCAACTGAAGATCCGGGATCTGGAAATACCGGTCCTGGAGAACAACTACTGGAGCTAGTAGTTCCCTCAGAATCCAGAAACTGCCCGCATGAGTCACTCCGGAATAAGGAGACGGGCGACTTCCACACAGGAGACTTGTTTGTAGAGCCCATACCCGGTCACTTCCTATCCAGGGGTCGAAATGACGATTGGATTAAGATGGAGATTTCTCTCCGCTGTGACACAAAATCCATCGAAGGCAATGTTATGGAGCTTTGCGGCAAGGATCTTGTTAGCACGGCTGTTTGTCTGGGAACTGGACGTCCCTCACCCGCGCTCCTAGTTGAGCCTCTTCACGAAAAAGATGGGGACGATTACTCGTCTTTGAAAGATGAGATTGTACGCCGGATAAGGCCTTTTCATGAACGAATGTATACCCACGAACGGATTGAAGATCCAAGATTTATCATTGCCTGTCCCAAAGGATCTTTACCTCGGACGTCGAAGGGAGGAGTTCCAAGAACAGTCGTGGAGAAAATTTATGAGAAGGCTCTCGATGAAATTTATGCTCGGAAGTAAAGTTTAAGGAGATATCATGTCACAATGACGCATGTTGCTATATTCTCAATGGTGTATCTCTCTTGGGATCAGAACACCAATGAATTCCCTTACCCTATGCTCATCTCCAGCTCTTGCATCAATCTACAATCGATACAATTTTTGCTGAATTGGGAGTAATGATTTAGTAAAAACAATATGTTAGGGGGGTAAACGAATAACACCACGGCTGTTAGCGAGCTTGAAATCTAGACTGCTAACTATACCAAAATCTAATAACCTTCTATAATAGCTATAAAAAGGAGATTTTGAGTTTTATATATATTCTTATTTAATTAAATAGTTTATAATTATAGCTAATTAATTAATCTATTATAGCTACTATAATATTACTAAAAGATATATCTTTTATAAGAGGGGATTTTTAAAAGTAAAAATAATAAAGGGTAAAAAGGATATCTTTTTCTACGGATACTAAAAAATAGCTAATTTATCTAACCCGGCTAAATTGATAAGTAGGCCCCGACTCAATAATATCAAAAATGCCTTGAGATACCTTATTATGGGGATCGGTACTGCACCGATATAAATCAAAACGTTATGAGGGAAAGTTGGATATATACGTTTTTCTAGAAAATGTATTGAGGTGACTAGAAGAGATGAAGGTAGCATGAAATGTACTCCATGACCACGAAAGCGAACTCCACTTCGAGTAGATGTAATCTCCGATTTCCACGTTATCTTCAAATTCACTCATAAGATAGCATATACTTGTTTTCATGAGAAACTCGCAATTATTGCATGCGAAAGATGAATTCTTCTCTCGTTCCTTTTCTTTCTTTTCTCAGTTTACAAGAGCATTGATTTTGTTTCATTCGATGTGTAAATGCATCCCTGAAATCTCC